ACTATATAGCGCAGCCTTAGAGAGCCGTTCCTTTTTTTTATTCTCCTTTCACAGAGCTGCACATTTGTATAACAAAAGCGGAGGAGTGCGTAAACATTGTACGAACACTTAAATAAATATCGTTGTTTTAGGCTTTAAAAATTTTGGAGTAAATGTAGGCTTATCTTTAGTTATGAAAAATAAGGAAGAAGAGCTGGGCCTTATGATTTTTTAGAAGATGTTTACTTATTAACTTAACTTAAGTCTTATATATTCTTTTCTATACATCATTTTAATAATCAAACACCAGTCATAAGAAGTAAGTTAAAGAACTAAAAACTATAAATGACTTTTCTATACTTCTAATCCCTTGTATTTCCCCAGTGCACTCGACAAAGGACCGGCATTGTTCGTTTGAAGAGTTTATTAGTTTAATTTGGTATAAAGCGTTCATACATGGCTCGAATTGAATTTGAATTTGGCTCAAGCATATTAGACGGAGCTAATCTAACCCTTGAGTTTCCTTTGAGCGTTAAAATATCTTTTTTGCTAGCTGCAACACTGCTGGGAAATTAGCTGAGGACTCCCCCCCTCCCCCTGGCATGTGGCAATGCAATTTATGTTGATTACTTTGCATCTTGCAGTTGACTTCGACTTAATGAATGGATTGTGCTGGCATGGCATCAAGGCAGCGGGGTATCTCTAGATTGGATCTGCAGGGGAGTTGCCGAGAAGTTGTCAAACAAGCGGGGTTATTTGTTTTTTTTTTCTCCCCCGTTCTCGAGCAACTGCCAAATCCGCTTAGCAACTTTATAATTAGCCAAACCAGAGTCGTTGTCGTTGTAGGCGTCGCATTGTTAAGCCTTCGTCAAGGGGCCACAATGGGCGATTGACTTGGGGAGGTTCTTTTCGGGGCGAATGCCGTGATTGCATAATCTCTAAGCTCGGTCAGCCAGCGAAAACGAGAGGGAGGACCCGGGGCCCAGTAAAAAATCAATGGAAATAAATCACCGAAAAGCGTGCGGCAGACTCGAGTCTCGTTTTTTCTTGGTTGCCTTTGCCCAGACAAATGCCACGTCAGGCGACGGCACTCGCCCAATGAGATCTACTCCATAACATGGGCGTAGAGAAGGGTAACCAGAAATCCGCATTCTATTGAACTATATTTTTAATTTTTATTAATAATTATTATTTTTTTATAGGTAAAATTGTTTAAAAAGGCAAGATTTATATATATATTGTAAAGTAAATCTATTTATTTTTTATCTATTCCTTAACTTCTTTCAACTTTTCTTGTCACCATCTTAATATTTACCTTCCTTTAAGAACCCTTTTTAAAAATTTCCAGCTCCACCCGTGACGCTGAATTTCCCGTAATCGTATCGTTAAATTGATTAATTTCTTTATTTGCGCACCCGCTGAAAATTGCGGTCGCCTTGTCGTTTCGAGATTGAATGAATGACTGCGAAGGGGTTCGCCTGGTCCCCGAAGCAATCAAATTTGGGATTAGACAGGACTGCGATTTAAAGGGACTCCCAAATTTGCATCAAATCCTCTCATTTTGGAGACACATCTGTGGTGTGGCAATTGCCTTCGGCAAGTTTTCACGCAACTTTTGTCTAGAATGCCATTGAAAATAGTGCGAATTATCTTGTATTTCCAGTATATACATTAGTTTCCTGTTGTTGTGGCTTTCGTCAGAACGTCAGAGCCTTCCCTCTTCGTTCCGCCCACGTAAATATGCCGCCTTCCGTTGCCGCCGGCGCATATTTTGATTTTGGCTTCAACGCCAATTTTGATGGATTAATGGGGCTGGGGCGACATTTGTTGTCAGTGTCGGCATCTTGGCGTCAAACAAAGGCGTGGTCATAGCTAATGGCTATGGGGTAGAGAAGGGGCGGTTGCGGTGGCAATGGGCGTGGTCGCCAACGATTTGCTCCGGGTCGTTTGTCTTATCCCGCCGGGTTGGACGGCCGACAATTACGTATCCGCCCGGTGCGCAATGTCTGTACTTCATTCACAGAATGCGGAAAGGTGATTATACGCTCGGGGTTCTCTAATGTTGATCGATAGGCCAGCGCATATATTAACGCTAAATTTGCTCACAATATGGATGGAGTTCCTGTTTGATTGAGAGAGAAAACCAAAAATAAATCTTATGAATGTTTTGAGTAACAAAAAATATAAAACAAAAAATGTATAACAAAAAACACCAAATAAATAGCCTTAAAAATAAGTAAAATATATTTATAACTAGAATGGAATGATTTTAATATTAATCTTAAAAAAATAATTAAATATCTCAAATTTGTATGTTATTGTTAACAATCTAACTTCAATAAACATATTTTTTAGGGATATTTTTATATTTTTACCTTTAATAGAAATTTGAATAAAGTTCTCTATAACTATAACTTTGGAAGACCTAATTAAAAACTGATATTAACCCGATTTCATTGATACTTAAACAGAAGAAGATTCAAAATTTGAAAAGACATTTGGCATATTAGTTTTCTTTCTCTGTGCCAAAAAAGCTAGCATTCTTCGGGCTTAAATACGGGTGGGAAAACGTTTGCACCTGGACGGGCTTTCCGTGCGAATGGTTTGCTCAATGACCAAGCTCAGACTCGCACAAAATGTTTACGTACTCGTATTTGTGTGATTCTTGTGTAAATTGTCTGTGAAAACGGCCATGGAGTGCTTCGGCTCAGCATCAGCTTCAGCTTTGCATTTGCATTTGTCTGTTTTCAAGTCCTTCACATTTTCCCACACTAGCTGTGATTTCGTTTTTGCATACGTACATCTCTTCCGTTTCCTCTGCATCTCATCCTATACTATCCAATCCTATCCAATGGTATATCCTCCTCCTCCTTTCCGGGCAGCACACACCGATGCTCATTTCGCCAGCGCCAACTAAAAATGCATTTCCTGTCAAGTGTAAAAAGGAAATGATGTGATGCTCTCCGGCTCTAACGTGCAATCAATCATTGCCGTGCCCGTTTTCACCCGAAGGACTATACCCCTTCCCCCGTCACCATCCTTTTGCGGTGGCAAAGTCAACATAGGCGGGTTTATTAAGTCGGGCAAATAGTGTTAAGTATTTGTCGAATGTCAAATGTCAGTCTCCCTTTGCCGAGCTTAATGGTTCCCCTCACATCCTGGCCAGCCGCACATTGGATTTTAATTGCCACGCCGATAGGCAAGTGATTCGCCTGTCCCTGACCCACCTGATCCACCTGGAACCGACCCACTTTATCTCACTTTTCATTCCGTCACCTGGCATTGATGTGACATTTCCGCCTCTCACGGTGCCTTCTCAATTAGAGGGTCGTTGCCAGAAGTGTTTACTATTAACCCTCCAACACACCTGTCTAAATTAATTAAAGGGTTAAGGGAAAAGAGGTTTTATTTAGTTAGCAATCTATATATTTATTTAAAAGGTGTACTTTTTAAATAAATTACTGGTTTTCTATTGCTAACAGATTCGTCTTTAAAATATTTAATAGTTGTAAAATTTACGAAAGGAATATGAACCTTCTCAGTAACTTCATTTCCCCAGTATTTTCCTTTCAACCAGTTTTACCATATTTCTATATAAGAATGAGAACCATGCGAGGCATTCACTCAATCGAAATCTAAGCTCTTTTCAGGCGTGTCCTGGGGCACTTTGGAGTAATAGCGGGTTAAGGTAGGTGGCTTCTGTTCGCCCCCCAAGTATGCCATTCTCCGGTGGCAGACTTTTCAAGTTCAAGCATGTGATATATGCATATATCCACATATTCATCGCCCCTCCTCCATCACTCCTTTCGCCCGATATGTGTCTCTTGTCTGCCTACGCATCTTGATGGCTTTGGGCTACGTGTTCGGACGCTGTAATCGGATGTTTATGGCCCACAGCAACCTCACGGACGCTACACGCACTTTCAATTTTGTTTGGCTCCGGACGGGAGTCATTGAACGGCGATCTCTCGACGGCGGTCTCTTGTTTACAGCCATCCGGAGACAATTGTCGAGTTTTGTGTCCATAATGCGGGCGGCGGGTTCCTTGAAGGCGCTTAATTACATCGATTCGAGACGCCCAAATGAGTTGACAACTTTTTTTGGGGAATTTTCTAAGAGAAGCCCCAAAGAGCAACCTTCGGTTCTTTTTGGGTATTATTAATTAAGACCCATTTTCTATGACCCAATGAACGGTTTGTTCCTGCTTCCTAACCTTTTTTACCTTATTTTGTTTTGTTCAACCAGTTTACAAAAAAAAAAACAAAATGTAAAAAGAGGCCTGCAATTAGTAATCCGATTTGGCCATTTCCAGGCTTGTGTTTTTAGTCCACTAAATTCCGAGTGCGAAACAGCGTGAAACTGTGCCAATGTCTGCATGTGGGGACACAACGTAAACACCAAATGGGGCAATAATAAATTTTCTAAAAAAGAGAAATAACCGAAATAAAACTGAAAATCATGCAGCCAATGAAGCAAACGCCGCTGACATACAAACGCCTCGAGCTGAAAGATAAAGTTGGAGGGTCCGGAGGTGCTGACAAGTCACCTTTATATACATATATTTTAGAGGCGGAGGAGGAGTCGGTGGGACAGCACTCTGGGACAGCTACAACCTGTGACAATCCGTTGGCAGCAAATTTTGCGCTCTATTGGCGCGCGGGCGCATGTCGCCAAGAAAAACAAAATGATTGTCAAGTGCTGAACTCCAGCCGTGATGTAATGCCTTGCCACCCGAGGAGGAGTGTGGTGTGGGTGTGGGTGCAAGGTGCTGAGTTGACAATTGAAAAGTTAATTGAACGGTGCTCAAATCGCAATTAATTACCAGGCCAAGAGTAGGCCTACAAGGAAGCGCCAACAAAACTCCATGGCCTGAACTTGACATCGAAAATGGAGCAGAAAACGAAAATGAAACCGAAATCGAAACCTCAGCCGATGGCGATAGCAAAAACCGCGGACAATAAGACAAATTACCCCCGCAAACCAGTTTGGCCCGCAATTGTCAAATTGTCAACCAAGATACTTTTGTTACCGGTTTGCTCTTCGGTTATATTTTGTTTTTTCCAGGGCGCCACTTCTTGGGGCTAATTCTGACGCCCCATATAAAGTGACGTGCGCCGGGAGTGGTCGACATCATTAAGTCGACGTCTTTCCAAGAGTCGGACGGATACGTAGTCGTCAGTCTCCAATCGCAGTCAGAGCTTCCTGTGCGGCACGTGCCATTTCATCCTCGAGCAATCCCAAGTCCAAAGGAAGTGTTTCTACAATGGCAGGCAAAGTGAGTTTAATAAAGTGGAACTTTAACCAAGCCAACTTCGATTTAAAAGGCATTGCCTTTGTGGGAATAATAGTTGGCTTTTTAAAGGAATTTCTTTACTTTTATACAATAATATCCTTTTCATAAAAATGCAACTTAGGGCATTATTATTTATAGGTTACCTTGTTATTCTATATGGACCCAAAAATGTTTATCCAAATCAATTCTTTTTATTTGCATAATCCTATAAATAAAAACAATCTATCTAAAACTGATATTGGATTTAAAACAATTTGCTTTACTAATTTATTAACTTTCAGTATAACTTAAAAGAGGTTTCGATTTAAATTTAATTAAATACACCGCGCCTTATGGCATTTTCTTCCCTAAACCAACTACAAATAATGTTAAAACACAAATTGGTTAAAGTTAATAATTAAAAAAAAGTGCTACTATTTTTATTATTTCACTAATTTTATCTTTTTCAATGCAGCTCCTGACAATCTTCTCCATTCTGGCCATCGCTGGATCCTGTTGTGCAGGTTTCGCGGCCACCTATGCCGGTTACCACCCTGCTTTTGCCACCTACCAAGCTCCAGCTGTCTACCATGCCGCTCCAGTGGCTCAGGCTGCTGTCTACCATCAGGCGGCTCCCGTTTACGCCAAGACGTTGATTCCAGCTACTCCCGTGTACACGCGGTCCTATGCCCTGCCAGCTCCGGTCGTTAAGACGGTGGCTGCTCCTCTTCCCCTGCCCGTTGCTGCTCCAGTGTTGAAAACCGTGGCTGCTGCTCCAGTGGTTGCTGCCCCAGTGGTTGCTGCTCCAGCTCTGAAGCAGGTTGAGTTGGAATCGTCGCCGCGTTATGATTTCTCCTATGGTGTCCATGATAGCATCACCGGAGACATCAAGAGTCAGGTGGAGACCCGCGACGGAGGCAATGTGGTTGGATCTTATTCCGTTCTGGATGCCGATGGTTTCAAGCGTACTGTAACCTATACCGCTGACGATATCAACGGATTCAATGCGGTGGTCCAGCGTGAACCAGTTGTCGCTGCCCGTGCTGTGGCTGCTCCCGTAGTTTCAGTGGCTTCTCCAGCTCCAGTTCCCGTCCATGTTCCCGCTCCGGTAGCCTCCCTGCCCGCTCCAATCTACTATCCCCACCAGCAGGTGTTTGCCCCTCAGCAGCAGATTCAGCAAGTCACCGAACAGCAGGGTGAAGTTGTGGAGGCTCCAGTGGCCACTCAGCCAGAGCTGGAACCCACGCCCATCGACTATAACGAGGGTCAGGAGCAGCAGCAGCAGCAGCAAACCTATCCCCAGGACCAGCAGTTCCCGCCTTTCTCTCCGGCTGGCGAGTCCTCCCCCGCTCCCGATAGCGATGATTCCGATGTGGTTGAGGCGCGATCTGCCCCTGAGGCCAGCAGTAGCACCACCACCACCACCGAGGCTCCCGTCACGGAAGAAAGCAAGAAGACGGAATAGATTGGATTATGACCGGAAATGTTGTTGAACGAATTGCGAAAATAAAAATCAATATTTGAGATAAAAAAAGGTCTATGGTTTTAAGTTCAAAAAGAAAATCAATCAAATATATTCAAAATTAATATCTATCAAAATTAAAAACTTAATCAATTAATAGTTTTGGCACCCAGCAAATTATTTGAATATTTCACATTTTTTAATAGTTAATCTGATTACTCCTCAAAGGAAGCTGAAAACAAAGCAAAAAAGTTTAGCAAAAAGGGGCAAATCTATTGAGAGCAGTCAGCTCAAAAAAAGTTTTTTATATCTGACATTCGTACATAAATATAACAGAATTAAAAGGTCATTAACCAGGAATGTTTGTGCATTTATTACATTATTATTGATAAACGTGAGATTAAATGGATTTAGTTCAATGATAACCTTTTTATTGATGAAAAAACAATGAAATTATTTTTCTTTTTGGCAGACGAAAAAGCAATTGTAAATTTTATCAAATTATATTTGTTCAGTTCATTGCCTTTCTACAGTAAAGTAATGATTTAGTTTTTATATTGTTCTAATTATATAAAAGAATTATTTTAAAACCACATTAAAAAAATGTATTTCTTTTTTTCCAAAGTTTACATTACTCATTAAATTAGATACAAAATCAATTTTACCTAAAACCTTAATTTTAAAATCTAAAATCTTTCTTAAAAGAAAAAAGTTTCTATGTAACCATTCAAATTTGAATTAACGCGCCTACTTTGCAGACTCAGCCAACGGCTGAACAGCTGAATGTGGTTTGAACGTGCACGAGTTCCACATTCCACAAAAATGTTATGGAAATAAAATTTGCGCCCCTGCCGACAGCGATCGAAACTAACTGATCGCAGAGCGTTTACATTTAAAAAGTATATCGGTTTAGTAAAAAACCCGACAAATGAGTTATTAACTAAACAACAAACTATTTGTATGTAAAAATAGTTGATTTTGTTTTGTGACTTTTGCAAGACTTTTGACTACGATTTTTGGATGCGCAACAGTTAATAATTTAAAGTTAACAGCAATTTAACATTTAATGTAAATAGACATATATCGATAGTTGGGGGATAAGATCGATTGATCATCGGTGTTTGCCCGCCTCTATGGCCTGACTTGCTTGGTTTTTTAAATCAAACGGTAAATCTGGCGGCGCCAAGTAGGCATTGACTCCAGTTTCGCTTTGATTTCGAGAAAGTCTACGTGTTTTTAAGCACAGTTCCACCGACGACATCCAGCGTGCTTAACACGCTCGATAAAGTTTCTCGTTTTTCGCAGAGGAGCTATCAAAATTGTCTAAATTTGTAGTAAAGTTATTTTAACAACGTCCAAAAAGCCTGCACACGCATTCAGAGGACCATAAGGTAAGCGCGCGTGTGTGTCTACGGTTGTTCTTATTGTCCTTCTCGCGGTTTCTATACCTTCATTCCTTTATTGCCACTCTTCGTGTTACACCTTTGCTCCTCTCCCGTGTTCCCACTAATCTGCAAATGGCGGCTGCTGCAGCTGTTGCTTTGTTGTTGCTAAGCAAAGGCGCAGTTGCGGATTTGCCGATGGGAAGAGGGGTTAGGCATCCAATTTTCCAAAACGAGCATGTAAATTGTAATAAAATAAAAAGTAAATATTTGAAAGATGGCATCCTTGTACCATTGCTTTAAAAGTAATCGCTTTGTTCTATTTTCCATCAACCTTCCCTTTATTTGAACCCTATCTACGCTCCTGTTGCTCGCCCTTGCAAAAGCCGGTCTTCCGAGAGGGAACAAAAAAAAAAAAAAAAAAGGGACAGAAAACTCAAGCAGCCCTTGATTCTGCTTCTTCCCTTACTTGCGTCTCATTTCCGCAAATCATTTTTAATTTCAGTTATACATTTGTCATCTCAGCAGCAGCATCTAAAATTCGAAAACCACATACAAAATGAGTAAGCCGGATCCTAACTCGCGTCAGGGCTCCTACAAGTCGAACACCATCAACACGCAGGTAATGTACAAAGATAAACTGCCGGCAGATTTTTGTTCGGTACTAACCTCACTTTGTCGCAGGAGTCGCGCATGCGCCGCCATGAGGTGACCATCGAGCTGCGCAAATCCAAGAAGGAGGACCAGATGTTCAAGAGGCGTAACATCAACGATGAGGATCTCACTTCGCCGCTCAAGGAGCTCAATGGACAGTCGCCGGTCCAGTTGTCCGTGGACGAAATAGTGGCGGCAATGAACAGCGAAGATCAGGAGCGTCAGTTCCTGGGCATGCAGTCTGCCCGGAAGATGCTTAGTCGAGAGCGCAACCCTCCCATCGACCTAATGATCGGGCATGGCATTGTGCCCATCTGCATTCGGTTTCTACAGAACACAACCAAGTGAGTAGTTACTATGGCACCTCTACAGAAGCCGTTCTGAGTTTTCTGAATCTCCAGCTCCATGCTGCAGTTCGAGGCCGCTTGGGCCCTGACTAACATCGCCTCCGGTACTTCTGATCAGACGCGCTGCGTTATTGAACACAATGCGGTCCCTCACTTTGTGGCTTTGCTGCAGTCCAAGTCCACCAACCTGGCTGAGCAGGCCGTCTGGGCACTGGGCAACATTGCTGGCGACGGAGCTGCTGCTCGGGATATTGTCATCCAGCACAACGTGATTGACGGTATCCTGCCACTGATCAATAACGAGACACCGCTCTCATTTCTGCGCAACATCGTTTGGCTGATGTCCAATCTGTGCAGGAACAAGAATCCCTCGCCACCCTTCGAGCAAGTAAAGCGCCTTCTGCCCGTCTTGTCGCAACTTCTGCTCAGCCAAGACATCCAGGTGTTGGCCGACGCCTGCTGGGCCCTGTCCTACGTTACAGACGATGACAACAGTAAGATCCAATCGGTGGTTGACTCGGATGCAGTGCCGCGTCTGGTTAAACTGCTGCAAATGGACGAGCCAAGTATCATTGTGCCCGCCTTACGCAGCGTCGGAAATATTGTAACCGGCACAGATCAACAGGTGGGTAAACTATATTATTATTAATTCATTTTAGTATGTAATTATTTTTATTTCCTTAGACTGACGTCGTTATTGCCTCTGGAGGATTGCCTAGATTAGGACTTCTCTTGCAGCACAACAAGAGCAACATTGTTAAGGAGGCTGCTTGGACGGTTAGCAACATCACTGCAGGTAACCAAAAACAGATACAAGCAGTCATTCAGGCCGGAATTTTCCACCAGTTGCGCAGCGTGCTAGAGAAAGGGGACTTCAAGGCCCAAAAAGAGGCTGCATGGGCGGTGACCAACACAACAACATCGGGCACCCCGGAACAGATCGTGGATCTGATTGAGAAATACAAAATCTTGAAGCCATTCATTGATCTATTGGATGCAAAGGATCCGCGTACCATCAAGGTTGTACAATCGGGACTTTCAAATCTTTTTGCCCTGGCTGAAAAACTTGGTGGCACCGAAAATCTGTGTTTGATGGTCGAAGAGATGGGAGGCCTGGACAAGCTGGAAACTCTGCAGCAGCACGAGAACGAGGAGGTTTATAAGAAGGCCTATGCCATCATCGATACTTACTTCAGCAACGGCGATGATGAGGCCGAACAAGAGTTGGCGCCACAGGAGGTTAACGGAGCCCTCGAGTTTAATGCCACCCAGCCAAAGGCACCCGAGGGTGGCTACACGTTCTAGACTAATCACTCAACATAATCCAAACGCCGCTCACACGCCTTACAAACCGCACCCCGCGCTCACACAGTTTATTTTTTGCCACAAACTATGCCATTGTCATACAAGCATCACATCTGAACATTCCCCACATCCAAACACAGGCTACTGCATTTGCTTAGACATTCAAAACTCGCTACTGATCATAATTTTCTCACAAAACGTTCCAACCATATCTTCGCAATGGAAAAACACAAACATCCGATGTTGCTAGGCATCACGGAAATCTAGGTTCCTTTTTTGTTTCATATGCAACCTCTGTCAGCTGCGCTGGCTGGGATCCTAGTTGCCGCTTATCTGGATGCGTGTGCATGGCATTCTAAATTGAAGCATTTCGAACTTATTTCGGTCATATTTTAGGCTGTTTAGTATTTATTTATGTATACACACGATGCTTTTAATCCTCCACCTTCGCAAGCATTACAACAACTACTCATCCCCTTTGCACCAGTGTCCTCATCCCCGAATTATATTCAAAGTTATCAATAAATAATGAATTGTTTGAAAGATTAATTACATTTTGCTATACTTCAGGCGTTTCTGATCTTTTGAGCTTTTCAGTGTCTGTATTATTTGTAGAATTCGTGTGAACAGGAAATGTATTATTTTATTTTGCTTTTTTTTTTCACAAAAAAAATATTCGACAATATTGCCATTTTAACGAAAAATGAAGTATATTTTTGGGCATTTTGGTTTGTTTGGACTTAAAAAAATATAAAAGCCGTGTCACCAGCATTTTAAATGTTATCCCCTCTTTGGCCAGCGCCTTTTGTCAGTAAATTCTCGATAAAAAGTTGTGCAGTCAATTCTTGTTTTTTGTCCATATAAAATCGCATTTTGGCAGTAAGCGGATAATCGCAAGATTAAGAGCTATCTTCTCCAGCCACACTCATGTATGCAGAATAGCCCGGAGAGTGGTACAGCGACCCCAAATGTTCCAGATTAGATAAAATGATTAAACAACTAACCACACCAGAGGCAGGCATAGAACGAGCCCCACAAACAACTCAATCAAAATGAGCCGCTGGCGGCATTAGCGTCCGCGTTTATTGCAGCGGTCCAGCGTAAAAACAAAACAAGTAGAGCGTCGTCACATCAACATCCACAACCACATCCACGTCCACGTTCTTATTCCCATCGGATGCAGCGCGTCAGTTCGCCGAATCGTTTGTGTAAATTCACGGCAAACAAATTATAAAAATAGATTAAAAATTTAGCATCGGAAAAGTAGTTGCCGAAAATTCGAACCGAGTTGTGGAAGCATTGCCCGGACGGAGCTTTTGCCTCCGCGTTGCCCAAGTCGTCACCGATGAGGCGGGCGGATTTAATTGGTTCTTTTTTGTGCTATTTTATTATTTCCGAGCGCAAGCGTTTAGTCGAATTTTGTCCGAAGCTGCGTGCGGGCGTGAGTCTCTAAAGGCAACTAATTTATATAATTGCTGATCGATCTATAATTCGCTGTACGCATTTCTTAAAAATTTCGATAAAGGTATAGAAGTTGCAAGCAAGTGATTTAAATCCAAATATCACCTTGATAAAAGGAGATATTTTAAAAAATACGCCCAAGCATCAGTGGATATTGCCCGAAATTTTCACAACAAACTATTGTTGATGATGATGCCACTTTGAAAACTGATTCTGTGACCTCATACGCTCTATTGAAAATCCAGTGAGGATTTACCATATGCCACTCGGCTGTTATCCATTCGCTGCAATGTAACGTTTAAAAATACAAGAAAAACGTCTCCCTCACAACACAAAAAAAAAAAATCGAAAGCACTTTTGACAAACTCATGATGCAGTTAATTTCGATGAATAAAACAAAAAAATTGGCACACCAAAATAAACAATAAACGTCTAGTACTAGGCAGCGCTACTTTATAGCGACCGTGCTGGGGTATATACTCGTACACTGAAAAAAAAGTTATAATTTAAATCTGTATTTATATTGTAAAACTAAAAAGTTTTTAATCAGTTCGCACCGAAAGTTTCTTTGTTCGAAAATTGTGTTATTTTGTTTAAGCTTTCCAGCAGTGACGTGCACATTCTCATTTTTAAATATTTTCGTTTTTCGCAATTAAAGACTTTGGTTTCTGTGTAGGCAGCGTGGCTCTCGCGATTTTGAAGCGGAAAACGGTTTTTCGTTTCGTTCCGTTCTTATTTTCCAGTTCGGGTGGGCGCGCATTTTGTTTGTTGATGTGGCAATTAAGCGCGCAAGTGTGCGCGTCGCATAGAAATCGGCATGCAGGGCTGCAGCTCGGGATCGGGAAACTATATAGCGAATGGAAGTGGAAATGGGAGTGGGTGGTGGCCACAACAGAACGGAGGCGGCTGCCGAAATTCGCGTGAAATTAAAAGTTGCCGCAAATATATAGCCGCAGCACTGTCACAAAGTTTTCCGCCTCGGCGTTTCCGCTTTGTTTACTTGCCGAAAATAGTGTCAAGTTTGGCCTAGTGTGCTCTCTTGTTCACTTTATTTATTCAAGGCGTTTCTTTTGTGCTCAGTGCTCGGTGTTTTTCTTTTTTTTTTTTCCCGCCCCACCCGTTTGCTAGTGTGCTCGCTCGGGCCTGGCCAAATGAAATGGAAGACAATTTACATTTTCATTACAAAATGCACTTGAAGGGCCAAGGTGAATTTAAATAGGATTCAATGTTCTCGTATCTGGTGGCTATTATTTAGAATTATATATTTTTATTTTATTTAAAGCATTTTATGAGTCTTGTACGTTTGGCCACATGTGTTTTGCATTATGCCGAAGGGCATTTCTATGCTAAACAAGTTCTTTTAATGGATCAACCATGTGGAAGCGATAAACTCACGCCTCTATAAGGTTAATCAAACCAAATCTGCATATAGCCAGATTTATAAGATTGCTTAATAAAAAAAAATATTATTTCAATATTTTTAATTGGTTGACTAATCTTTATTTCTATTCAAAGCATCTCAACAAAATATCCCTGAACCCTTTGAGACAGAATGAGTGAAGTTGCCAATCCCACGCCGAGCAATGCGCCCGATGAATCCACAATAAGTGCTGGCATTTACCACAACATAGCCACAAGCTTCACAGATCAAAATGTGGTTATATCGCCACTGTTATTGGAGGCCACTCTGTCACTCCTTTACCTGGGATCTGATGGAGCCACTGCCGAGGAATTGCAGAAACTTTTGCGACTGAAGCAACGCTTTCCCAGCAATGCCAAAATGGCAAACTTTTATGCCGCTGAACTGGGAAACATCACAGTCGATGAAGATACCCGCCTGGAGTTACAAAACCGATTGATGCTGCAGCCGCTTCCTGGTTCTGAATCTGGCATTGCCGATGATTTTCAGAAGATTGCCCAAACCTATTTTCATACCACTGCCGAGTGTGTTGATCTGGAGCAAACGGAGAAACTGCGTCGCCATATTAGCGAACAGATTCTTGCCAGCGTTGGCGGTGGCAGCTGGGACCAGATAAACCTGGAGGGTACCGCACCGGCGAAAACTCTACTCCTACTGGCTGCAAATCTTCGTAGCAAATGGTTCCTGCCATTCAGTGCCTATAGAACAGGACTATATGAGTTCCATAGTGGCAGTCAGGTTAAATCTGTGCCCATGCTCTTTGACGACGACATGTTTGTAAAATATGCAGAGCTAAGGGATGTAGACGCCCGCGCCATAGAGTTACCTTACGAACATGCCGAGGAGCTTTCTATGCTGCTCATCCTGCCCAACCAGCGCGACGGCCTTCAGGAGCTGGAGAAACAGTTGCGCGGCCTGGATTTGGGTGCACTGCAGCAGCGAATGCAGATGGAGGGCGTTCAGGTGCTACTGCCAAAATTCAGTATCGATTTCGAGTGCAGTCTGCGGCAGCCATTAAAACAGGTCAGTGAAAGTGAAACCAATACATGTTTCTTTTTTTTAATGGTTTTATTTTAAAACTATTTGGTTAACAGCTGGGCTTTGAGGAGATATTTGCCGCATCTGCGAACTATAAACATTTGCATCCATCTGGTAGTCTGCCCGTTGTCGATGTTCTGCAAAAGCTGCGAATAAATTTGAATGAGTCTGGATCTGGACCCGAGCTGACACGCGTTGCAGCAGGTATTTTATTTCTTAAAATTCTACGTTAAAAGGAATATCTTCATACATATCTTTTTTCAGAATATAAACCCATTGTGATCAGCAATTCCTCCCGCCAAAAATTCTTCCGAGCTGACCATCCATTTTTCTTTGCCATTCGCAGTGAGAATGTAACCTATCTTATGGGTCATGTGGTTGAATTTTAAATTTTGAGTGGAAAGGGTTGTGTAATATTTTAACTTGTATAAAAATAAGTAAAATAAAACTAATATTTACTAAACTAATGTTTAATAAATTTGCTTTGGAAGATGAAATATGTCTATGCTAAGATGTTAAGATTCGTTTACCAAATTAGTTAAAGTTTTCTTGCCAGGTAGTACTTGTACTGTTTAGGATACCTTTTTAGACATTATGGCAGATGGATGGTAACTACTACAAAAAGGAAAGCAATTTTTCTTAGTTTTAGTGTATAGAAAAGCTCTTTACTTATTCGTTGAAGATAAATGTGTAAACCAAAATATTTAAAAAGTTAAAAAAATGAATACTTACATTCCATACATTCTATACAAGAATTAACACGAAATTTCATAGATTTTCTAACAAGAGTCTTGAGTTTATTTAAAGATATATCTGTATAATTTGTTTTGTTCCAGAAATAGTCCTGTTATGTTTATTAGTTTTACAATTATTGTATTTTGTAGGTTTTTCTTTTAATCTTTCTTCCTTAATAGGGGCTTAATTTGCTTTAATACTAGGAAACTTTAAATGGAATCAAAAACATGTCACACACCATACTGTGTTCTCGCTCTTAAATTTTTCATTTTCATTGTTTTCCGTTCAATAGGCTTTTTGTAAATCTAGCTAAAAAGTTATCATTAGTTTAAATTCATTCAATTTGTTTACATATGCAATGACATAAAGTTTAATTTGTATTCTAAATATGAGTCTAGTGTATGATTGATGTTAAAATCACTTTAACAGACATTAACTTTGATAATTTCATGGATTGATAGAACTAAAAGTACCACTTGATCTCAGCCAGAATCTGGCAAGCTCAACGAAAACTAAGACTGGATGGGCATTTTTGATAAAGAATTGGTTTAAAATCAGGAGTTTAACTGATTGTTATCCAGATTAGGCATATCTGATGCATACGTACATGAATATTCACAGAGATTTCTACTGTAGTTTAGTTTGGAAATTTGATTTACATATATTTACATCTTTAAATAGAAAAACGAAGCCTCTTAAATGCATCTTAGTGTCGGTATTGGCCAACAAATGTCTCCCAACTTACACATTATTGCTATTGTTTTTGCTGGCTGTCATCACTGGTGGGCAGTGATGGTGGTGGTGGCATTCCGCCTCCGCCCTCCGTAGCATCAACAGCTCCCCTATTCAGCAAGTAGTCTAGATCGAGGGTGATACGATCCAGCGTTGCATCATTACCGCCGCAGCCACTTTGCGTGGGAGTGGGCGTGGCTGGGGTCGTGGTCGCCGTGCTGGTGACAGTCGAAGTAGAGACGACGGCCGCCACCATGGTGGGCAGCAGGGGGTCGAAGGTCGTGCGGGACGTCGGCTCCAGGATGGTCACTCGTTTCTGCGTCTTCGGTGTCTGGGTGGGCAGGGACATTGCAGGAAGCGTCGGTATCGCTGGTCCACTCAGGTTTCCGCTTATGGTCGGGGGTGGAGCCATGCTCAGGATTAGAGAACTGGGCACAAAGTCCACGTAGGGATTATGCTGCAGCGGAACATAATGAGAAGTGCTTGTGGCAGTGGGCATTATGGCACTGGTGTGAATGCCAATTATACTGTCTGTAAGGAGAGGGGGAATGGAGAGAGGAGGTGGTTAGCAGACACTAGATCTTGAATAATGCTTGACCATTTGCCCTCATACAGAAATTTTAGTCAATATAGATTTTGCACAGAGAACAAATCGTTTATGTAATGAAAAATATTAAATAATAATATTTAAATTCAAGTTTTCCGCCTGTTAAACTTTTAGCAAAAATAAAAACAAAATTTAGTAAAACTGATAAGCTATCGAATTTCAAGTTATTTTTATGTCTATGTGTACTTACCGGCTGCCACGCCCTGCAGGATATCGAGCGTCTCAACGCCCACAAACTCGCCACAGGGTCCTGGGCGATAATGAGTCGGTTGCTGATGCAACGTTCGCCTACCCAAGCTTCCTGTGAGACCGCCCACTCCCACGTTTACGCCCATACCCATGGTGTACGCATCGTACGCAGTTCCGCCGCCCAATATGGCGCAGCAACGTGTGTCCGGCGATGGAGCCACAGAGAGGGTCTGGCGGTCACCCAGGAAGGTCTCCACTGTGCCATCTGGTCCTGCCTGGCAGCGCGGCGCCGTCGAGATGATTGTCAACGGCAGTGGAACACCGGATCCCGGTGGTCCGGACAGTTCCAGGCCCACTTTCGATTGCAAGGGCGGGGCGCCGCCGCCAACTGACGAGGCCAAGGATCCGACTGCTGCGGTGGACACGCCTGCATTGGACATTGACAAGGACACGGCACAGTCGTTCTCCTTCTCTTTGTCGTGGTTAGTGTAGACTGAAAGTACGGAGGGGATACGGAGGTTATAAGTGGTGGGTTAGAATGGTTTGCAGGACTTGAACCTACAGCTCAGTGGACTATTCACATTAGCCGTCGTCGTAGTGGTGCAGTAGTTCTCGTCCAGACTGCTCCTGCTCGTGTTGAATTTGGCCTGCTTCAGCGAGCTGTTTTGACTGCTCCCGTTGCTGCTAAGGAAGGGTGGTCCACGCAGCTGGCTCTCGGCCTTGATGACGAAACAGATGAGGATGGCCGAGCCCTGGAAAAGCGATTGAATCATTGCTGTGATTGTGGCATAAACTTCCAGCCCATCTGGGCTGACCCTAATAAAATTGGGTTTTCAACGGGATGGGTTGTCGCCTGAATGGAGTCATTAAGCCACCGAAGACCCTTCGATTACGGCCAAGGTAGTGGTCCCATAAGCCCCTTTCGACGTGAAATCAAACCAAGCGATTGGGAAATTAAATGCATGACCAAAAGGCGGCCATAAATCGAGGCCAAACCGTATGGGCCATATATGGCCATTATGTCCTTTTTTTCATGAGCGCAATTTATGGGGGACAAGTCAAACCAAATTCCAGGCCTGGATTTTCGAACAAAATTAATTGCGAAATTAGCGTAAGAGACTTAAGCTCAACGTACTGAATGGCTCGGATCGGATAGATTCCCTTTGCATGCTCCAATGGGATATTAAAATGCATAGTACAGAGGGCTTAATACACAGGGAAGTCGTTATTATGTACCAACATATTATTTATCTTTTGTGGAATAATAATATTTATCTCCTTCTCTGTTAACTACGTTCACTATTTAATAACCCATTTAATGTATAATTTATAAGCTATCTTTAATATATTTTTCTTGGTGTACTAACCATGTCTTGGCCATTGTTTAAATAATTAAACAGCAAGAGCAGACAGAGCAATGCCCACGCCCACAATCAAAGTGATTTTGGTGCACATTAATAGTCCTGGACCAGCAGCATTGAGTGGGTTGTAGACATTGTGGCTTGGATTCAAGGAGGCGGCTGCTCGACCTAATTTGTTTGTGTTTGAATTTGAATGTGGCCCGTGCGCATTACGTATACGCCGAGTGGTATACCTATACATACACACACACACGCGCGCTCACTTGCCGGCTTCCCACATCAAAGTGTGTGCGTGTAATTATGTGATTAGTTTTGCCAGGATACACTAACCTATGCCTCCGCCCGTGCAGATAATTGTTTATTTAATTGGATTCAGCTGATTGCTGGGCGTGCGCATAGCATTAAACGGTTTAATGCCATTCTAGAGGCTACAAAAAATGAAACAGAGTCCATCTCATCCTTTTAAATCTAACATCCCATCGAAACCCATTCCATCCCAGCGAAGAAATCCGTGGTGTAGAAATTAAAGACAAGGAGATGATTCCACTCAAGTGGCAGGTGGGTAAGTCGAGCGCACTTATTTCATTTGCACAGCAAATCACCGAGAAGTGGAATAAAAAGCAAGCCATAACAGCTGGAAGTGGAAACCGAAGTCAAGTGTCAAAGCCAAGGGCAAAATAAATACGAAAAGGCTTCTTTCCAGCTCTTTGATCAGGCAGTAAATGCAGTCAGTAGATGGCTATATGCCACGCCCACTCTCACTTTCAACCGCCCCATATTCTTCGTTGATTTTGCATGCATAATTTGCACGTCAGGTGTAAAAATATGCAGGCTTTACACTTTGATAAAATATGCAACTTAAATAAGTCGTTGGGAGTAAAAACGAAATGCGATTTGCATAAGCCTGCGCGGCAAGTAAGTATGTACATTTCATGCTGCGCCCCTAATAGTTGGACAAGCAAATGGGATTGGATCCGAATCAAACAACCGACCCTAATCCCATCCAGCCAAATACATATATATTGCATTGTTGCGCTTAATTGAATTTCAATTGATGGTCCACTTGATGGCTAAGAGGATGTAAACGGTTCCACGCACACTTACCAATAATATGCACGATATGCCGAACGGATATGCCCACAAAGTATCCGGTGATGAATTAACATAAGCGATGAAGAGTCCATCGCTGCAGATTTTGGCCAGGAGCAGTCCGCCCGCCCGGTACAGTAATCCGAATCTGTGCGAATAAATTAGAGGGAAGAGTAGATTTCAGCATTTTGGCATTTTGGCAGCGATTGTTTTGGTTTCGTTTTCGTTTTATATCAGATTAGCTTAGACAAGGCAAAATGGAAGTTCTACAAAAAGAAATGGGGAATAAAAAACCAATGGGAAGTACTGTGCGGTCATTAAAATCTAAGTATTTCCCTATCCCCAAGTCTTATCTCTTTGCCCGTTTTCCGTTCTTCGTTTTCCATTTTGCCCAATCGGGCCTCTTTCGACTTACCGCCTGCTCAAAGCCAGATTGAATTTATCCAACGGATGCGTATGCACATTGCGATTCTTGTGCCACAACCACAAAAGTTTCTTCATTAAAATGGCAAACAGGGCAAAGAAGAGCAGGATGAAGAGCAAATCGATGCAGACGAACAGAATGAAGCTCAAGGAGGGCGATGGCGCTGTCGAAGCGTCACTCAGACCGGAAGTTAGAGGCGCAGCCAGCGAGGAAACGGAAGTGGAGGTGCTGCTTGCACCATTCCTCCAAGAGGCACTGAATCCACTGTTACTTGCAGTTCCTATTCCCGTGATTGATGACGTTGACGTAGCCGCATCATCATCGACCGACTGAGTTGTGGATGATGATGTCTCTGTCGGCGGGCTGCTCGTCCCATTTCCCATCAGTGCCTCTGATTCGAGCAGTAAATTATCTCCATTGAGTAGCGAGTGGGTTGAATAGAAGGCGCCAGAATCGGACTCCTCTGATTCCTCCTTGCCCCCGGCGGCAGCATCCGGGGTTGGGGATCCTTTCCAGACCACCTCCAGCCACCAATGGCGCGGCCACTGTCCAATGATGCTGCAGATTAGCGGTGCGGCAACGGCGAAGAGAAGCGGCAGAAGCCAACTGATGCCAATGGCGCCACGCATTCCTGCCGTAGAACTTGGTTGTTGGCGGCGTTGGACTGGATTGCAGGAGGAGCCAGAGACGGCTGAAGAGGAGCCCGTGGTGGCCCCCAAAGGCGACTGAGCCCGGATCTGAGTGATGTTGCTCAAGCTCTCCAGCTCCTGTTCCCGATCCCGCTCTCGCTGTCCCGCTTCACGTTCCCGCTCGAGGCGGCGCTTAGTTGGCGTCCCCGGCTTGCTGCCAATTTGTAGATACTTTTTCGGCATCAGCTCCGTGTGGATGGCCAAGGCAATCGCAATCAGCGTCGAGATGCCCAGCAACAACAGCGAGGCCAGCGAGCTGCTAATGATGCCATGCCAGCTCTGCAAGAGGAAATTATGAACGGCCGTTAATAAGGAAATGGAGTGCTTTGACGGCTGAGCTGCAACATCGTTATTTTTAATTAAATATAAAAAGTTGTCATCGTGCCGCATCAGAGGCAGCAGCATCAGCAGCATCAACACCCAGCCAAGGAAGCCATTTGGTGGGATTTTTTGCAACACCCTAATGGTGACATTTTGGCATACATTTTTTATTACACTTTTCCCGCGCTTCGTTGACTGGACATTGGTTATTACAAAGTTGTAAACAATTTGCGGAACATCATTTTTCGGACTCTGCTTTCATAACCAATTAGGAACCGGTGTCCAGAAAATATAGCATACTAAAAATGCATCTTAAATTGCATTAACAGATATCTTATGGCTAATTGCTTTTAGGGATTTGGAGAATAAAAATGTTTGATGTCTCAGTAGTTAATATCTAACATAAATGTAGAAGAAATGTTAAGTTTATTGTAAGTTTATTACCTTATTTGAAGTATCTACAACTTGCAGCTAAAGAATTCGTGTTTTTAGGCTTATTTATATACGCTTATATCTTAATTTAATTATTTAAACTTAACAATGCCTGACTCGATCTATATTCTGAAAATAAACTTAACTTAAGTCTTAAAGTTTCAACTACAGTTGCTGGAGCGTATTACCTCCACTCGTTATCTTTAGTAGCCTTCGGGGCAAATGTGAGGAAAACATTTTGTCAACTTTTTAATTTTCAATTTACAATACGAAAACGAATATGAATATTTCCACCCCGTCAGTTCGTCGGGGAAAATTATGAGTTAAGTGCGCTTAAAAGCTTTCGCCTTTCACATGTCCTGCTGCAGTGGCAGTGGCACCCCCCTCTTGCCTACCTTGAGGGCGTCAGGCGTACCGACGAGTCGTATGCGTAATTTATGTTTTCTTATTTATTTATTGTTTTTTTTTTCGTTCCGTTTAACTGTCGTGCTGAAATTGTATTTTATTTATGCTCGCAAATATATGCAATAAGTAAAATGAATATTTTAATTGTATTTATTGTGGCATTGCGTGGGCGTGGTCGCGGTCTGGTGGCTGCGGTTGACGTCCGACGCCGTTGGCAGCCGCGTCTTCGCTACAGCTCCTCATTTTCTTGCTTCTCCCCTCTCTCCTGCCGTTGTGATCCTGGCGCTGTGACACGTGTTTCAAACCATAAAATTTGCATGTGTGCACATGTTCGGGTGTGGTACTTTTTAATAAAGTTGCCCTGCCCGTGTGTGCACGCAATTAATGTGCAATAATAATAAGAATAATAATAATAATAATAAGTGTGTGCGCGTTGTATTATTAAGACAAAGTTTCCCTCTGGCACTTTTGCCAGGCTGAAAATGCCGCGAACTACGAAATACGAAATGCGCATTGTGCAACTCATCGTCACTGACGTAAGTTGCTCATTAACTTGGCCAACAGAGGAGAGTCCGCATTGTGCGTTTCCGTTGCCAGTAGCCGGGGGCCAGCCTATGCCAGCCTATGGTATATTTTTATTGTGCGGACTTCTAAAAGGGGACGATCTCCACAATAAGCTCCTGCATCTCCGTCGTCCTCGTCGTTTAGCACAAACGTTCATTATTCAAAAATTCCTCCATTGCAATCCTTTGAGACACAACCCGTATTGCGTGCGGCAAAAATGCCGATGCAGATAGCGAAACATACTCGCTCCGCTCCTCCGAATGTGGCGTCCACGGTCGGATTCACTGGCATTCAGATCTTTGTGCCTAGGCCGCCACCGTCACCATAGTCGTTTGCCTTTGTCAGCGTTTCGAGAATTTGAATATTCCCAAGAGCTGCATGGCGAGAAAATGTTTATATCCTAATGATATTTCTAGCTTATGTTTATAGGTATTATGGTTCAATATGTTAATGCCATGGTAATCCAGCATTTATCTATGGGACTAAACTACAAAATTGTACTTTTACATAAACCGAATTAGATGTTATTTCCTTAATCACTTCTTCTAATTTATTGCCCTTTTTATAATTACTTTTTAAAGCTTTTGTTTTAGATAACTTTCAGTTAGTTCTAGTTGTCAGAAAAAGTTTTGTCTTCTGCTGAAAATTGTACTTCCTTTGCTTGCTAACTAAATCAAGTCGAGATATCCAGATAATTGAGGAATGCTTCTATTTGGCTTGCCATCCCAGCAATATGTTTTTCCAAGTGTGCCTGCCTCCTTTTTCATTTTCATTCTGCCTTGCTTAAACCTTTCCATACTGCGTCCTGGCATCCTCCTCCTGAATCTTCATCTGCAAGTGCCGCTCCTTTGTCGTCTTCTCGTTGTCGTACACAATGTTTTATTTGTTTTTCATTCGTTTATTGAGCCGTTGTTTCCACTGCGGACCAGTTTATTACTAATTCAAAAATGTTATTTCTTGTTAGAGCTTTGCAGTTACTTCTTTTTTTAGTTTTTTGCCTTTTAAGTCGAGGCTCCTTCCGATCCCCGGGGATTAGGCATCGCAACTTTATTCGCTTATGCTTTTTTCGTTTTACGTTTATAATTTAGACGGCTGTGCGGATGCTTTGGGGACTTCCATGGGATCCTTGGCCAATGGGTTTTGAGATTCGGGCGGGTGCCAGGGCAGGCAGCATATATTCCATCCAACGCGCTCGGGTTAGCAGCGTCTTCCCCATTAACATTTTCCCACTTCAAACGTCTGAGAGTGTGCGTTTATAAATATTAATTTCGATTCCAGTTGCCTCCTCCGGGCGTGCTCCTTTCGCATCCAGCCACCTGACCTCCTCGGAGTCGGCGTCGTGTATTGTTGACTTTTAATTTCCTTCCAAGGAGGTCGACGCCAACAGGTTTGGGAATTGTTTTCCATGAATTTTCCGTTTGGCTGCCACGAAAACTAAATGTAAATTATTTGCTTTGTTGTCCACCGACCTCTTAATATCCGTGGTATGGTAAGGAATGCTATGGTATGGTATGGTATGGTAACGACTTGCAGACGACACGCTAATTTGTTTTGATGATGATTACAGATTTTCTGCCTTGGCCGTGATTATTATTTGAAAAGCCAGCTTAAACTCGTGTTGGGAAATCGGTGATTGCCGGGGAACAGACACCGCAAATAATTACAATTTAAGGGTTTTGGCCTGCTAGTTTAAGCCGATGGGGAGTTTGCCTTATTTTTTTGTAAGGGGTTTCGAAAAACTCGTTTGTGCTTCGATTGCCTTGTGCCTTTCCCATTCGCCTTGCCTTATATCATCATGCAACACTTTTTGTTATTACTTTTCCGACTCCTCCTGCGCTCCTGCTGCTCGGCTGCTCGGTTCCCGCTGTATGTTTGGTTTTGGTTTTCGGGTTGCTTTGCTTTCAGCTTGGCTTTTCTCCATTTTACTTGTTTATTTATTTTGGCGTAATTAAATTTCACGCTTTGGTTTCCTTTTTTTTTTCATTTTTCCTTGCTCCCAGTGCAGGCTCTCAAAGGCTTTGTTTTAAAGGGCCGCATAACACTAAAGCATTTAACTGCACCAAAGCTTTGCTTTTTCGCGTGGCATTCAAGTATTCAATGGTGAGAAATTACAAAATTAACGAGTTGAAGTGAAAACTATCATTGGTAAGTAAGGGTCTGTGTGTTTTTAGAAATGTTTTTTTACTAGAAGTTTATATTTAAGAATAGTTCTTCCTTATCTAAAAACTTTGATATTACAGCGTAGAATATAACTTAAAATAAAAGCTTGAAGTAAGTTAGTTTGATTTATTTACAATCTTTCTTAGCTATGCATACTAGTAAACCGCTATCTTTGTCAAAGGATTTATAGAAATTCTTATTATTATTAATTACTAAAAAAAAACAACTTACCACTGGCAACATTTTCATGAAACCCAGCAAGTAAATCAGCATCACACTCGACGTGGAGACGCAGAACTGCATCTTGAGGAACGTGACCGCGCATTTGCGATTGCACCAGATGGGCACCAGGATGAGAAGGGCAGATCCGCATTGGAGGAGGCAGCAGGCGCAGCTGGCGATCACAAAGATGGGACGCCGCGGGGCATGAGAAGGAGTGGCCTGGAAATGAAATTGACGAAAGCCGAAAAAAACAATTAGCAATTCAAACTAGCAGCGAAGCGAAGGCTAAAGTCGGCCAAAATGCTGTTCGCCTTGGCAGGCTGCCGCCGACAATCGACCGAATTCAAATTTGGACAGGGATGGAGACTAAAACGGTCAGAATCTATTTTTTATCCTTCAACTGAAAACCTTCGTTTAAGCCAAGTCATTTGAATATCTAGGGCAGTTCACCTAATTCCGGTTTAAGGCAAATTAAATAAAATATTTAAATAGAAATGTATTGCAAGAAAGCAAACATAGAATATAAATTCTTTAAATTTTGTATTAAAGTTAACTTAATCTTCAGCCAACAAGCTATGACGAATTAAATAAATCAAAAATAAAAACTTTATTTCCTTCAAGACAAATAAAGCCACCACCGAAATTCAGTGAATTAAATAACCGGATTAAAGACCCAGAAATACGAATAAAACCCCCTCCGGGTTGTTTGATCTCCCTGCATCCCTGATTTAAAGTATTTCCACTGTGACTGAATGCAGCCAGCACCGTTCACAATCCAAAATACAGAGTACAGAATACAGAAGCGAAACCCAGAAAAACCGAGTGCATTTGGAGCAAGTTCATGGCAGCAAAGGCCAAGTTGTTGATTGCGACCAAGGGAAGCGGAAATGCGGACGCTGGGGCAGCACAAAGAGAGAGGTAGCTGGGCTTTCCAGGTGTGAGGCCACTAAATGGCAGGACCTAAAAGTGCCATAAATCAAAAGGGGCTTTCCACTTTGGTACACGTGAATTGCATGAATTGGGCAGCTGAATTCCAAACCGAATCCGAATCACAGCAAATGGCCTTGGCGACCTTGGTGACCCTGGCTTACATTTAGCTGACGCTTGGTGAGCATGACCACGTAGGTTCCAGACAACGGGCAAATGCAGCGCGTTATGTTGGCCATCAGATGCTTGGTGATGCATAGATCCGATCGCCACGTGGAGTCGAAAGATGCCTTGTAGTCGTGACTGCTTGGACAATGGTTTGGATTTAATAGTGCGTTAACGACTGGACTTAATACCCTCACTTACCCACAAACGGCCACCCAATCTCCGGTTTTGGGAACGCTTTCATGCTGAAATATTATCTCCACATGTCCAGCCTCGAAGGGTAAGTCCAGTGGTTCGCGGAAATTATCATTGGAGCGATTCGATTGAAAGAGCCAGGTCTGAATGATACGAGAGGCCAGCACATAGTCCGAGTCCCTGGGATCGCTATTATATAAGAAAGAAATCATTTAACTTGGGAATAAGATGAAAGTCTATAAGCTAGTAAAATCTAAAAATAAATGTAATAATATATATATGGTTTTCCTTTCTAAGAAGCCTTTCAAATCTTTATCCATTCCATTTTAATAAGAAAGGTTAGTGCCTTGCATTATTTCTTATTAAAAAAAAGAATCTTACAAACTTTAAGAATATTATTATTCAGTTTGCTGTAATCAGATCCAGCTTCTGTCTTTATGGGCAATAATCAAGATTTGATAGCGACTGTGTTGGCATTTCATGTAACTCGGAAAACATACTTTTCCCCATTTTCATTTTTTGCTCTCTTCCTTTGCTGGCAGTTGCATATTTGCATTTTGTTTACAGTTTGAGAATTACACTCGTTGCTGTGGTATTGTTGCTAGAGTTTTCCAGCTTTCCAGCTGGATGTAATACGCTTAAGCCAAGGAGCCATCTTGCCGCCAGAAGAAAAAGCTGTCTGATGAAGGGTAGAAGGAGAGTGACAGCAGTTGGCATTACACATATTTGAGGACTAGGCAAACATGGCTTACGAATTATACATCGGTGGCCATAAGCCAGGGCTTAGCCAAGACAACTTTCTTGGGCGGGCAACATTAAAGCGAGGGAATTAAACATGTGCCGTTGGTGTTGTTGTTCACTTTTAAACTCTTTACTTTTATTTACCAAGATCGTTTAAATTCCGAAACTTTGTTAAACTCTTTCACACAGACCGCCCATTAAGTACTAATTAGCGAGCACTGAACCAAGGCAATTGGGAAACTTGTAGCTGTTTTAACTCACCTGCCACGCGTGTAGTAGGTCTTGGGGAGAAAACTTTTCAGATTCTTGTAGGAGATGACCGAGGCGAAAATCGTTGAGTTGGCCATGATGTGCAGCAGTCGGGCGGAGAGTCCAATGTCCATGTAGAGCTGGTCAGAGAACAAATCCTCGCTGGCGAAATGTAAAAGAAAAGGTAAAGGAAAATGCATGAGCCGCCGTAAATCAGGCAAATTGTAGTCGTCGTCCGTGCATTTAAGGCACTTAATTAGCTAAATTAGACACTTGGAAGCCATGGAGCCTAAGAACCGGCAAGATGGAAATACCTGTCCGGAAACGACAAGATTCTCCCCGTCTCTTGGTTAGTCCTGGTTGCAAGCCATGGCCTTATACCGCCTCGACAGTGCTTCTCCACTTTTATGAGCCATTCTTCATGCCACGACCTCGCCTGTTTTATGCATTTTTTATTTATGTTTGCTCATAAAATAAATTTTCCATTAAGAGCCCTCTGGCAAGAGAGAGGGGTATTGGGGGAGGGTGGAAAATCGTTTTCCTTCGTCGCATATATTAATCAAGGGGCCGTAAAATGAAGTTTACTGTTTTACTTGGGTTGCGAAATTTGCATTTCGCCCCATTCGTAATTAGAAATTATAGCCGTTTCCTGCGCTGTGCAAAATCAGTCGTGTGTCCGATTTCATTTTAGAGGCCATTTATCTGTTTGTTTGTGAATGCAACTCACCCGTAAATGCGTAAATTAAACGGCAGCGTTTTCACCGATGTCATGTAAATGCGCAGCGAGTTGAGTCTGTCCAGTGACAGGGTGTCCTCATCGACTGTCAAAATGCTCGAGGCACCAGATCCAGATGCTGCTACTGCTCCACCGCCACCGCCGCCGCCGGCTCTTGTTGCCTGAAGGCTGCCCGCAGGACCCGCGGAAATCTCACCTGCCGTTACTCCTGACCCGCTGCCATCGTCACCGCGGGTCGAACTGTCACCCGGTGACGGCTGACTGCTGCTGCCACTGGTCGAGGTGGCCAATTGGGAGGCCGCGATGGTCTCGCGGTTCAGCGCCGCCGATTGCGTTAGCTGCTGCAGCTTTTTAATTTGCTGAAAGGAGAAATAAATGGAAAGCGTGCATCACACGGCGGGTAAATAATGGCTTTCATTGTTGTTCAACAAATGCAACGTGCCACGTCCTCGTGTCACCGCTACAAGTGTAAAGACTGGATGATGATTTTGGGTTTCATATTTCTCATTCAATTTACAAAAATTTCAACTCAGTCGAACTTATATTTTGGAAAATAAAATCTGGGAATTGAATTGTTAACTATTAAAAACTAAAAAATAAATAAAAATAATATAAGAATAGAAACTAGAAATTCATGAAAACAAAATGTAAGAAATCGAAAAGAAAGTTAAGTACTTTATGCTAAAACCTGTTTGGGTCAAAAGGGGGATATTTGAGCCAGATTTCTTTATTTTTTTTGGGATAAATAAACATGTTAGTTTGATTGCAAAAAATACATTTTCTTTTTAAAGTTAAAGCTAACATCTGGAAGACTTTTTGATAAACAAATACAATGTTAAATTAAAAGCTTTTGGCTTAAAAATAACTCCTTATTTAGACCCTCTCTATGTGTAAAAGTCATGAATACGAAACTGAAATTGTATGTAAATGCCTGAGGGGATTTGATGTGCTTGCATTTGCTTGAGAAATCAAAACAAAATCATTTTTGAGGTAAAAATATTAATAAAAACAAACCACAAAAATAAAGTCTTTATCTGTTTATTTGTTTGTTTGGCCCGGAAAAACGAGACCTATTTTTGCAAGTGTGTCTGAAATTCGAGCGTTCATCTGTGTTTCAATATGAAGGATAGGTAATACAGATAAGACCACAGCATATGCCATGTTTATATTTACTTGGCCAACCCCAGAAACTCCACACCACACCCCCAACACACACAGGGAAATAATCGAGCCAACAACAATCGGATGGAGACCGGCGATGAACTTTGGCCGAAATCAATGCCATAAAAGAAAGGGGAAGGGAATATAGGGGGGGATGTGTGGAGAACACAGGACAAAGTCCTGTCCTGAGGCCGCTGGCCATGTGGCATATTTTCTGAATGCCAACGAGGGCAGGGGCCAACAGAAAGCGCAGTAAATGAACCCGGCCATAAAAATCATAAATTGTTACGTTCTCGAGTGCAGTTACAAAGCCATAAACCGAGGCCAATAAGCAGGACCCAACTATAACGTTCGATTTTCGCAGTTTGTAATGCAAAAGCCATTACAAGCGGCTCGTCTGTGCAGAGAGGGATTTCAAATTTTGCAAAATTTATAATGCAAAGCTCCCCAGTACATACAGCATTTTTGGCCAATGTGTACAGAGATGGGGCAAGCAGTCACTTTGGCATTTTGTTACTCGGCAGTATTTCCTGCACAAATCAAAAATAACATCGGACTCAACGCATTTGTATTTTTTACATAAGATACAAACATACTGCTGCATAAATGTTCGGGCCAACTAATCGAAAGCGAAAACAATTCCAATTGGAAAAGTTTGTGTAATGGAACTTTTGTGAATCAAAAAAAAAAAAAAGAAAATACAGGAAAAATCCAAAACTTCAGCATCATCAGAGCATTAAGCTTTGGTGCTGTATATATGAGTGCCACGCCCATCTCGACCCAATGCCCATTCAAATGTGTGGCATTCGTATGATTTCTTTAAAAGGCGCTGAAAAGAAACTCTCGAAATCGAAAAGGGGGAGGCAAAAAAAAAAAAAAACGAAGAAAGCCGATGAGGAGAAGGCCTGCAAAAAGTTTTCCATGTGCAAATTTCACTTGACTTTCGACCTAGCCACGTTTAGCAGTTTACCGGCAAATCACTTGGCCGCCCCAGTATGAAAAGGGCGTGGCCATGTGTGGGCCATGTGTGAGGAAAAAGTTTTTTAGTCCGGGAACTGCAAAGTTGAGCCGTGACTTAGGGTCACGTTTGCCAGCGAATACTTTTTGGCTAAGTGATTCGTCGTGATTTGATTTGAATGGGAAGCGCTTTTGGCCCACTTTTTTAACCATTCCAGCAGACTGCGATCAAAACTTGCAGCCTGACCATATTCCACAGAAAATAAAAGTGGGTCAGTTGAGTTAACTTTGGTCTGGTCAATGCCGAACTTATGCAAATCCTAGCTAGCTGCTCGCACAAGTGTTTTAATCAACTTTTCGGGTTCGTTCGCTTTGCAAACATCCAAAAATGAGCAGCTTTCCATCCGCAAAAACTTTTTCAATTGCCATTTCCACAAATACCGCAAATGGAGGCGATGACGCTGTCCAGTCCGATCGGTTTGACATTCAGTTCACTGGGCGTGAATGGAAATTGGTTTTAAGCAAATGAAATGCTATCATAAAAATTTCCATTCGGGATTATTATTATCTATCAACATATTGATGTGGCTTAGGCCAGGCCGCATATTAAACTCACCATCGCACATGACAATTTATATGGCTGAATTTAAGTGGCTTTATGGATGGCATTTCATGCAACTTTAACTTTCAACTTTCCAATTTGCTTTGGGCCATCGAATGTATATTGCGTTAACGTTGACGTCTTTGGCCAGTGGCGGGTACGGCTGATTACTTTCACGGATTTTCTCGGACGCCTCGATCCACTAATTAAACTTGATTGCGCGCGAAAAATTCGATAAACTTGGCGGGGATTCGGCTCACTCCATTAAACTTTTCGTTCAGTCAATAAAAACGATGGCGAACTATTTGTTCAACTTCAGAAAAGTTCGACGAATGCCAATGCTTTTTAATCGACCCAATTATGCTGCCAAGTTTTTCAGACTGCGTCAGCTAATAAAAATTTAACATAAATTGTTCTTTCTGGAGCGACTTTTCGGGCTCACATGGCGCATTATATTGAAATGCCATAACTCAGCCGAACTCTCTCGCAAAACTAAATTAATTTATAAGCATTAAAAACTTTTCCTACTTTTCATTCTCTCCTGCACCAAGCCCGCTAACTATGAGCTAAGCAATCAGAGCCACCGAAAACAGGAAAAACTTATTTAGTTCAACGATCGTAAAAGACGAATATTAAAGCCGTTAGCGAGAAGTCAGTCAGTTGGCTAATAGATTATGCTGAAGGTGTCCGTGGGCCAACAGAGACTCGACAGCAAGGAAGGAAGCCTTCCAATTATCTTCGCTTCATGACAGGTCCGTGGAAAGAGGCGCGCCATATTCAAACAGTTGCAATCAACACTCTCATAAATTTGCATACCAAAATTTCAGCCTTATCCTGGCTGTTGGCATCAGTCCTTTCTTCCACTTTTATGCCGTACGCCAAGTACGCGAAATTTGCCCACAGAATAATACATGAGAAGGGAAGTGTCTCCGCCCAAACAAACCCTCGTGTCCTTCACTCGGAAAATCCTCTGTTGAGCTGGAAACAATGGAAACCACAATCTCAGGCGGAGATACACGTCGCCATGATGGAAAAAAATAAAGCGACGCACTTTTCACCGCCATTTGGAGCCTGGAGATTGGCCAAAAGTGTCTGCCTTTTTCCAGGTGATAAGGAAGTGGTTATCCTTATTGTCCTGTGGAGGGTCGCGGGTAAATTGTTTGATTGCCCCTCATTAGCAGCACCTTTTTAGACTCCACTGACTTTGCCTCACTCTTGTGTATGTAAGGGGAAGGGAAGGTCCTTCTCTATTAGCTCTTTTGGTAAATGGAGCGTAAATAGGCTTTTAGGGATAGCAACACCAACTACAAGAGGACTAAAATTGGTCATGCCTGAGTTTTAATCTCGTAGAAGTCTAACCAATTATCGCTGCAGTAAAATCGGCACGTGGAGCACGAAGTTGTCGGCTCAGGAAATCACATAATTCACCTCTTACACAGGACAGAGAAAAACCACAGACAAACCGAAAAATGCACAAGCTCATGCATATCGAAAAAGGTATTCATTACCAGCCGGCAGGCTCATCAATTCTCCGGCTGCTTTGGAAATCCGAACACGGATTGGGGAGACAAATGTACGTATATGCAAATTGCCGCCGCCCAGTGACAGGCCAACTACAAGCTAAATAAAAGCTGGAAAATGCCCACCTTTGCCCTAGTTCGATTCCGATGGCAGCAACAAGAGAGGGTGTCTGTGTATGTTTTCGGGTGTAATAAATTCCCGAAAGGGTAGGGAAACCTGGCTGGCAAATATTGAATATGGCTGTAGGTTATAAATTATGGCGCCCGAACGCTTCTCTGCCACTCCACTTTGCTTCAGTCTACTCCATATGGGAGTACACTTGCCATAATTTATGCGCAATTGCAGGCAAAGCATCCTGGCATCCCGGTATCCCGTTATCCTAGCACTTACCTGTTGACTGTTCAAGGATTGGGCATTCTGCATGACTTTATCCAGGATGCGCAGTATTATCTCCGCGGCCATCTCACGCTCCAGTTGTGTGCCTTTCAATTGCAGGTAGGTGTCGAGCTGTGAAATGGCCAAGGAAACAGAGTGTTGAGACAACATAATACAAGTCCCCATTCCCTACTCTCCACCCACACACCCACTCCCACTATTAAAAGGAATAAGAAACTAGTACCTTCCCGGATCGCTCTCGACTTCTTCTCACGGCAATTCGTTAGCCGGGAAATTTGTGTGCGCATTAAAATGAAAAATTGTTGCTAGGCGACGACCCCAAAGGCAAAGTAGATGGAGACCGGAATCTTTCTTTGACTGCAGTTGGGCAACCGAAAATTGTGTGAAAAATGGCAAGCCGCCCGGCTCAGCAGCTTTTTGCATTCATTTGCGTGTAAAAATAGTTACTCTGGTCCACAAGGCACTTCGTTCGTCCTCTCTCAAGTGCCCGGCATCCAGGTGAAGCTTAAATGTGTTAAGGGTTTTGCGGACGGAACAGACGAACCGGACAAATGCCTGAAAACGGAGTTCGGAATCTCTCTCTGAGGAAACAAGATATTACGCCGCAAAGGGAATTGCAATTCCGATTTTGATTAGGCCAATTTAGCCAAATCTGTCACATTTCGGGAATGTTATTGCCATCCCCTCGGTGGCTTTTACATTTATACCTTTGCCGGGGGAATTATTTCAGTACTAACAGTGGTTTGTCAATCAGTTGGGAATTTATTTCAGAAATCCTTTTAAAATATGTATTTTGGGGGAGAATATTTGAGTGCCTCTGTGTTGGTAATAACTTTACTCTCTACTTGATCTATAGAATCAAAGCGTGAGCTATGGCTTTTGATCTTGAGCTCGTTGTAATCAGTACAAGTTTACCTTTAATATTTATTAAATATAAAACCAAATACCTTCTAAACTTCGGTTTCCCAAGTTATATCCCCTTTGAATTGCAGATTCCAAAACTTACCTCATGCAACATATCGATGAGAAAGCTGGCCTCCCCGGGCAAAAAGCTGTTACGCCTTTGGAGAGTAAAGTCGAAACAAGCCTTCAGGATGTTGGAGGAGTTCGTTTGCTGGAAGCCGGCGCTCAAGGAAAGGAAGCGGTTATAGATGAGCAGCAGTTCGTCCCTTACGCAACCAGAAAAGTCAGGCAACAACCAGGTGGAATTTCCCGTGTCTCTTTGCTCGCAGATGCGACGCAGGTGACCCTCAAATCCCCGTGGGCAGTCGGTGATGATGGGAGCTCCAGGTGCACTGGTAGGCCAATGAACACCGTAAGTGGACTCCGCCGGACATACATGCACGGCATTCCGCTCGATGACATTGATGTAAACACTTCGGGACACGGGACGCACACTGTTGGATACCAGGCAGGCGTACTCCGCTGACTTCTGGATGTTGTTGATCTTCAGAATACTGCCGTCGGGATAGAGGTCTTCCCACATGGCTGTGGCTGCGTCGGACTGGAAAAGGACGCCATTGCGGGTCCAGCTGTAACCCAGTTGGGCATACCGTTTGATGTCATCGTTGCCGGGTGATAGACATCTCACCCGCAGGGAATCCCCACGCTGCAGGGTCACACTAGCTGGATCCACGCGCAGACGGGGCGGAGACTTGATGTGGATGTGCAAGGAGCGGCATTGCTCTACGCCCCAGTCGGTGACCTGCAATATGAGGAGGAAGGAGGAGAACGGTAGACAGTGGTCAGTGAAGCTCATTAAACAAAGTCCAGTCAAAGGGACAGGCCACAAGGAACGCCTGTCAGTGGCAGACCATAATGCCAGGGGTTTTGATTACTCATATCAACAGAGGCACACAGTTGTGGTCAGCAAAAAAAACACTGGCCATTAAGGAAAACGCTTTTATTTATTCATAGCCATGTCCGTGAACCAATATATATTTCCAACAATATCATACATAACAATATCTTTTTTGTAATTAAAACAATATGTTTGTAAATGTTTTTCAATCGTTTTAAGTTAATTGTTACTTTTTTGCACTTTTTTCATTCAGTTTTTAAGAGAGACTTGCGGAAAAAATGGATTCATTGGAATATGCCAATACACTTTTATTAAAAACTAAAAATTAACAAATAAAATATTGGAAAAAATATCCATAAAAACCCAATATTTCCTTGCCTTTTCTTATTTTTTGAAAATATATAAAAAAAATGTATGTTTTTTAAGAAAATTTGCAAGAACTGCTAAAACGACCCTAACTGTCTTCGCATTGATAAACCAGCAATTCTCGATAACTGAGGACCGTCCGGCCAAACATCAACATCAAACTTATGTAAGAGCAGTGCACACATCCTGGTGGTTGGACACTGGCGATGTCCTTTTCATGTATGTCGGCACGGACAAAGGGAAACAATTGCGGCCAGCTTCTGTTCGAAGTTCGAAGGCTGTCAGCCGGCAGCCGTCGCCTGGTCTCCCAAGGATTTGTTTAATAGACTTATTTGCTAGTCAGCTAGACCTCATTGTGTGCTGATTGGATATGACGAGGCCTGATTTTGCTTGGGTTTGCTGTTTGACTTGGGGCCGAGAATGTGATATTCAGTCATAAATCAAACGGCAAATCTCGTTGAAAGGCATCGTGTATTAGTTTATGAAATGTAATTTAAAAGCTTAACAGCCCGAACGGGATGGATTTTGCAAAATGTATTTGTCGTAACAAAATAAGGCATTGAGCTGGGGATTAGTATTTGCCTAGGCACTCGAACGGCAAGTCAGACGATGTCCAGTGAAGCCTTTGCTGTTGGCTTCTAAGGACTCTTCAAGCTCCACACGAGCCAAAGTATTTACGACCACTTGCTCGGCCAAGAGAGGATGGCTACTTAAAGCCTCTGTGCTGCCGTGTGGGTTCGGGCCAACGGGCCAACCTCTTGCATTTATTTATTTCCACGCGGCTAGCAAGCAAACGAATTGTAAACTTGCTTTGTTGATGCTGCCGTTGTTGCACATCCTCCTTCGGGAATGTAATACACTCGTAAAAATGTGATTGAATATGTTTTACATTCGCAGAAGGTTTGTGATTATGCTTACATCAATATAATTATATGATTAAAACAAGTAAAGAGTTGCAAGAAAAGATAACCTTAAAGCACTTTAGCTTTCAAAGTTCTTCTTTAACTATGAATATTATGATTGTACTCCCCTTAGAACATTTTCCCTAGTGCAGTGTTTCCCAGGTCATGGAGAAAAACCTAGACGTTGCCACCACGTCAACGATGACGATGATGATGATGATGGGCACCAGTCTGCCAGATGCTCAGCCAACTTCCGTTTCAAATTTAAAAAGGAAAACAGAAATAAAAAAAAAAAATGATACAACTAACGAGGAGGCGGCATCATTGTCGCCACCGTGAAGGTATCGCACTTGTCTGGCTGGGTTTTCCTGCATCCTGCATCCGCGTCTGATATCTGGCCCCTCGGGCACTTGGCCTCAGCCGATCCGGAAATATTTAATAGACAGCGAAACGCTCTTGATGTAAGCCAAAGGTTAGTTTCCTTTTTTATGGCAATGTGGGTGCTTTAAATTTGTTTTTTTCCGTTTTCTCAATCGCGTAATGTCCGTTGGCTTTGCAGTACCATTTACGACTCTGCAGCGTCAACAAATCCTTGCCGGCCACAAAATCCAAATGCCAATTAACTCATTAAGCTGGGGACGTTGTCCGACTGCAAAACTTTGCTACCGAGAAGAGCGCTTTTATAGCCGAATGGTATTTTATTGGTCCCGGATAAGTCGCGTCTCATTAACAGGCCAAGTCGTTAAACAACACATTGTGCCCTGAAATGGCTAAACATTTTGGCCACGACACTTTCCTCTCGTTCTTCTCGATCAATGAACAACACTCCAATGGAATTAATAGTTCATAAAATAGGTTATTCCGAAGCCAGCAGCATTTATTAAGCTAATGGATATTGACAACATTGAGGTTTCGAAATGAAACCACGAAAACCGAAAACAGTCGTGAGTTTGGGGGAGCAACCCTTTAAAGTTATAGCAGTTTCCGGAAAGTATAAGTGGGCCGGCTTATTGTACTTTAATAGTTACAAGACCTTCCGCAATTCACACTGTGTTGAGAAAGTTATAAATGAAAGGCATTGCCTTTAATAGCTGATAAATCTGATGGCCTTCTTCCACGAGTCCCTTAATCAGGAGAACACTTAAGCTCAAGTCGTGCTCTGCGAAAAGTGGAATGGCTTAAGAAATGTGGCTAATGCAGCCAGCTTAAAGACAGCACCGCTCAGGGCCATTGTGCACGTAATGGACCCGAGACGCTTTCGTTCCCCAAGGCAAATGAATTAATTGCAACAAGGCGTATACTTAATATCAATACATAAATAATAAATGCGCAAAAGCACACGCCCCCCATTAGAAATGTACAGAATTGTATGGTGATGTTTGGGTTTTTGTGTGTGCTGTGCGGACAAGTTATGGACGTGGACATGCAGTCCCCAACGCATAATGGGCCGTAGAGGCATTGGCAGGCGCTTTATTGACTTGGACCTCGAGGCCGTGTTATTGAAAAGGATTCATGCTCTAGAGTTTTCAGCAAACAGCTGCGAGACGTGGGCACAATCGACCTTCAGGGACCGTGAAGCTTGGAGCATAGAGCTCAGAGCTCGGTACTCGGAGACTTCAGTTACAGTCCAGCCCTCCTGATTATCGTTCAGTTGTTGCAGCTGCTAAGCGTTTCGTCCTGCCTTCCTGGCATCCTGCCTTTGATCTGGCTGGCGTCATTACGGAGGGAGCAGCGACAATAATAAGTGAGCGGCACGAGACGCGCCAAAGGCACAAAAGCGGCAAAGGCAGCTGAAAACTGCTGGCTCCCCCATAAAGAACTTAACAAAATCCCCTCGGAGAGCCAGCCTCGGACCAGGCACTAAATACAATGGGCCTGAGCTTGGGCCCCCAAGAAATGCCAGCTGGATGATGGTGGTGGTGCAACAGATGCTGACGCTTTTTGTGGTTCCAGAACCCCCTAGTTACGGAATTAAAGTGTTCTAGCGCCATCTTTAATCTGGGTAAAATACCGCTGACTGCTTTCTTACAAATCAAAACGCATTATGCTAATGCCAAAGTTCAATTGAGTTTGCAACAATTCCAAATTTGATTTATACGCAACAAACGTAAACATTTTATTACAATCTCCCGTGAGCAGGCAATCAAATTACCATTTGATTTATAACTAACTTGCCATCCAAGTGCCTGGCCTGGTCATGTGTCCACGTACTTGGCGGGCCAACTTTTCTTGGGAAACTTTTCACGTGCACGGCCAGGACTTGGCCTCCTTTTACGGTGGGCCAATATTTTTTACAAGCCATTTGCGTAATATGTTATTACCTAAGCCATAAAGAAGAGGACCTACCGGATTGCCGGGGATGTGAGCCAGTGAGAAAGGCCAGTTTTGGGTCTAATGGTCCGGAACAATTTAAAACTCTTATTTAGTGCTGGCCTTTAAGCCGGAAGAGAGAAGGACTGGCCCAAAGACACACTTAGCTGCTGTTGGGCTTAAAATCATCTTTGGGCATCCGTAAATTCATCCCCGGAAACCGCAGTCAAAAGAATGTTTAATACCATAGATTAAAATTTAATTGGCCCCTGAAAAAGAGCATTCAAGTGCAATGGATGGCCACATTCCTCTCGGTGAAGCTGCTCCTCCATCACTCCTTTCTATCTGGCCGGTTTACCATATTTTAATTAGTCTAATTAAAAGCTACGTTCTAGCGAAAATGAAGAACAGAGCCGTTAACAGAACGCAGCAAAGCCAAATGTAATTATGTGGCCTTCTGGGTGGTTTCCCAGACGGATCCAACACAGTCGGAATAGCTCTGCACTGCTATGATATGGCAATTAGACTGATTAGTCAGCTGAAAATATTACGGGGTGTCTGCGAAGGCCTGAAAGTGCCCGGGGAACCGGAATCATTAGAAAAACCAAAGGCCCAAGTGGAATTACCAGATCATCAGCTTAGATTAACATGGAAATTTTAAATGCTTTGATGCGGACGTGATGGGCGGAATCAATGATGGCCTAATTTAAAACTAAATGAAAGTTGTAAAAATGTTTAGGCAATTTAAAGTCTGTTCACTTCACTTAAGAAAATTAATCCCTGCTAACAAGTTTACAATACTAACGACTTCTAATTCTACTTTCCTCAAACTTAAAGACTTGTTTTTCTGGGAATACCCCAAAAGAAAAAAAAAGTCCCTTAATTTGTAAACTTTATCATAAACAATAAGTTAGGTTATAGAAAAGATGACTTACCTTACAGCTATAGACGCCCTCGTCTATCCGACTTGCTTTGGTCACGCCCATTATCGCAGTGTAGACATCTTTGGTCTCGGGTGGTAAGACCGTGGTCCAGATTTCTCTGAAAAGTACAGATGAAAGCTTTATTTAGTCATGCTAATTAGCACTCCACTTTCGGTTTCCGCGAGTACTTGAAACAGATTCACAGCACAGTGCCAGTCATGCATTAATTCTCACGCCCCGGGGCAGCCAAATGCCAAATGCGAAATGCCTGATGCCAGATGCCATATGCTGTATTCCACAGAGCCTGAACGACCGGGCCAAGTGAACTGGATCATATGCAGCAAGCCCGCTAATTGACATACTAATAGCAGCTCACTTATCACGGCCCCCATCCTCACTCTCCACACTTTCCACTCTCCATTGCTTCCCATAACCCATAACCCATCGCATCCTGGGCGAAAGAAATCATAGCTAATGGGGAAACAATCGCGGATGCTGCGGTTCGAAGTCAATTAGCGGGAACATGTTTCATTTTCAAATGTTTTTCGAAATGCCCTGGATGCGGCGGCAGCGCATTGTTGCTAAAATTGTTAATAGTTTTTGGTTTCGTGGATAAATGGGTCGTTTCACGGCTGCCAGACATGTGTACGTATGATTCTGGTTGGGATTTATGTGGCTCATCAGTCGAAGGGCTCCTGGGAATGGAGTTGTCGGCAAACTGAAATCGATCACAATATGCCGTTGGGAGGTGGGATGGTGACTTTCGCTCTCGTTCACAATCTTATCAGAGATAAGCCAGCCGGAATTTGATGACTGAAAATATAAACTCCCATCCAATTACTCACACAGGATAAGGATAAGGATGAGGATGAGGATGGGGAAAAATCGCAGTTCTTGTGTCTGTGACAAACGATGTGGAATCTGGTAATTGCGAATTTAAATTCCGTTCGTCAGCAGCTTGTGGAAAAGTTCTGCAAACTGTCTAAAATGCATGCTAAGCCTATTAGGCATCTCCCGGGCGTGCCTCATAATCCTCTGGACAGCTGGAAATCGGTGCTTGCACCTGGCATAGAAGGGCACAGCGCACTAAGTAAAGCAAACCGAAAGCCGAAAACCAAAACCTTCCAGCTGGCAACAACTTAAGTGCTGTTTGAGGTTTTCGTGGCCAACAAACATCTGCAGTTTGCCGCCAGCGCCCTTTTCCCTACATCCGCCCTGCATTCCCTTCTCTCTTCTTTCCTTCCGCCAGGTGAGTGCATTTCACTAATAACTTTTACGCATGGATAGCGCTGACGTCACGAGCCTCGAAAAAGTGCCCAAAAACCGCATCCTTAACCGCACTTCCCACACCCTCACCCACACCCACTCCCAAGCTATTTACAGGTGTAACGCCTAAAAATGCGTTTTGAACGGAATGGGAATGTGAATGGAAATGGCTATGGGTATTGCTATGGATATGAGAATGGGGGCTGAGGCTTGGCTTTTGGGCTTTCGCATGCAGAGCACTTAACCTACAATTTACTAATGGCCCAGGGCGGAAGAAGTCCTTACCCAACCAACCGTTTGCCTCCCTTTTGGGACCGCCAAAAACGCACCTTCAAAATCAATTAAATGGCAACGGAAGTAATAACATTCCCAGCAGGAAGTGCGTAACGCTTAAATGCAGCAACGACAACAACACCAACAGCAACAACATTAACAATGGCAGAAACACCAAAGCGGTAGTAACTACGTCCCCGCCGATTCGCAAACAACAACCGCAAAAACAGAAAAGCGTCCACAGGTCCTGTCCCGCTTACAGCAAATGGGCCCAGGCAGGATTGACATCGGCTTTGGCACAATGGCAATAACGTCCTGGACGTCCAGGACGTCCAGGAAGCTGGCTAAGCCGCAGCAACTCCACTAATGCCACTGCATTCCCCGCCGAAAGTGCAACTGCAACTGCAATGGCAGCAACTGCAACGCAGGACCAAGGATTAGGTTCCGCACAAACAGAACCTCAGCGATGCGTTCGTGATGTCCAAAGAAGCTGGAGTTGTTTTTGTTTTTTTTTTTATTGGTAACTATCTAATATCGGTTCGGAACAGCTGAACATTATTCGTTTTGGGTCGTTGGTGGCTGGAGCCCATTCGATTCGCTTCATGGTGTGTGCTCAATTCGATTCTCTCGAAAAGGGCTTACACATACTGTATAGAAGCTCTCCACAAAGGAAGCGTATCCGAGTCTTAAACACATGTATTTATCTCAATCTAAGCTGTATAATCTCAATATGTTAAAGCTTTTGGCTTTGAAGTGCTTTAATATTTATTTTTATGACAGGCAGCTGGTAAGCGTTTAGTAAGAAACCCTTTAAGCATAGAAGCTAACTTATTTTAAAAGAAATCTTTTTAAATAAAAAGTTAAAAGGGAATTGTTAAAGATAATGGTTAGTAAGACTTGTCCAATCCAACATCAGAAAGGGTATTTCAGACTTCGTTGCTCCATTCGATATGACTCCATTTTTGTTAATGATGCATTTTCCCAATGCGATTTGCCTCACGTAACCATCTCCGGCAACTGCATTCGCTCCCGGAGCAGCAACGTTTCGTTCCGTTGCTGTCTGCGGTTGGAAAATGCATTTGCCACTCCGCAATCCCCGGTGAAATCCTCCATCCTCTTTGCCACTTCGCCCTTCCCGGAATTGAACGCGCTACAAATGGCCCGCAAAATGCCTTTGCGTAGGCGTGCGTGTCTGCGTGTGCATGTCCTGTAAATACAACTGCAGCTCAGCTGCTCGCAGGCTCATGACGGGGAGATTCCCAATCTGCGCTTCATTTGAGCTGCTGTGCTTTGGTTTGCTGGTCAAACAACTCATAACAACTCGTTGGCTGTAAAGTTCAATGGAGCAATTACGTCGGCAATGCTGCCAGCGAAGTCTTACCATGTCAGCAAAATCTGTTGGACGTGCTCCAACATCACAGCTTTTCTAAACAGTGATGACCAATTAGCCGTAATCTTTGATATATGAGAGGTACTACAAAAAAACTGAACTTATTTATTACAATGTATATAATCCTTTACAATACGTATACTTAATATACACTGTTAAATATCACGCATACGTTATAAGTTAAATATTTTGTAAATTTTCAGATATATTCAACACCTAAAAACCAATAATGTTACTTCATTTTTAAGTTAAATAAAAAAAAGCTGTACTGCCATCACTATCCCTGCTTAAACATTCTCAATTAAGGAGCTCGGGAGGAAAAGCACTGCTGGATTTGGTCCCCCTGGAGGCCTCTAACTTTCCAGTTACGAAAGCGTCTGATGTCACATCAATTTGCGTAATTAGGTGTCGAGGCCCTCACACATTCGATCGCTCATAAGTTGGCGGCTCCCCGGGGGATGTTTGATTACTGTGCGATTGAAAAGTTTCCAGAATAACATTCAATCGGAGCCACAATGGATCAAAGGCCATAAAAAAATTAGTTGTTAGCCGCACACAACGTTGCGGATTTGAACTGAGCTTGTGGCCAGCGAAACATAAAACATAAAACAACAATGGGAATTGCCCATAGCGATGTTCGATGTTTTTCTAGGGCTTGGAAACGGAAGAGGTGCATATGGACTTTTTATGGCCAAGCCTACGGCCCAGTTCTTTAAACACAAACAACCAAAAGCACTCTCATATATGCTTGGTTTATACATATATATATATATATATATATATATAAAGTACGATTCCATCGGAGTGTTTTATGAGTTCATAAAATTGGTGCGTAGGTGTTTATTATCGTTGTGTTATTTTGGTTTGTCCCCGGCACACCAATAGCAGGGGAAATTGAAATTGTGAAGTTACTTTTCTGCTGAATATTTTATCGCCGTCGTCCTCCGCCATACTCGTAAATATGAATATCCCACGGCTCGTCCGGCCGTCAGACCAATATCTTAAAGCTGCAGGCACATTCCCGCAACCGTAACTTGATTAGAAATAAGGGACTCCATCCGGAGATCAGAACGTCTATGGATTCGCCTCATTCAAGGGCCATATAAAAACTTTATTAAACGCAACTACGCATAAAAACAAAACGATGACAAAGTACGCGACCTCGTTGTTTCGTTTGTCCCATCTCGTTCGGTGGCAATTTTTTCTTCTTCAGCTGTTCAGCTGCTGTTGGGCTGCGGCCTGCAACAATTCACTTCAAGATGTAGCAAATTTCATTACAATCGTAACAAGAAAACGTGTCTCAACAGCTAAATTGCAAGGGACGAAAAGCAAATCAAAAACGGTTCTCTGGCCCACCATTTCCGAGAAGGCCGAAGGCCTGATTGGGCTCTTATATAGTAGGCCACATGCCCCGCAGTTTTAAAGCTTTTATTTGAAGGGAACATTTTTTGCAGCTTAAGCTGTAAAGAACTCTTTCTGACCTAATTCCATATATATTTAGTAAAAATTTAAAAGGAAATATTTCAGCCTGTATGGCTTTAATTACTGACAGTCTCTTTAGATTATAAAAAGAGATACCTCCTAAGCAATTTGAAGCCCCTTTTCTTAAAAAAGGGTGTGCATAATATTATTATTTTCTTGGCTTTTTGATGGCGCACCACTTTTTTTTTGGGGTTTACTTTAGGTCGATAAGGAAACTACATACATATGTCTCTGTTTTTTCCTTTTTTTTGCTGACTAGCTGGGTTTTCTCTTTGTTTTTTTATGGGCCATGTCTGCCTGATGAAAAAGGCACAAGAGTCAGATGCAGACGAGGAAAATACAAAAGGTGTTAGTGAATTTTATTCAAATTTGACGCTAATCAAACGCTGCGTGACAGGAAAGCTAAGAGCAGCGAGAAATCCAATTCGCTTGGGATTTGTAGCAGAGCTGGGTTTTCCCAGAGGCATGATTTATTCTTGATTTGGGATTGTTTTGGCGATTAGCTGGCGAATATTTTGGGTGAGATTGTATTTTAAATAAAAACTCAATAGAATGAATATTCCTTATCTAACTATGCAGGATATATGGAATTTCCCTTTAGGCATCGCTTAAACTCACCTTCTAAATATAGAAATGAAATCGAACTCTGAACTAGATCAAAAAAATAGTCTTATTATTGTTTCTGATAAAGTCCTTTATTGGCGTAAAACAAAATCACAAGCAGTTATCAACTCTTTAACGTTATATTGAAGCTACCTTAAGGAAAACCTAGAACAATGTTGACCGCGCCATATTTGCTCACGTTTCGAACGAGGGTCTACGTGCTAGCTAGTTGGGAATCTAAGAACAATCCAAGTAACTTTTCTTTTGGTAAGAACTCCAATGTGCATGTGCCAGGTGACTGGGATGTGTACCGCCTTCTTCTTCGCCTAAAATTGTCTAACTCCCTTACGGCCGATCGACTGCCTCTGGCGGCCTAAACGCATTTGGGCTTCCGCCTCCACTTTGGGATGAGAAAACGGAATCTCCGCGCAACCGCCAGACGTCGCCGGCTTCATTTGTCCATCGCTGTGTCAGCAGTGTCTCCACCGTCACCGTCTCCATTCGCCTGCTCGATGGCCTTGGTTGCAGTGGGATCTGACACGCTGCCAAAGTAGTTGCCCGTGGGCTCGATCTCGATCAGGCGCTCCACGTCGTCCAGTTTCGGAGGTGCTGGCACCGTGATCATCAATATTCCGTCTGCGGAGAAGGTGGCCCGTGCCTGGGTGGCATCGTAGTGACGGGGTAGCTTGTAGGATCGCGTAAACTCACGGGTTATGCAAAGTTGACCCTTCTCCGCCCGGTCATCCGACTGCTTGCCTTCTACGCAAACGGTATCGCTGTTCCTGGCCTTCACAGTCAGCTCAGAGATCTGGAAGTGATGCACGTCCAATACTACTTTGAAGGTCCCTCGCCCTAGGGAATCTGGTTCAGTTCCGGTCTCTATAACCACTCGTCCCACCAAACAGGATCCATGGCACCAGGCACTGTCGTCCATCCGCAGGTGAAAGTCACGGGCACAGACATCCAGGTCGTGGGATAGGTAATAGTGCCTTTGCCGGCACTTGGACTGTCCGGTGGACCAATGTCGTCGTGGTGGCCAGTGGTGGTGCCCCCCGCCATGTTCGTGATCATGCTCCCAGTCCCAGTCCCAGTGGATAGGCATGACTTCTTCTCCCACTCCTCCACCTCCTCCTCCGATTCCCGATTAACGGAGTCCGGTTCGTTGGACACGGAGCAAGCGTGTTGATTTTTGGCTTAGATGGCCAAAAAACCGTTGCCCTCCGCCCTGTTCGACTCTTACAAGCTAACTGAGTTCCGGAGGGTATGGTAATCGGCGGAACTTGCAGCTGCACAACTGTACCTGGCACTAATGCCACTGTTACTGAGCTTATTTTTGTTCCGCCTTCAATGCCGTTCATAAGTACAGTTGATATTCTATAAGTTGAACTTCCATCAGGTATTTTAATCATAATCAAAAACTCCTTGAAGGAAAACAAAGCATAACTTATGGAAATAATTAACTTTCCTCCTTTTACTCCTTTAACTTTTTTATAAAATCGCCACTTTTGGGACTTTGACTGTATCGCATTCCTTTAGAACGACACGCGTTGCCGAGAAAGTGGGTCTCAGCCTTGTCCGACAACCCAAACTGTTTGATCAATACCCGTCCCAGCGACGGTCCAATCAGCCGCGGAGCTTCCTTCTTTTATTGCACAAGCGGCGCCAAGCAGCCGGAATTGGAAACAGCGCGAAGACAGGACAAGGAAAACACTGCACAGAGCTAGTTGAGCCAGTTATGAGATAATGCCAAATTTTGAAGGGAACGAAGTGGCCGGCCACGGAATGGCAATGGTGTCACTAATTGTGCCATTGTCACCCCGCAGAACAGAAAAGCAAAGCGAGTCCAAGGAACTGAGCAGACGAGTAAAGGCAGACGCATTGTGGGAAATGAAACTAATGAAAATCGTGACCCCCCCTACATTGGATATTGCTGCACTGAGGAAAATATTAGATTAGAGTCAAGAAAATAAATTATTAACAAAAGGTCTTCTTTAAATATATTTAATATTGAAAACAAAAAGCTTAAGAGCATTATCTAATATTCTACTGACTTAGGAATGCATTTTCACATTTTAAATTGTATTTCGAACTTCATAATCTTTTTAAAGCAGCTTTTAATCTCAGTGTATGTCTACAATGCTATCCAAACAATTGAATACAGGGTGTTAACTTTTAACTAAAATATGGCAAAAGCAAATAAACAGATTATTGATTTAGTGGAAATAGTAGAAGCTTTCTTGGATCAAATTTCCTGTGTAGTTCTTAAGGAGAGAAGGACCAAATTAGCTTTTCCACCCAGTTTGCACCCTGTATTTGGAGTATAAGCCATCAGATGCATTCCATTGTCCTAGACAACGACAACGTTGCGTTGTCAAGACAGTTGTTGCCCCTTTGTTGCTGCCATTTTATACTACTGTTGCCCCGGGTTGAGCCAATTTGTAAAATATATACGAAATATATTTTACTTATGTCTCGTGCTGGGGTCAGGCAATTTGGCTGCTTGCTGCATGGCTGCTGAAATTGAATTTTTGCTTTGGCTTTTAAGCAAGTTTGACAAATTTTCAGAGCCCGGCCAAAAGTGACTGCAACAGTTTCGTTGGCCCAAGCCAAAGTCTTGTTCGGTTGGCTTCGGGGGGAAAAGGGGTTGGAGACTGGAAGGGTTTGAAATTGCATTGACAGGCAGTCAAGCCCTTCCACTTCATAGCGCTGAGACAAATATAGATTACGCAAGTGCTTAGGGTTAAGCTAATATTAGCAGGAATTTCGATTCCCACTTTAGGAGGTCAATTGGTTTGCTAGCCACAAATAGTGTACTTCTTTCCCTACAAGCAGACTTTTACATAACACATCGTTGTAAAAGACGTCAGAGAGATGCAGTTTTGCACATTTTCACCAGCTTCTGTTTATGGAATTAGCTAAAATTTGCTAAACGAATAAAATGTGAGAAAAAAGTGATATTGTGTGTGGCACTTTGTGCTCAGCTCCAGTTGTTTTCTGACTTTAAAGGTGTTCACAAGTCAAGAGTAAGCTAAATGTGATGACTTTAAGATAAGCAAAGGTCCTTTGAGGCAGTTAAGTTAATTTGGGACATTTTGGAAAATTGAAAACCACTAATTTGGTGAAAGTGACGCAATCAGAGAATCGAAGATGGCTTAATGGGAAGTATTTGCTTAGCCGCAACTCTAATAATGGCATTAGTGCTGTTGTAGCACTTAATCAGCCCAGCGACCTTGTCGCCCGTCTCAATCCTTCGACCCACATTGCAAAGGACACAGGATTAGGGGCACAATTAATGGCCGAACCCTGGTGGCAACCATAGATTATTTTACACACATATGTGTATGTACCTCCGCCTTCGAATGGCAATGCGAACGCCAAGGCACCTTAATCAAGGCTTCAGTTTTGGGAGTTTGGGCCTAGTTAGCCGTGCTTGCGGGCTCCTTGGCAGCCAGCTTTTGGATGCGTTAGCACCGTGATTGGAAAATAATTGCATTCATTAAGTGGGTTATGGCAGGGGATTGGGCCTATGCTGCTTTCGATAAACATCTGCTAACTGGGTCAACATTCGGCGACTGGCAATCCAATAGATTAACCAACGAACGCCTCTTAAATCGAACTTATGGGTTGCTTAATGTACTGCTTTCTTAATTAGTGGGAAGTGGTATGTATCCCTAAGAGTTTTTGTTAGACAAACTTCCTTAAAAATGTTTGTACATATGCAACCTAGTCTAAATTTAGCAACTGTTTACAACTAGTATTCGAACAAACTAATCAAGAGATGGCTAGTATTGGTCCTGTTTTGATAATAAATTACATCTCCCTAAGTGAACAGCTCCCTACGGTGAAATCAAGCATTAAAAATTCACTTACTTCCGGTTATTTTAGTACGCAAAAGTAAAGTCATCGGACGGATTTAATGTGTAGTCGTTTGTATAATGCAAAGTTGGTAAATGTCCAAATGAATGACTTCACTCACTTCACTGTAGTTAAAATATTTACTAATACTAGCTACGGTGTTGGGGGAAACATGTGTTTGCGGCTTTGTACGGCAGTCATTTTTTACACATCAATGCGTCTAAGTGGGCCACGCCGGGCATAAAGGACGAATGGAAGGGCTGCCAGCCACGTGGAGGTCCTGCAGCCAACACGAATATGTGTATATACAATGTACATGTGGTATCCGTACAAATATGCATAAAAGTAATCATAAGTCCGCAAAACGAAAGGAAGGGGCTGGATGAGGGGTCGAAAATGGCCATGAAGGGGTCCGAATTGTTCTACCAGTTGGCAGTTGGGTAACGCATAGTTGGCTTCACAGGATAACAAAAACTCTGAGAATAGACTTGGTTATCGATTTGCGGGGGGAGGAGTTCTTCATTTATTTATATGAAAGGCAATATTCGGATGAGCAATCCTTTATTTGAACACCACATAAAAGTAACTCAATCCATTTTTAGTTTTATAGTTATCTGCTGATTGAATAACAACCAATGTTTACTGTGCTTAAACAAACTAAATTTTATGTAATGATGTAATTTTATCATATCAAATATGATTTACAGGGGCTAACACAAGTTTAGTATAATGACTCTGCGTTTGGTTTTCTATGGAAACCTGATTTAATTTATAATTATTTACGGTTATTTGGTTTATTTTCTAAAAATCAAAACATAATACATTTTTGCAATTCTAAAAATATATCAAATTTAAAATGGGGTTAATTTGCATAAATTAAATAGCGAAAAAATAACGAATCAGAGAAATTTAAATAGTTTTTAGAAATGCGAAATTCAACATTCGCGGCTGATAAAAACAACTTTGGCAACGTTTCGTGACATGTCGTTGCCAAAAAGTCTTTGTCCCAGAATACTAAGAGCTTTCCTGCCAGCGCTTAAATTTTTGTTAATGAATTGCGAATTCTATCGGCATCAGCACCGCACTGCAAACCCCCTTTTCAGGCGACATGCCACATTCCCCATTCCCCCTCATTTAACCCAACCCAACACCCCAAGGACCTCGACTTCACTCATTTCCCATTCACGCAACACATTTAAAGTTTGAGCTTTGTGGTGCGGCTGCAAGGCGAATTGTCAAGGCAACATGGTAGGGGCCTGCTAGTGGGTTGTGTGTTGCTCATGGAAGGGCTAAGCTCCTCGTAACCCCTGCCAAGTCGTCCAAGTAACAGCCCCTCGTTAGTTACGGCCATATGCTTTTTATGTAATACACCAACGCACCCCGTCAGCCAGCCAAGTGGATCTGGATTCCAAGCAGGGCGGCAAGGAAATGGGAATGCCATTCGTATGTGTTGGCCACACATGTGTTCCGGCTGGCCCCTCCACACTGTTGGATTTATGATCAATCATTCGGCTAGGCTTACTGCGGTTAGGTTTTGGCCTGGTCCAGAACCCAGACCCGGCTCAAAACCCCGCCAACGTCAACTAGGATTGCGACTGTGTCCGTCGTCCATGGCTGACAAATCTTTATCTTTGGCCTGACTTATTTATCCCTTTTGGCTGTTTCATTTTTATTCTGCCAGGCATTTTTATGTCATGTTTATTGATGTGTAAAAGTCATAAAGTCAAATTGAACACTTGTGCTGGCTGTAGCAGTGGCAGTGGCAGCCATCCCTCGCGAATCTTCCTTTTGACTCCCCAAGTGTGACATTGGCCGGAGAGCCAGTGATTTTTGCTTTTGCTATTTTCATTTTATACCATTTTATTAAAAACTTCAGACTCCTCTATGTCTCGCATCTTCCGGATTCCGGTGGGTGTTCAAAGTTTATGGTATTTCGTGCTGGTTCTGGTAGATAAGCAGCTGGCACCACAAATCAGTGATTAAAGGATAGTTCACTCACCTCGTCGCCTTGGTGGCATTCACCACAGCCCCATCTTTGAACCACTGAAACTGCATCCGGGATGAGCCCTGGGCGGTGCAGGATATGATGAACTCACTGGCCTCGCGGACTCCTGATTGCGGTTGATTGACGGTCAGCTCCTACAAAAGGGAGACAATGTCACACTAATTAGACACCGGACAGTTGCGGTTCGGTTTTGGGTTTTGGTTTTCGGATGATCAAATGGGAGGACTTTAAGGATGGGGTGTGGTCTTGCCGTTGGGACCAGTTCCTGTCCATCAAACTTTGGGGCTGCTGAGGTTTGGCGGCTTGTTCGTCATGTTAATGCTACTTAATTGAAGGCAGCCTGATGAGGCCAATTGTTCGGGCGAGCTGGCCGCAATTAATAAATAATTATTTTCGTTGCCGGTCCGAGTGTCAAGTGCCACACTGTTGACATATTTATGTGCATATTTATTAACACGGCACTTTGCTACATTGGCTATTACCGGTTCTCTTGCTGTTTTTGGTTTTATTCTTTCATTTTTATTGGGCCCGCCTTTGCAGCACGTGCCTCAATAGTTAATAAATTATTGTTTAATATGTATCGGAAATGGGAGGGAGTGCCATCTATGAAATGCGGAGGCCAGTATATTTATTACGCTTTTAATAGCCGTGATGGCCATCTCGGATGCGAATTAATGAAAATACCATTCGGCAAAAATCAATGATGGAATGCCTACGATTGATGGATGTGCCCAGAGTGCAAAGTGAAAAAGTGGCTGGGACGAAATTTAAAATTTATTTATTTATTTGCGAAAACGAAGGCTAACCGGAAAAATTCAATAGATAACTTGCGGAATGCTTTTCAAATACAAAAAAATTCCCTTTCTCTCTTTCTTGGTAGCCAATCAAATATCTCAAACATAGCTTTCGCATAGAAATCCGTCAGGAAAATATGCAAAAAGAGATGGATTAATGCTTTTACTGCTGGATTAATGCTTTTTATTCGCTACTTACCAGCAAACCCAGCGGTGGGTTCTCATCGAAGTGATGGAAATTTGCCACCAGGGTGAAGTTTCCTATCCTGCCGCGCTCCACCATCCGGGTGATGGCATCCCGGATGCGCTGCGAGTCTCCTTTCACGCCAAAGAAGTGGAATGTTATGTCCAGGCGATCGGTGGAGTTTGATATTAGTTCCAGATCGCTTATCTTTGTGATGTTGAAGTTGCGCAAAACACGACCCAGCTGAAAGACAAAAAGGAAAAGTTCCATTAGTTTAAGATACCTTAGCTTCTGGGGAAAATATTAAAGGGAAACAAATTTCGTAGAATATTATCCTTTTGGCTTTTTTAGCTCAAGGCTCAACTCGTTGTGTACGTCGCCACTTTTTCATAATTCGAAATTAATGATAATATATTCTTGTAAATAGCACCACTGGGCATTGGGCCCGCATTGGAATACGGGCACACATCCGGCCAGCAGATAGCAAGTTTAGGTTGGGCAGGAGCAAAAAAAAAAAAGGTTTACCTGGAATTCTTACGCTGGAGAGCGCTTAAAGCATCGTCGGATGCTCACCTTTTCGGTTGCTTTGTTCTTATCGCTTCGCTTTAAGCTGCGGGCCAGGCTCTTGCCGCTCAAATTGGCCATAAAAGGAATTTTTCCGGACTTGGCTGCACCAGGGTGTGTCATAATGCCCGGTTGCAGGACTCAACTTAAGGCTTATCCTTGTTTAAATGATTATGCATTATGCCAAAGCCGCTTGCTTTGGATGGTCGTTGGTCCACCTAAGTCCTAATGCGGTGGTTAGTTTTGTTGTCTAAAAGTTTTACCAACTTTTTTCTGTGTTTGGCCCGCTTTTTTTTTTGCATGCTTAAATATTCTTATATTGAGTCATATCTTCTTTATCCTTTGGGTTTATCTAAGTCATGTTTTGAAGAATAAAAGCCATAAGGTTCTTAAATTCTTTGTTAAGTACAAGAAAGTAGTGGTTCTCAGATTCTTAAGTTCATTTTACCTTTAAAATTATTTAGGGACGCACAAGGGGCTATAATTTTCCAGGGCTGGTCTTTTCGTGCGACTGTCAGACATAACCAATTAGCGCTTTTAATTAAGATGGCATTAGACTCTCATAATAGTGTGGGAAAATCGAAAGAACTCCAGGGAGAATGTGGCAAACCATGAAATCAAAGCTGACAGGGAAAGTCTCCTCGAGCAATGGTCACTATGGTTTGTGTGGCCAAAACTTATTGGAAGTAATTATGGGCCTCCATAGCTCCTTTTTGTTTTTGTAAAAAAAAAAAAACAGAAAGGAAAACCTTGAAGCACTTCAATTGGCTTTTTGATGGCTCCGTTGGGGTTTTTTTTTGCTCACTGCAGTTTGTAATTATTTTTGCCGAATGGCAAACTAATGCAATTCTCGTGGCCTAATTAGTGGGTTGGCGGCAGGTACTCATACAAATTACTGGCAGGCTCCATTGTTGGGGGCACACAAACACTTGGATCGACAATGCCGGAATGCCTGGCACCAGCCAACATCAACATCAACGGAGTGAAATCCGGCTGGAGAAGTGGAAAGTAAAGCTCGGAAGGCTGGAGTCTCCGGCTTTGCACTCTTCACAAGTGGTCGCCGCGAAAACTTCACCCAAGTTGTGCAAATATATAGTTACGGAATTAATCAGAAAAGTGCGCACAAAAAATGAAGGCAGCAAGCAAGTAAGAAAATAAATATTTTCGGTTAATATAAAAGAATTTACCCCCCTTTTCCCTTGGCGCATTTTTTGCGCTTCTTGCTTTTTAATAAATATGCCGCAAAATGAAAGATGGCAAGTGGTAAGAAAAAAAGTGCAACAGTGAACGTGCTGCAAAGTGGCTTCGGTTGTTTGGCTTGAAAGTTCCTAAGAGGCTTGTGGAAACCGGGTGAATGAGTCCGACCAAAAAACCGGAACAGTACAGGGGGCATGAAAATGAGGAAGAGATGGGATTGGGCTCTAGGCCCTGAACGCTGTCCCTGTCCCTGTCCCTGTCCCTGTCCCTTCATTTCATGAGTATGAGTAGGCCGTTTGTTTGGGACTGCTGTGAAAAGTTTTTAAGTAAAGTGTTGCAAACAAAAAAAAACCAACAGTTTGTGGAAAAGTTACCCATGCCTTCGGCAGTAACGCCGGAGTTGGGTATCCCGGAAAATGTCAACTGGGCGCTGGAACTGGCTGCTCATAAGGTGTATTCAAATATTGATTTACTTGAGAACCTTTTTTTTGTTGACTCCTTTTCGCCGCGGCAATGTGCACTCGAAAAATTATACTTAAACAGAAAATAATTGGAAAAACTAAAGAAATTTATCAAAATTTATGTGAGGCCAATTAAAAATTTAAATTGACGGAAAACGATTTAAATTATAGCAGAGCAGGGGAATAGCTTGGATTATTATTATGAATGTAATTAATTGATAATTTATTTGTTAATCGATAAGCTTTTGAGCGGCGCGGAAGAAATTTAAAGTATTTTCTTTATTTAATAGAAAAAGCATTTTATGGCTTTCATGGATGTTTAGGATATGATTACCCAAAGATACCCAATATTTTCGAATACATTTTCTTAAAGTCTTTTTTATTTTATTTTCTGATGCTTTACTGTAATGTATAATATGGTACAACATCTTGAGGCCCCCACAGAAGTATCCTTGAGTAACGCTCGAACGGGAAAATGCATTTCCAGCTTGCTGGCGTGCCTCGAGAACCGCAGTGATTTCATTGGAGAGCAAAAATCGCAGCTACATTAAATCTCAGGTTCTTATTCGCTTATATGTACGTTCTTTTCGTGCCGGAGAACCCAGCTCTCGAGCAGATCCAGCAAGGAGTGTTAAGGGGTTAACGTTAACACCCCACCCAACGGCATTCCAGAGGCAGTAATATCCCGGAGTTGGCGTCGTTGCCTGCTCCTCTGTTTAATCGCACTCGCATCGTTCTTATCCCAACTCGGTGCTAATGGCATTTTAATTTCGAGTAGCCGGAACACTGGGTGTGCAAATATCCTCAGTCTCGAAGGCTTTCTTTTTACACCCGCTGTGTGTGTGTGCGAGTGTGTGTGCGAGTGTGTTTGTTGGCCTCGCAAGCATTTTACCTTTTATTGATACAGGAAAATAACGGCTGAGAATAAGCCAAGCGAAACAGTTGGCTTGCACTTTGATTAAGAAATTGTTGCGATAATCTGCAACCCATCAGCATGCCAGAACTTCTAAAAGTACTACTGGAAAAATACAAACAAAATGGGCAAACTACTTATAGCAGCAACCTTCAGAGCCCATTAACGGCTGGAAGTTGCTCTAACTCTGAAAAGTTAAGCACGAAAGGCGAAAATGAAACCGGACAGAGATGCTAATGCAGTGACTGGGTATAAAAGTCGGGATAATGGTGAGTTGTTATGCAAAGCAAGGCTCTCTCTCTCCCTCTCTTTTGGATGCACATCCACGGGAAGAAGTGTTGCATACATCTAGGCGGCGCTGGAAAGTTTCAAATCCTAAAGTTCCCTCTCGACGAAGTTAGGCTGCCAAGTCTTTTCGGCCAGTATTTGAATTTAAATTAATGTCTCAGTCTCAACCAGGCTATTAAAATCCACTGGCTTCGCAGCCTAATTTTGCAAAACTAAATGCCCAATTTTTTTTTCTTTTGGGGCTTCTCCATTTGCAGGATCAACTTGGAACGTTGACAGGATGCCGGGCGTGGTCTTTCTAATCGTTGTGCCGACGGCGAATTTCGAACGTGAGCTGATTTACGGTAAGTCAGTTAGGGTAAGGGCCAAAAACGGGCGGCAAATTGAATAAGCGCCCCTGGCTAATTAAATACAAAGTTGCAATTTTGTTTACACGAAACTGTAGCATTTATCTAGGCGTCGGCAACCACATAATCTGCCCCATACACTCACCAACGCAAGAGAGTAGGACCATCACCACCACCATCATATACACACACATACCGTTATACCTGTATGCATTGGGCTTAGGCGCGTAATTACGTTGTTTAGTGGCGTTATTAATTATTTTATGACATCGTAAAAGTGTTCTCCGGGCCTAAGAGCTCGCCATAAATGTTGCATGAGCCCCCTGTTTGGACAGAACCCGAAACACACGTGGGAGTAGATTTTTTGTTTCGCATTTTCGTAGCGCCTAACCCACCATTTGCGGCATTCGGGGAAAACTTTGCCAAGATAATTTTACAAGCGGATGCCGAACGTACGTAGCACATTTCGCAGACCCGAAAATTTAATATTAAAATTTAATTAGCCACGATGAGATTGGTCGGAGGAATGTGAACAGAACAGGTTGAGTAAATAGAGAAGTTGGTGGTGGGTGGAACGCCAAAGTTATTGGATGGCTCTTTAAAACTAAGCCTGCCTATCTACAAGATTCTTGTGGCTATGGGAAAATTGGTAAGCAGTCAAAGACCTTGAGAATATATTAATTGCCAGAACTCAACGTTCACCACTAGCCGATGTAGCTACCATTTATCACAATCAGGAGCGATAAAAAGCCCACAATAAAAACCCATAAAACAATATAATTTATGAAATAAACGGCATCAGGGAAATATGGCATCTTGTGCAATACGGCGACAAAAACAGGCATGTAGAAGTCGATTTCAGCGAGAAGCATTAATCAAATATTTATTTAAATACAAAACAAGACGATGGCAAAAGCCATCAAAGAAAATCATCATTAATTTAGTTTGTCACCATGGCACCGCCGGTCTGATAATGACAATGGACCAGAAGCCGAGCCGATGAGCTGGGTGCTGGGTGCTGGCTTTGGCCTCCAAGTGGGGCGTGAACGAACTTGCTTGGGGTTGTGGAAAAAAAAATCACCTTTGTACCCTGGGAAAAGTATACATTGTGATTCCGAACGAGCAAGTTTACTAAGAACTTTCTTCATATGACAGGGAATAGGGTATACAAACGTCGGTAGTCAAATCTTAATCCACTTTGAATGTAGGATGATAAAAGTAGAAAAGAAATGTTGGCCTTGGCAACAGCTTAAAGAGTGCAAAATACTTAAGCAAACAAAAAAAGACTTAAGAAAAAGAAAACAAAAAAAATTGACATGCACTTCGGGTGAAAAACTGGAGGAGCCATTCTCATAGGTGTCAGACATAAATCACGGATCCCTCAATTCCATGGCGACCTGAAACAGAGATGTTCAATGACGGCAAACCGAGATGGAATTAAATAGGTAAAGGAGCCTTCCATATTGGGTGGTCAGGTGGGGCTGTGGAATTTGCTAACTTTGAGAACTTTTGCCTACTAGAGAAACTATGCGAGACAAACTCAGGCATCCCTACATACCTTATATATATATATATATATATATATTTGTATATATATATGTATGCCAAGGGTCCTGGTTGCGAAGTCCTGGGACCGTGGCTTCTGGCCTAAGCGCATTTAAGCTTTATTTTGGCATTTGTCAATGTGGCGGGATTTATATTACATTTCGATGTCTGTCTGGCCCCGCTTGTTGGCATAATAAATTGTGATCCTTTGTGTGGTTTTTATGTAGACTTTGATTTGATTTTTCGCTTGCCACTTTATTTATTTATTTAGCACAAGTGGAGCTTAGTGACCCACACCTCAGCTTGACTAGTTTTGCGGGCTTGTTTTTACAAAATTTTTTATATTTCCATTTTTTGTTCCTTCTTCAAATAGCAATAACTTTAATGCCCGAGCCCTAGCATAAGTTATCCATATAATTGCATAACAACAAGCATTATTTGTTAACGATAATCGGACATTTAATTAGCGTAATTTGCAGCGAAAATGAGCTTAGCGGTCGAAAAGGTATACGGCGGGAAAACCAAATATTTGTTAAACGCTTAACTGGATCCCAAAATATCACTACAATTTACACTAATTGCAGTATAAATACTGCGATTGCCGTGAATTAACTAATCAGAGTTGAATTAAGCCAGCAATATCAAAACAATAGCAGACTTAACAGAGCAGCGTAAATTTAATTTAGCAATACTAGTAGTATCTACGGTTACTAATCACCTGAAACTGACTACCTGTCATTTTGCCTCCATTCAATCCCATCTCCATTGCCATGGATGCATAGAGTCCAGCTTAATGGCAAATCAGCTTACGTTTATGTACACGGCCATATCACCTTTTCATTAACCCATACCAGGCACTTCAAATAATGCCCTGGTGGAGACGTCTGCCGGTGGCATTGGCAGCCATCCAGGACACCTCGGCCATTCTGTGGTCGCTGCAGCTGGCAATGGAGGTGGCAACAATAATCTGAACATCAATCTTCCGGAGAATAACAACGCAATACTACGACTCGAAGTTGAATTACGTGACAAGAATGTGCCCAAGTATCGTCGTGGCGCGGGCGGTGGTCCAGGCATTGGACAAGTGGGCGGTGGACCCAAACGCGTACCGCAGTAGGTGGGGCAGGCGCAGGACCACCGATTTTGCCAGCTGACACCTCCACGGTAGCCGCACCACTGGACAGACGTAATTTAGTGGTGCCGCTCGAAAAGGTAAGTCGTCGAACGGTCAGTTGCGAGTTAGTAGGAAGGTCCGGTCAAGTGGGCAGAGCTTTATGCCTCCCCAAGCACTTAAAGTTGATTTTCGTTTGCGTTGTGCAAGGGAGGAGGGGAGAAGGGTTTGATGCCAGCTTGGATAGCGATTTATACAGAGAGGGAAAAAAGTATGACAGAAAAATATTTCTTTTATAAGAAGCTGAGTCATTGACTCATATATCTAACATATTTTTAATATATATTAGAATTTCAAAGGAAGATCTATAATGCATTATGATAGCTAAATTTCTCTCAGTGCCGTCCTGCGATTGTGGTAGCGATTGGCACTGCGACAACGATTGTTGCTCCGTTTGTTAGGATGCACTTAACGGGCGAGAACGTGACTCGAGAGCGTTGCGTAAAAGGTTACCCAAATTGTATCTTGCGGGAGATTATACTGATGAATGAGGTGGCTTAGCTGGCCGGGCTAGAAAGAAGATTGATGGATGCACCACTTGGCCAAGCCAAGGCCGAGACAAATCGCCACTCCCTCTACGCAATCCTAGTAGCCTTTTATAATCACATTCAGTCGAAACGATTCCGTCCCGGGCGATCCAATTAAATGCAAAAGCCATAAGCCATAAGCCGGCGAAAATGCCACACTAAGCTGTTGCCCCTCTTGTTCGTCCAGGTACTTGAGGAGTTACTTGTCAAGCTGGAAATTGAGCACGTTACTTGGACGACGAGCAAGAAAGGATACTTCCATCACGTCGTTTTTCCGCTGCAGGCGGGCGCCGCCTGTGAGACCACCCTGCACTGCCTCACGGAACTGGGCATTGGCACTAAATTGAATTCCAGTGTCAGGTAAGTTGAGACATTGAGGGGGAAACAAATGCCACACGCCGAACGCCAAACTCTGAACGTGTCGGGCAAGTCAAGGAGCCCAGCAACAGCTGGTCGGACTTATCCCCCACCTCCGGGTTTCTATAAAAATGCAATAAAAATGCAGAAAGATGAGGAGTCCTGTTTCCTGGATGACCTAAGGGATCGGATGGGTTGTCAAGGTGGTGAGTTCTTTGATTGCTTGTAGGCAGTCGATTATCCATGCCAACAGCTGAATCAATTCATTCAAAATTCCGTATTCGTTCCGATAATGTAAATGCAATTTTAGAGCTGCCACAATGCCCAAACATGAATCTAATTAAAATCCTTTTTTGCCAAACAAAAACTAAACAACCAGCTCGGAGTTCTTCTACAAGCAAAATACATGTATATGTAGTTGCCTTCTAGTGAAATTCCACAGTAATTAAATTAAGCAAAATACAATGGAGCTGAACAATGAACTCTACTAAGTAGGGCTACAAGTAAATTAAAGATGAACAGGCAAAAGAGCAAGGACAACGGCCAAAGTAGCTGCAATGGAGTGGACTGGGACAGGGTGGTCAAGTAGGTGTGATAATCATTTAATGGCATTAAGCAGGGGGATTAAAATGCAGTCGAAGGTGTGACCAGTTGAAAATGAAACCCCTCCAGTCAGTCCCGAGGTCAAAGAGCAGATGTTCTCAGTGCCCTCAAGGAGCCAGAGAGTAGCCCAGCCAGACAAAGTGCGACTTAAGCTGATTAATATGCGCAGAAATTCAATTAAGAAAAGGAGCTGCAAGAATGCATCTTACGTTGATTGAGTGCCACTCGTGTAATCTATAATTCATGTTTGGTCGTACGCAGCCAAGCCCATCTCAAGATCTCGATGTCAGCAGTCATGTCCCATGGTGCACCCTTTGACGTTTTCACGAAATGCGCATGACTTGTTTTACAGATATGCGCTTGCATATATCAATTTCAAACGTATCTACATTGAGAAAAATTACTATTTCAATTGAATTTACTAAAATTGAAAATAATATATAGAACCTTTAAGTAACCTGGTTCTTAGACTGACTTTTCCATGTTCAATGAGCTTTGTCATAGATCTCAAACTTTAAGCACTATACATTTCTTTCTGTGTATTTTCCCTCGCAGCGTGCTGCCGTGCAGCGTTAGTTATGATGCCATCACAGATGCGGCCAACATGCGAGATGACTACAGGTGAGTCTGCTACATAGATGCGTGTGCCTGGGTATTGTATTCCGGACGCATTGTATTTACTGGCTTTGTGTGTGGACCCGGAGTTAGTACCTTTTGTCAGGATTCCGCAGCTGTCGCTTTGTTAAAAACTAATTTCAGATCCTCTCTCCTACGTGTCAAAGGTGTCAGTCATTTCATTAACTTTCACTCGCACTATTCTTTCACTTCACTTTTACTTTTACTCTCAGTCCGTCCGGTCGTCGAAAACGTGACATTTGACTGTTGGCGCGCAGGATTCGCTATTTGGCTTCTTTCCCTTAACGGCTCGTCTGGCCCAAAAAAAAAAAAAAAAAAATGGAGGAAAGAAAGGGGTGGCCCTTAGGCCTTGGCCCAGGCCCAAGTTTATTACAGCCTTGGGCCAGACTTACGAGCTACTTGGACTGAGTATTGCCAGGGAATTCATCGTCGTTGGGGTCGGAAAGTGAAAATGGCAAAATTTGCATGGTGAAGCGGGTTATGGGTTTGGGGTATCTTTTGGGCCAGAGGTTAAATGCATCCAGTGTGTGCGCACAATTTATGTGGCTGCTGCTGCTCCTCAAAGCCAAAATGGCAAAAGCCGACAGTAAATATACACCCAATGACTTCTTGGCAAAGGGATTGTCACTGGGCCGAAACACCTATGTGCATACCTGATGAGCTTGTAATTGAGGTTAGCTTGTGGTTTATTTTTGGGTGATGATTGAGGCGTTGTTATGGTTAAGTAATTAGAGCTACATTCTAATCAGGACCAGACTGACAATCAGAAAGGAATTTATGCGGTGATATGTTGAAGTGAAAGAAACAAGAAATTTTCAAGACAAATCTGTCATCAATTATGGAATTTGGTGGCAAAATTTGATTTAACTTGATACGGCACCAAGATTTTCTGTTTATCATCTAGGTTTCCAATGAAATTATTGAATATTTTTACTAAACAACTTTAAATAAATTTTGAATAAAAGTAGACCACCATCACAGCTGGAATCCATTCGTGGTACTTTTTGCAAAACCATTCCATTTTATGACACTGTTTACTTATTTAACCCTCTACGCTATTCCCCTTTTGAACAAACAGCGAGGAAGCCGAGGATGCCTCGAAATGGAACAATTTTGTGGAATCAATTAAATCGAAATTAACAGTCAAACAGGTGGTGGACGGAGTACGGGCCGGAGGATCCCTGTCCTTCGACTATTTGCTGCTAATCGTTACTGCCGAGTGAGTAGCAGGCGGAAAAGAGTTTACAAAATTAATACGCTGGAAACCGCCAGCTGACGTCGACTGGGGTCAGTTGGTATAGAAATTAAAAATAATACTAACATATATATTCTCAGCTCTTTGGCAGCCCTGGGTCTCGTGGAGAATAATGCCCCGAATATAGTGGCTGCCATGTTAGTTTCGCCGCTTATGGGTCCCGTAATGTCGATAACATTCGGCGCAATTATCTCCGACAAAGAACTAATGGTAAGTGCAGCTTCCCCTTATGGCTGTAACCTTTTTTCCCCGGCGCTTTTTATTCCACATACGTATGAAGGAACAACAAATTGTGTAGCTCTCTCTCGAAAAGCCATTCAAAACCACCGTCGAAACGGCCAAAATAAATACAGAAAAAAAAAGCAGAAAGAGAAAACTATGCTAGTGAAAAATGGAATAGTGGAAATAGTTGTCAGTAGGGAAGGAGGGAATGGGAAAGGGGGGGAGTAGGATGCGCAGAGTATAGGGTCTCTGAAAATCCATTTCACAGCGCGTTAAATGAAATCGTCAACACTCTGGGAGCGACTCGACTCTTCGACTATGGTTCTATGTGGTACTTTTGAGTGATTTATGAGCAAATGACATTTGGAAAATAATAAAAATTGTACCGAAAATTGCTATGCCACTGCGTCCGTCCCATACCATTCGTCCTTTATTCCAGCTGTCAAAATTCGCATACAGAGCCATATGGAAATATGAGAAATGTGGAGGGGTTTTTTGGGTTATTCCAGTCAAATGCATTGCGACATAGCGCTTGATGTTTTGCAAATTTGCATCGCTTTTGTGGTAAATGGCAAAGTTGCTGAATTGTTTATTGACAGCGCTGGCTAGAAGGGGGAAGTGGGAAAGGGGAGGAGCAGCCCTATGAAATATTTAAATGCGTTTTTTTCCTAAAAATTGCATAGCAGCTGTAACGTAGGCTGTGATGCGTATGTGTTTGTGAGTTAATTCAAATCGATATGAATAAATACCTGGGAAATTCTATGTAAGGCCTGCTGACTGGCAGTCCATTTTATTATTCACTAAATTATAAAACTATATAAAAAGGATAAATTCTTTAGCGGTTCCTCTTATGCCTTTATTAAAAGACATAATACAAAGCATTCTGAATTACTGTTGGAGGGCTTCACTCGCAGAAGAAGTCCCAAGCTTGAAAACCACACCTTGCGGCTTGGCAATCATTTTCTTCCCTTTCCCAGCAATGGCAGACTAAAAACTAAGCTAAGCTACTTAGAATTATAGGACCCAGCACTTAGGGCCGCATTCAGCGCAAAGCCAATAAAACCGAACTTTAACTGCAGTCAGACGGCACCTGCTCTCCAAAGTGTCATAATTGTCACCACCAGTCGGTGGAGCCGGTGTCCCAGAGCTCTTTCTGTGAGATAAGAATGTCGGTGTCTATAGTTTTGCCGGTTTTGGTTCAAAGGCGGTGGTTTTCGCTTCAGGAAATCCACAGACAGGCCTTCATCATGTGCAGGCCCGACTGTTTGTAAATAGTGGTAAATAGAAGTGGTAGTAGAACTTGTATATAAACAAGATGAGGCTGTAAAAAAACCACAAAAAATAAACAAAATAAAGCAGAGTGAAATAAAAAAATAAGTTAAATATAATCGTCTGGTGCCATTTCTAATGAAGAGACGACGGCTCAGAGCTAGTGAGTCCAATGGTTCTGTGGCTCTGATGCCTCTGCCCCAGAGGCAACTTGTTGTCTGCTGACACAATTTTCACCGCACTCGGGCCCACAAACATACACACATACATAGGATTCCAGGTGTCTTGCCGGCTGTTGACACCTGCGTCGTGTACTTCAATTAAATTTTAATTGAAATGAATATATTCGTGTACGAACACATGCCAGTGTGCAACGTTTTTTCCTTTTCTCTTCTTCTGGTTTTGTTTTTGGTTTCTGCCTTCCTTTTGTGAAGTGGCTCCAGCTGCGTCATCATAATCTTTGATAAAGCCCTGGCAAGGAAGTTGAAATTGCAAGCAGTTGCGGTCACCAAAAATTCTCTGCACCCAATTTCAAGATTCCACTTTAATGCCTTTAATTTCCGGTCTCTCCAAATGGAAGTTTTCATTAATTAATGCAGTGCCAGCAACATTAAATATAACAAAATCAATATTCACCTATCAACTTGTGACTTCCAACTTAAATGCACATGTCAGTGGCAGGTCTTTCATTTTCAGGAGATAAAATTATATAAAATATATCTGAAGCACATTGGTAATTGATAAAACTTCACATTGCGTTGTTTTGATTTCATTACACAATATTTGACTATCTCCACAAAATATACAATAGCAAAACCTCTCAGATTAACACTCGTTTTGCTGGACAAAAAACAATTACACAAAAAACTGTATGCCAGACATGGTCATGGTGAAAATATTTGCGGACAAAATTCATATGGAAAAGTGTTTAAACAATTGCACACAAAAATGCCAATTACAAACGATGACAAAAATGGCAACATCCCATTGAATGGGGCCAGTCAAAATTGATGGCTAACTATTAAAAATAATTGGCCGTTGAGTAAAAAGTGTTGCGGAATCCGCGTAATATAGTGAAAACGAGTTGGCTATACACATATTGGTGGTTGAGTTGGCTAGCTGAATGTTATTGAATTGCAATTTTTGCAAATATTTGCACGCCATTTAAAGTTGATTCAGACATGAATATAATTTGTTTACGCATTAAGCATACGCAGTGTGTGTGTGTGTGCATAACGCTACATACCTGCATATAGCAAAGCAAATAATAAACAAGAAATTAGCCAAAGTTTTCACACCCCACTTAAACGTCGATTGCTTGAATTGTTGAGCAAACTCTTTAAAGAGCATTTAGCAGTAGTAGAAAGTGCAAAACTTCCATTGCCGCAAACATATTTTCACTATTCTCGGGAAACTTGTTAGCCGTCTGCTTAAAGCCTCAAGACAAGTTACTTTATATGCGTCGCAGTTGTGTTTGACTGGTAAAATGAGGGGAAATGAAGGGAGAACCGAGCGTCGCTGGCTTGGAATACCAAGACGACATCATGTGGCTGACATTAGAGCATTTTTCTTTTGTGTGTGCAGCTGCCAACAACAGTTTGCCGTTGCGTGGCTGCAAATTTGGGTTAACATGTCACGAATCTACTCGCAGCTCCTTGGCGCTTCAAAGTATGCAACATTATCGCTTAAAGTGTCGCTGGCTAGGTCGCTGGCTGGAATCTTTTGGCATTTAACTTGCTGCCTCGTCCCTAATTTCGCCAACCCATTTACAATTTACCATTTTCCTTTCAGCGTGTTGGCTTTCTTTGTCTCGGCTTGGGCATGTTTATCTCCCTGCTATTTGGCTTCATCTTCGGCCTGATTCTGGGCACCACCGAAATGCCATGGGGCCAGAATTCCGATTGGCCGACGGAGGAGATGCGAGGCAGGTAAGCTCAATCCGGAAATGGACCCCAAATCAATGTCAATCAGGCCGAACAATTGGGTTAGATTGCGCCAAATGCCGCACGTCCAGATCAGACTGCAAAACCACCAGGACCCATAAATTAATTCCCTTATTCGGTCATCGACGAATTGGCTCTAATCAAATATGAATGACATTCCAGTAGTTGCGGTCTCCGAAACAATACAAACCACCTTGATGTAGAATTTAATTAAGAGACGTTTATAATTTGCATTTGGAGTAGTTCTTTGAAATACTAAACATGCCAGAGGCCGAAACCAGACTGACTGAATGTCAGCTGTCAATTTATTTAAATTCGTCAAAGAAATAGCTCAGCACAAAGTATGTGAATGCCACTGGAAATTCACCAAAACAATTAAATTTTACACCAAGCCTTAAAATAATTAACCAACAGAAAAAACGATTACTTAAAAAGTCTGACGCAGCTAATATTAAATTAAAGAATTTCTTGGAAAGATGATATGAGTAACTTCTTAAAATTTGATTTATGCTGGAAGAGAGTGGCATGTTAATCAATAACGCTAGACGATATTCGTTTTCTGATATTAATTAAGACGCATTATAGCACAAGTCATTCGTTTGCCAGAGCCAAGAAGTGAGACACTCTCAAATCCCTCGACTTTCAAAAGTGAATTAGAAGTTTGCCGAAAATCCAAAATCCATTAAGTATGTTAATTATCCAGTCTCTAGAAGAGCTCACAGCTCAGCTCAGCCCTTGCTACTTACAGAATAAGTCTGTTGGTAAATCTATGAGTGAGAATGTAACAAATTACTTGCAAATAATTCAAATAATCTAGGGCCCCCAGTAATGTGAGGCGTGTGCTCATTAGAGGGCCTGCAAGGCTTTCTGGGACAATCTTCCTGCCGCCCTTGCCACCGCCCCCCACCAGTCACTTGAGTCTATATATATGGCTACACATTTATTACGGCATCGTTTTTTGCCGAACAAATCTTTAAGTCGCCACGCGCCGTCTGTGTAAATCTCTTCCAGCATTGGGTCCCACAATGGGCTTAGAGGAGAGCACACGCCCCCTGGCGGCAGAAAAAGCTACAGCACAATAAATTAAGCTCAGCCGCAGAATTTGCCGGAAGTTGCGTGAAATGAATGTGTGTCGGCAATTGTGTTAATTGCACAAAATAAATTGTTAAAATAATAATACACAATAGCTCTGGCTCTGTCTGTTTTAGCCTGACATCTAAATATATATGTATTTATGTACATATACATATATCTGACTAGAGAGTATGGCCTATCTCTATAATTAAGTGCCTTGGGTCCATTTTGGTGCTTTATTGTTGACTACGGAGGCCAGTCAAGTGGCTCTGTCCAGGCGAACATCTACGTCGAAAGCTTCATCTTTATCTTCATCTCCATCTCCATCTTCATCTCCATCATAATAATAGGCACACATAATGAATTTCTACAGATTGCGTGTGCCTATCACCGGTCATGCAATCAACGTGAGTTTCCACTGGTCATCCTCAACTTCATCCGAACGTTGTCATTGCTCACTGGTCTCAATAATTGTGTCACGTGGCGCGTGAAAATAGAGCCTTGTCATTCGGTCCATTGGACTCATGATGACTGACTGATCGGCCCACATAAATGATATATCTCCAAGGCCAGGGGGTGCATGCACCTGATATTGGTTGCGGTTAATTAGATAATATTTGGGGATGGGGTGATTATATAAGGTCAGCATTAGATTATACAAAGTGAAAACTCATCTTCCTTATAACTTTATTCTTCAATATTAAATGATAATATTTAAGGCAAATATGAAATCTCCAAACCCCGATGAAAGGTTTAATTACATTTAAATTGATAGATGTACCAATCCGCATAGAGTTATGTTATTTTAACAAGACAGCCAAGCTGGCCCGCACGCACATTTGGCCCACTCTATTCGGCATAAATTACAACACTAAACCAAATTAAATTTATGCTACTTTACTGCGGAGGCGTGTCGACACGCCCATATAGTTGCAACTGTCGGCAGAAAGCCACATGCAAACTGGCGAAAATAATCAGTGCAAATGTCGCCGAGGGAGGTTGCATGCTACATGTACAAAAGGTGGAGAGAGAGTTTGTCTAGTTTTCAGCAGCCAGCAAAAATAAAGTATCTAAATATTCACAGTTTTTTTATATGTTTTTACCATAGGATTGAGGATGGGATTTTGAGCATATTATTACAGTTGCTGGCATTACATTTTAAACGCACACTAAACCAAATTCCCATGGTCAGCTTAGTTAAATAAATCGCAATTAAAAGCAGAACGTCTGTTCTGGGCATTTGGTGTTTTCCCCCTTTATTTCTTTTTTTTATATAGACAGAAAATGACAGTGTTTTGCATGGAAGGAGCCGAACGGGGTTTTTAAACGATTTTTTATCCTACGCTAAAATCTAGTCACTCTGACCCACATCAAAACCACAATCTCGATCCTGGTTTTTGGCCTCATTTGCATTGTTTTCAATCTACGAATTTCCACCATAAACAATTTGCTGCAACAAATTTATACGACTTGCCTAATGTTAGGGCTATAATTGAGCGTAAATTGCCGACGTATAATAAAGTTGTTTTATGCATAAAAGTTAAATACTTGTATAACTCAAACTGCGGCATTCATAAATAAAACTCACACTTTCGGTGGCACAAAAACACACCAAAAGCAAAGTAAAAGCGCCATTAATCAGTAAAAAGTTGGTCCCAGGTAAAAATGTTCCCAAATTTTCATATAGGCATGGCAAGGGCACAAATGAGGCGCATGAATCAAACAACGAGAGAGTTATGCAACTTGGAATAGCCAAAGTCCAAAACACCCTAGCTCTTGGCTTAGATTGGAGAGCATTCGGGAAAATCTGCTGTGAAGATAAACAGTAGAAATGTTTTTTAGAGTGAACCACTAATGTGATATCGAAGCTAATTAAGCTGCTCAAACGCACTTTCTCCTATTCCATAGAAATATTAGTTAAAGAGGAGAACTAATTTGCAGATCAACATTGCCTATGAGTGATCCATATTCCAGTCCTCAGAACCCTATCTCTACTACAAAAATTCTTTTATAAAACCCGTTCATAGGGCTAATTAAGGCCCACCCTAAAATGCTTAACTGAGGTATTAAGTCTAATCAAGGTCTTGACTTCTTGTTTAGGGGTGGGGATTAACTTTAGTTGGCCAAATCGTAATACCCCTAAGAAGGGTATAAAAGCCAGGCGCAATGAAAAGTTTGCCAACATTTCTCACCATTAAATGACTCTGACTCCTGACTCGCCGAGCCCTGGGCGACCAGAATGGTTGGCGGAAGCGATAACAAAGCCGCTGACACTTGACAAACTTGCGCGAGTGTCAAAAAATCTCCGCAAAATGGTGGGGATGAGAGGTGAATGTTGGGTCCTGACAGGCAAAAAAAAATCCTCGTCACCTGGCGCCTGGCAATGTGAAGTATTTGGCCCACCTGCTGACCCTGACGCGAAACGGCAGATAAGCAGTGTCTGCGACAGTTTCCAGTCTCCTGGCTGGCCAAACATTCATCTTAATGTGACTTAATTTGCAGTTCTTGGCCCTTGGATCCTCCGCTGCCCTTTTCCAACAGTGGCCAACGGATAAAGCGTTTAGCTAGCGGGGGCCGGCATTTGTCATTCGGCGGCTGTTGTATTTTTAATTAATTTTTACATTTTTCCCTTCGGCGCATATTTTCGATGGCCATTTCACAGTTGATTTTTCAATAATTTCTCTTTCGATTCGCAGAGGGCAATGTGCGCGCCCTCTGGATGGGCGTGCTTTGGGCTTTAACATCTGGCACTGGCGTGGCCGTGGCCTTGCTCCAGGGTTCCGCAGGACCTTTGATCGGGGTCGCCATATCCGCATCACTGCTGCCACCCGTTGTCAACTGCGTAAGTATCCCGCAGAGTTCAAAATTATCACTAATTAAGGAAAAATATTTAAAATATCGAACATAAATCGTCATAAAATAAATGCTTCTAGTTTCATGGGTCTTTAAAAATATGATTTACATACATGAATTTAACAAAACAATCGTAAATATGTTACATAATTCAAAAACATTTTAAAACAGTACAACTTCAAGTCTTAAGGCAACAATTTGGATATGAAATTAAACAATGAGATAATAATTAAGCCGACTTAAATGGTAAATTTTATAACAATGTTATGCCAGAGCTTGTATATCTTTGCCTAGTTGTAAAAGCGATGCAAGTATGGCAATCCTTAAGCACACACTGACACAATTAAGATATTAATTTCATAAGTAGGTATGTGGTAACTTTTACGTATGATATAAGTATGTTATTTCCTCAAGGATTAATCTTAATTGATAATCTCATACCTGAAGCAAACACAGCACTCAATACTCATATACATACAAGTATATAACGACGAAGAAACCCACTTTATAAGTGATTTTCTGTAGCCTTGAAATCGGCTTCTGCGTAGCAATTTTCCTCCCATTAGCATGCTATTAACAAAAGCTTCGAGGTCCTTCGATTCTGGCAACGATTGCGCAGTTGATATTTCATCATGAGTGAGCAGGTGCCGGAAATGACTTTGCCAGCAATATTTATGGCCAGCCAGCCAGAGGCACAAAAGCATTCCTCAAAATGTGAATAAAACAGGCTTCCAAAACATTCCAATCAAATATCCACTCTGGTCAGCCGAATGGAAAATTACCCAATTCCCATTTATATTATGCTCTTAAGTTTTGACTCCACTTCAGTTTCTCTACTATCGATGACCATCGGCCATGCCTAAATTTCCTATATATTTTAACTGCCTCAAACATGGTCGAAAACTTCCAAATGGCTGTTAGCCGTGAGTCTCATGTAACGCACTTAAAGACCCGGCCCAGAAAACGTTTGGCCAGTGGAAATGCAAAACGGTAGAACTAGAAGTTTTGGCTTGGCTAATATTTTTGGGGGCCTTCAAGTGAAATTCGCCATAAATTAGGCCGAAATACAATTTGCTGATTAATCTGAAGTGCATTGCCCAAAAACTTTTGGCCATAAATCTGTCCTGCAGTCAGAAGGAGTATGGGAATGAAGAAGGGCCACCACCGGGACCGGTTCTCAGCTGTTTTCCCACTTTGTGTGGCGCAACCGCAACGAGTGCATAAATTTCGACCCAATTTTCAAGTGCAAATTGCGAATCCGAATTCCCAACTGCAGGCGGATGTTGCGTAAAATTATAAAGCAAGTGTGAGAACTGCACGGAGCAGAATCCTCTCTGGCTTCTTTGCCACCGAAAAGGGAAGTGCATACAAAAACTTGCAAAAACACAGGAACCGGCAGGCCAAGTGCCACACAAACTGGCAAACAAACAGCCCGGCTGGCTGACATTTATCAATTGTGACAGTGGGACAAAGGCGCCGCCGGGAGGCGTATTCCACAAGCATGACAAAATGATGCAAAGGGCGAATTATGGACACTGGGAAGGGGCCAGTCCCCGTCCTCGTCCCGGTCTGTGTCTTCCGAACTTTAACCGGCCGAAAACAATGGCGCTGAAATCGCTTAATCATGGCGGCCGAGCTGCGGTCGAGCATGTGTGCAAGTGTCGCTCCAACTTGCTCCAACTCCGCAACTCCTTATCCTCCGAAAAGTATGCTATACATATGAGCCGCATAAATCAGTGGCACGCACTGAGGGCGAAGCAACCTTTGTCCATGTTTTCTCGGTTTTCCCCCCTTTTCTTCTTTTATTATTTTTTTTTCACTCCTGATTTTACTTTACCAGCAAAGAGCGTGTTACAATTAATTGCCATGTGTTTTGCCCTAAGGCAATATCCTGGCCAACAGAGCGTATGAGTAATTTCGTGTAGTGACCGACCGGCTGCTCACATTTCCAGCGAGAGGTTCCCGAAAGTAAACTGCAATCGCAGTGGCATAATAATTGCAACTCTTAATATTGGCTTATTAAATTGCCAGCGACCTTATTTATGTGGCCCGGCATCATGAACTCCAATTCCAAAAACGGTCTGCAACGCCTTTACTTTCGAATCCGAGCACGCAATAATTTACCCAGAAACGGTCGTAAATTCGAATAATAGCGAAAATAGAAAGTAAGTCGAGGAAAAGAAAAGTCATGAGCTCGCACACAAATGGAAAAACAAACACACTCTAACAGATTTGTGGATTTGACAGTCCAGGTTAGGCTAATAGCACATGGTTTGTTTAAGGTTATGTTAAGGAATAACTTAAAATGGTACTAGTAAAAGGCAAGTGTGATATTTATGAAGGCATCTGAAAGTATACAACAATATATTGATGTACAACAGACAGATTGCTTATAGAATAATTTTTAAGAGATTTAAAAAATAATAATTTTAAAATTCATTCTCCTTTAAAAATGTTTTTAAAGCAAACACTAACAATTGACAAACTGGTATTAAGTCTTAGCAGAGATTAACTCCTACCAATTTGACCGCAATAGTACACCGGCTCGCAGAGGAAAGGCACGCACTTCCGGACTTGCTGTGCAATGTGCTGAGTCATTATAATTTATAATAGCAGAGAGCGGAGGACACAAAGTGAAATCAAAAAAAAAAAGAAGAAATAAGAGCGAATGGCAGAAAAAGAGAACGAACTGAAAATGCGACAATGAAGTTCTATCTACGAGTTGGGGGGTTTGGGGGGATAAATTTGGGGCGATTGTGTGGCGCCCACACACATGCTCCAAAGTTATTGTTGTAACTCAAGGCCGGGAGACACTACTTGGTATGCCAACGGCAGCGCCATCTAAACGGAACTAAGCACGCGGCGACCTTATGACCTCGAACCGAACCACACATCTGACCATGGAAACTTCAAAGTCACAACATCCCCGTTGTTCTTCCGTTTCTGTTGCAGGGTCTCTTCTGGTCACTGGCCTGCATTTGGCTCATCTACCCAGAGAAACGGATACCACACTTAAAGAACGAAGCGATGAACTCGACCAGCGCGTATCCATTCCTCTACACGAACTACTTGCCCACCGAGTTCCTGATCAATGGCATCGTCTCCGCCTGCCTGACCGTCGTGAATGTGATTTGCATATTTATCACGGCCATAATCGTATTGAAAATTAAAGAGGTCTCGGCGCCATACACGGCCAGTCCGGACTTAAAGCGGTGAGTAGACCACTCGGTAGTACATTTTTGCCACTTTGCAGGCATATTTTAGTCGATGACGACATTGAATCTCGTTAAAGTGGACCTTTTTTTACAATGATTTTTACGACTTAAACATAATAATTAAAACAGATAAGATTAGTCAGTACACTCTATCTTAACTTTGGAATTCAAAACAGAAATGATTTAAACTACAGAGAAAGACTTACGAATGCAGAACATGGTCCACCCTAGGGAACATAATATGTATGAATAGCAGCAAATTAAAAATCTGCACAGCGAGAAGCGCTGGAGTGTGTTTAATGACGGCGGAGCAAGTGCTTTTAAGCTTATCATTTCCGTTATGTGCGCTTGGTCAGTTGCCCATTAGTAAGTGTAATTAATAACGACAACAGACACAGACACAGACAAAATCACAATAGCCAACAAAATGGGTTGTCCGGCATCCATTGCAGTGGCTGTTACTATGAGAATTCCATGTTAATACTCATTTAAAATGCACATCTATTAGTAGGCGAATTATATATTGCATCAACAATGTCATTGACTTAATCTGGGATAGGTTAATAAATCAGATCTTGTCGGCTTGCTTGTTTACACAATCTAAGATTCCAACCAACCCCATTAAACGACACGTGTGACCAACTAGCTAGGGAAATTAACTCATATTACCGGAGACTTGCCTGCTCATTTAAATCAATAAAGGAGCTAAAGCCATTGGAGGATTTGAGATAAGGTCTTCAATATTTTGCCAGCCAAGTTGATGTGTTCTCATTTTGGGAAACGATTTTCCCTCTTAGCTTCAGAAAGCCTTTTAGGCCAGGCGATTTGTTACGAATGCCTTTTGACTGGAGTTCGTAGAACCCTAAGAAATTATATATTATATATATTTGGCAGCTAGCAGACAGCCTGCACAAGTGCTACGCTAAAAATATGATATATCGCGTAATTAACTGACTGATTTCGTGTTTTTATTCTGTTTTACTCTGCCCACTCGCCTAGTGGCCGAGGCAATCTAAATGAAAATAAATGCCCTCCCATTGCCGGCTCGAATGACAAATGGGGATCTAAGCTCCAGTCTGAGTCTCAGTCTGTCTCTGGAGTGCCCGGGCCCAGACATGTGGCTTTAATTTCCCAAAGTGGCGTATTAAATTGCTTTAACCGAAGGCTAAGTTTTCGTCCATCCCAAGTTGTCAACTTGGCACAGAGACAGAGCCCGCATAAACGGAACGGCTCGCAAAAGTGTGCTACAATTTTATATCGCGGCTGGCGTTTGCGGCATTATTTTTATTATTATAGTGTACATACATGTGTATAAATGTCCTGTGAATGTTTCAACGTTTATTTAAGCCCGCTCACGCTCGCCTGCCCGTTTGTTTGACTTGTTTGTGTAGCTTTTAGAAGTTGTGTGTGTTTTGCATATACCCTCGCCGAGGATACCCTCATTTTCATCAGGAAACTTGCACTGCAGCTAGTTGTCAGATATTGAACGGCTTTTACTCAAAAAAATAACAAAAAGCTTAGCCACTCAGATCAGATTTTTATATGTGCTGGCCACTAGACAGAACGTCCATTTGTGTGAATTTGCAAGAGCTAGCCAACTGACTAGACAGCAATCCAGCAATCCGATCCCGATTGTTTCTGCCTCCGTTTGTTTGCCTCACTTAGACCCACTCTTAGCCCAGAATCCTCGACCAGGACAAACAGAAATAACAGAAACAGTAGGCAAACCAAAAAAGGAAAAAGGGACTCCCATGGCCGGGCTCTTTCCGCAGGCTGTTGCATTACGCATAAAGTGCATGATTTCATATTTATTTGTTGTTACCCGGGCATTCCAGTTTGCTCGACTCTGGCGAATTGGTTTTGTTTTCATTGCTGCGGTTTTCTTTTGACAGCGGTTTATGGTTGCGAATTTCTTGTCTCCGCCAATTCAAAATGATTTTTATGGGGTTTCTGTCAGACGAGAGCAGCTCTTATGCCAACACAAAAAACGGGGACAGTTGCTGCTGGAAGCCGAGCACGCCGATAGCCCCAAGGTTATTTCCTATAATAGAAAAACTTTCCCGATAGGGTCGGAGTAAAATTGAACTAAAACTTTTACGAAAAAGAAGAAAACTCCCGCGTAGCCAATCATTCAAAATATAATTTTACAGCTCTTTTACATTGCAGTTTTATAGGTGGAAGCTGGGCTATATGAAAGGAAATTAAATCAGACTACGTCATATTGGAATGGCAAACAGCTAAATAAGAATGTTAAAATATGAGTTTTGAAAATTTACTTGAAACGCAAGAGAAACTTTACATAACCAATTCATTGTCAATAGCTTACAAAAACAGGCATTTCCAAGCTCAAGTTTAATATTTCTGAATCTTAGACCTAAAATCGATTTACCAATTTAAGAAACATATTTTCACTAGATTTTTCTACGCAGTGAAAAAGATTTTTAAAATATATTTCCCCTCCTTATGTAGATTTTGGGAAACAGATCTTCGCACCGTACGCAAAACGAATCGCTCAACAATGCGGCATCCACGCAGTGGCAGCTCGATGGCCGGAGGACCTGGAGGACTTGGAACCGTCAGGGGCTTGGACAAGTTCAGCGGGTGAGTGGCAAATACACACATACACGAATGAGTGGAAAGCTCTTACGAGACCGTTTGCCCCTGAACCAATTCTCATATTTCCCATATCCTTTACAATGCCGTTTTTGTTGAATAATTGAGCCCGGCCCGAGTGTGTGCGTGGCCCCGAACTCATTCTCATGAACACGTCCTCGGGGCAAGTCAATTTACTCCCAACATTTGTCTGGGCAAATGCTTGAACGCAATCAGAAAAGGTAAATAATGAAGGTATTTATGTCGTCAGGGTGCGAATGTACCGTCCCACGTAACGCCCACGTCGCATAGTCCATAAATAAATATGCTGCTGCAGATTCTGTAAAATATTTATCGCATAATTGAAATCATTGCCAAGTATTTATGGCGGTCTTAGGCCAAAGCCAAAGCATAAAGAGAAACAAATGGTTATAAAATATGGAAAAATAACGTCCAAAAATAAAGTCAACCAGAAAGTTGGAACATATCCAAGTAGCTGAATATATCCACAAAATCCGCTACAAATTGCTATACATATTGTATTTGTTTTTCTGATTTCTTTATTTTTTCAACTCTTAAATATAAACGTACAAGTTTACTGGTAAATAATTTAACAGCAAACCTAACCGATTTGTATACAAATTTGAGCTCTAATTTAGGTTGCCCCAAAGGCAAATTGAAAACGAGCATTCTCTAAAATAAACATTTTAATACCTGAGAATGCGAGAGGGGAGGAAAAAACAAGTATATGTTGCACATTCTGATGGACATTATAACAATGGAAATTCATGCAACAAATTAACACACAGCTGTAAGCTTTTTAATTTAGCACAAAATGCCGGCACCATTTGTTTACACGAAACTAACTAACAAAAAACTATAAATGTTTTGGTAGAGGGAAATTTATTTCCACCCCGACGCGTCATTCAAAGTTCACGGCATTGTTGCATAAAATTAACACATGTCCGTTCCACCAGCAGTGGCGCCCATTATCACGGACTGGACGAGCGCGATGCCCAGATGGATACAGCCCTGGAAAGGGCTCTGGCCCAGGCCGAGAACGATGCCACATTCAAGAAGGTCAAGCGGATGAGTTACTCGAGCAATGCGGCTGGTGAGGTAAATATTGATAATTTCTTTATAGTTTTACATATTATATTTTGAATTTTTCAATTATTCGTTTATTTCTTCGATTATTTTAAAGTTCAAATTTTAAATTATGGGCCCAATTCGAATTTTTTTAGATTCTTAAAACTAAGTTGGGAGTTTTTTAGGAGTATAAAGGTAATGTTTTCCGTGTCTTGATCTTTCATCTTTTTGTGAACGCAATTGGTAGTTTCTTAGCCAGAGTTATTCGTTCTCCTGTTGCTCCTTTTCCTGCTCCTCCTTGTCTTCTTGATCTTTGATGGCCTTTTCACCCTCCGAGTGAAGGTCCTTGTAACCTTTGTCTTCTTACTAGAGGATGCTGCTGTGGTGGTATCACTGGCTGATGATGCCGTGGTGGTATCTCCTGCGGCACTAGCTGCGGTGGTTGCCTCGGCGGCTGCTGTTGTAGCTTCAGGAGCCACAGTGGTGGTAGTGGCACACTCGGCATTATCAGCATTCGCAGCATCTGTACAATCTATGCAGGCAGTATCAGTAGGATCATCAGCACAGGTTACAGCCTGCCCCGAAGGGAAATTGGCCAAAAAGATGGTCACCAGGAGGGAACCAAAGATCACCAAAAACTTCCTCATGTTGCTTGAGATTGGCAGATGGCGAATGATAATCTTTTCTTGTCAGATCCCTAGTTTTTATACCAAATGCGAATTTAATTCAAGCCAAGACGAATGTTTGCCCAGCTGCTTTCGACCGCTATTCGCACTCTAACCACCGTGTTTGATGACCCATTGTGCCTAAGATTGGCCCTAACTAGATTCAAGCAAAATATTTGACAAGTTTTCTTCTTCAATGGGTAGATGATGATACCAACGTTATGAAATAATATATATTGACTCAGTTGATATAACACGCTGTTTGCATGGCATCCATTGATTTTCGAAAATTAAAATGTCAAGCACACCTGTTCGTGTTTGTCTTCTGCAATAACAAAGCAAACCTTTTATGTGACAGAAAACTAGTTTATTAAAGTAAATACTTTAAAATATACTTTTAAACCATTTAGCAAGCTTCATCAATGCCACAATACAAGTTTTAAGGCCAGGAAGTATCTTGAAATTGCATTTTTCATGACCCAGAGGGCAGGACGGAGGTCCGGTGGCAAACAGCATTTAAGCTTAATTACTGGCAATTATTTGGCGGAGACGAAAGCAGAAAGCAGACGTTGGCCAACTGACCTCAATCATTAGTTGATAAGCCCTGCGAGGCGGACAAGAAAATGCATGGCGCTCTGGAAAAAGTGGCGGCCAAACGATGCGACAATAAACCAAGTTGGGAAGATCATAAATCAAGGCGGCATGCAGCAAAGGGAAAGGAAAGAAGAGGAGAGTACATGGCAAGAAGGATGGGACAGAGAAGCAAAGGGGTCACTTGGGGCAGCTGCGAAAAAAAGCCAGCAGCAGAGCAACAACTGAGCAGTTGAAAATCATGTAAGATTTATAGTTAAGCCAGATGAACCTGTTGCAAGGAAGGAGTAGTCCAAGCCCAAGACGAAAATAAACTCCTTTCGGTTTTTATGCACTAGATGAAAGTAGACCCACCGGGTAATATCTGTCACTTTGAACGAACCAAAGCGTAAAGAAAATCAACCTTGCAAGTTGCAACTTTGAGCTTTGGACTGAGACCTTGTCATTGGGTTCAGTTTTTCATTCAGTTTTGGATTTTTGGTTGAGGCTTTTGAGAGGGAAAGACGTACTTAACCAAGATCCTACATGTCCCATCACCTTACCGCTGAATCCACTAATGACGCTTAATCCGTCTTCCACATGCCTGATTCCATAATCATAGGGCCTGGTGAAAAACTTTCTTAATTTCCTGTTTAAGGAGCAGACGAGCTCGGATCTCCGACCGCCGAGCGCCAGCGCCTCAATTAAAACTCGCCGGCAAGAAGCATTCAAAAGCCATCCAAGCGTCGATTGCCACAAATCAACTTCTACATTAATTCGTTTCCAGGCGGCAAAGAAGGGAGGTGACAAGGAGGATGGGTGGAGGGTAGATGGTTCAGGCCAAGGAACTCGAGTGGCTGGCAAACTGACATGCTCCAAATATTTCGAGAGACAGCCACGAAATAGCCGAGTGCCATGCAAAACAAACTTGCAAAGCCTACGACCACGCCCCTCTGACAGCTTGTAATCAGTTTAAAGTGAGTCCTGGCCACTAAAACTCAATTAACCCCATTTGAATGGAGCACGAGGCAATTGAAAAAACACAGAAACATGAAATGAAAACGAAAACGAAACGAAGAGCGAGCAAATCAAGGCAAAAGATTAAAAACGGAAATGGTTGGCCATCGAGTATGGGCTGATGGGCTTGAGGTGGGTGGGTGGCTAGGGTTGGCATAGAGGGCCAATACAGTTGGATGGGGGTCGAGGACGAAAGGTTGGCAGCATTTTTCACTTAAAACCGCATTGATACTCAATTACCAGGTCGGCACTCGACTACCCAACTTGGACAAAACAAACGGCGGATGCGGAGCCCAGGAAAACGGAAGCACTTTGCAACGGAAATGAAACATCAATTAAAGTCGCACACCGAGCAGCTCCACGCGAGCGGATCCGTCGATGGTAGAAGCCTGGAAGCCTGAAAGCTCTGGTGTCCTGACAGCCAGGCAGTCAGGCAGCCTTCTCTGCCGAGAATCCATTGCCTTCGTCCTGCTTACTTCGTCCTTGTAACCAGGCACTTGGAAACTGCTCCGGAGCAGCCTGCCTTGCCTGAACACTTGTTCGGTTGCCACAAGGCCTAAGGGCATATTTTGTTAGTTTTTATTGCTTAATTGTAATTTCGCATATGGGAAAACGAAAAGTTTAATTGGCTGCGCTGAAGTATCAAGTCTCGTTGCGTCTCACAGGCGATTTATTAGCAAGAGAGTTGGAGAAGTAGCAAACCACAATTGCAAACTAATTGGTAGTGGGGAAAAATGTGGTTATTTTTCTTACAAAACGGTATGATACTAACTCAAATTCAACGTATATTTGTTTTTAACTACTTTGACTAACTTACAAAATGGTTTTGGCGTGATGACTACTCATAATATTTAATATTTTTCGTTTAGTTAACAGAAAGACTTGCCAAGATTGCTGGCCTCAACCGTCTCAAGACAGACGTTGACCCAGGACAAACGGGCTCAGGAAGTCTTTCTGGCAGCCGGATGAACTCCATACCAAACTCCCAACTTAACGTTGATCTGAAGGCACTAGATAAGCTGGTGAGCAATCTTCTGGAGCAGCACACTTCTGGAGGTAAAGGAGCCACTTCACATAAACCGGACACGGGCACCCGTACTCCGCCACTGCAGCGAATGGCTTCCAAAAAACTAAACCGCTGGCGTCCTCTCTCTCGATCCGCTCACAGCTATAAACGTCATGAGAGGAGCGATCTTATCGGTGGTAGTTTCACCCAGCTAATGGAGCGAGTAGATCCCCCGGCAACGACTGCCCAGCACACACATAATATGCCTACAATTATGGAGAGCAGTGCTGGCAGTCCGACTCCCAATAATTCGCAGCAGCAGGCGGGTCATCCGCCCATGTGGACAGCATCCTTGGACGCCACACCAGGAGCGGTGCGAAATGTTCTTCACGGAGCCAGATCGGAGCCCGAGGATCAGCTTAATTTGACTCAGAATTATGTGGGTTAAGCTGCTGAACCCATTTTTTGTTGCTTTTAAACATTATTTTGAAAACATAAAAATATATACCAGGTATCAATATTTCATTAATTTGTCAAACAAGTTTTTCAAGTGTTTTTTAAATTATACTACAATGTTATTATATAAATACAACAACAATTTACGCTTACCTGTCGCTCCATAACTACCGACAACTGTTCCCGTTCAGCATGGCGATAGTAACCCGTAAGATTGGCACCCAGTCTCATGGTTACCTCATATCGAGTTTTCCCACTTCTTGCCAAATTCCTGTTGCTTTTAAAGGCGGAATAACTCTGGCCAGAAGGGGAACCAGAACGACCGAAATTGTCAAAGTCGCAGGCCTGATGGCATTCAATGGAGCTGGTGTTGCTGGTGCAACCTAAAAGGATGAAAAACATTCGGTAATTGCTTTCTTAAAAGGTAGAATCATGAGAAATTTCTTCCGAAAGATGAAAATGTGCAAACCGACACCTGTGGTAATATAAACCCAATGCGCTAAATTGAGTGTTCGTTGCATTTTCCACACAAGAAGAAACCTTCGAATCGCCTTGGGGCAAGAAGCTGAATAAAAGACATAACATCATTCAGGAAGTATGCGAAGCATGTGCCAGGCATTCCTTTGGATAATCTCTCGGTTTTTTGCCCCAACCCATCAACCTGCTCTTATGCATTTTTCTATACCTAAAAACGTAAAGGGGTGTCAAAATCGATGGAATTGGAATTTTTACTTGAAATCCTTTTTGCTCAACAATTTCCACTCACAACTGGAAAGCTCTTTGCCTTAAAATTAATATCTAAGGGTCTTTGAAAAGCTAGACTGCAAAGGCTCTTTGAATTTAAATACTTCTAAAAGATCCAACAGAAAGTAAAAAGGGAATAATTAATAATATACCAAATAAACTAATAGTAGGTAGAGACAAATTGTACTCTTCTCTATCGATGTTTTCCAAGAACTATTAGCTGCGTTGGCTGGATCCTTCGTTGCCAGGGAAAACCGGAACATCTCACAATCCGATTGCAACATTGTACTGTATTCAGGTCCTGTTTTCCCTGTTCCCTGTTCTCATTACCATTGCAGGCACTTTGCGATTCAATGAACTGAACAACTTAAAGCTTAAACATTGTTGGCGGCTGGTGACACGTTCGTTGTTGTTCTTGTCATGGGTTTTCCATCGTGAAAAGCGGTAGCAGTATGGAAATTGGCACGGATCCCGGACAGTGACAACCTGAGGTTTTCCACTTTGTCGCCTGCTCCCGTTTAATGCTCTCCATTGCAGTTGTTATACATTTTTATTGTTTTTGCACGCACTTGCCGATTAAATGGGGCGAGAGAATTTCCAGATGGGCGGTGGGAGAAAGGGAAGGGAAAATCGGTGCGGGGAAAAAAGGCTCCTGTCCGATGCCTTTTCTTTCAATTTGTCTGCACAGTGTCTGCGTGGGTACCTCAGCTGGTAGTGAGTGCATTTTTAATGCTAATTATTTCCTTAATTACATTTTCACTTTAACAGCCGCGCCCTTTTGTCCCAACTCTTTGCCCGCTCTCCCAGTCCGTTTTGCAGCTTTTTTTTATGTTTCCCTTACTTTGGGCCCTATACATACCCTGCACATATATCCCAGACTACCCCAGACTATATATGTAGATATATATCTGGAAAATAACATTTATTATTGCACTTACCCTGCGTCATCTCGTTTATTTCGGGTATTTCGCATCTGGTCCCCTTGAAGCCCTTCGGACAATGGCAAGTTATGGCGGCGTCGCCAATGTGCCTGCAAATGATGATCCGACAATAAGAGAATGAGGAGCAGGATAAAAAGGGAGCTGGGAAAGCTATAACATGCGAAGACTCATAAATAAATGTATGTAAGTAAGTTCGGAAAGTACTTATATGTTTCACCCTTCGATTCTTAAAAAAGTTATGAATGGAAAATCCAAAATATTTCAACTGCTTTTGGCTTAATAAAGTAAATGCCAAAGCAGCTTTAAGATTTATTGCAATTTTGCGATAATTTGGATGGCAAATTGACTCTAATTTAAAGGGACATTCAATACTCACTTGCAAGTGCCACCGTTTTGGCAGACGTTGGTATGCAGGTCCTTGCACAGTGGGCCATGACCACAGTCACTGCCGCTGAAGCCGGGAAAACAGGAGCATCCATAGGAGCTGCAAGGAGAACGAACAGAGGATGTGAGCACGTTTCGAGTTCTGTTTGCGATCTGAGGATTGGTGAAGCTGCTTGTCGGTTGAACTGCAAACTTGGCACACGCTGGTCAAAGTGGACGACAAGTTATCACAATGCCGGTCGCAGAATTCGCATTTATCTGGACCCGAGATTGCGGCTGACTCATAAAACTTTTATTGGACCCACTTGATGGGGGGACTTTTTTTTTAAGGACGTGCCTAAGCTGAATTTGTAGTTATTTGGAATTTGGTCCCTGTCAGCGAAGACAACGGCGTCATCATCAGATACAGAGACTTGGGTCAAACTCCCGGCCTCAGACAATAATTTAAATATGTCGGAAGCCGGAAGCCAAGGTCAGGAAATCAAGAAAAATGGTCCTGTCGCCAGTCACAAGGCTCTTGAAAGAGATTTTCTCACGGATTGGTCGAGCTTGTCAAACCACTTTATAAGTTTTTATAAGATTTACATAAGCAGTAAATATTCTTAGAATATCTCTTTAAAACGAAACTTAAAGAAGATTAATCCTAATACCTTTAAATGTACAAATTAGTATAAAATCTAATCACTAAACATAAATGTAAAATCAAAAAATATTTAATAAAATCCCAATAAAAGTTTTCCACCTTCATAACATTTTTTCCATCAAAACCCTTTTCCTGCAAATCCATTTGAAATGTCACTTTCGCCGGAAAATTACCGACACTTAAAATCTCGGAACATAATTTACGCTCAAAGCTCTTTTTTGACAATTTAATTGGGCTCGCCAGTTTTGACCAAATATTTTTTGTCAAGGGACGCGATGACAAAAAAATGTGTAACCATTTGTTCAAAGTAATTGGGCATCCTTCGCCATTTGTTTCGTTCCATGTCGCTCGTTTTTCAACCGGCGGAGCAATTGTTATGCTTACCCCAGTTGTTCGTAAGTCATGCGTTGTTGACACACGCCAACCGAAATTAATTTGCCATTTGGTCCTTTCTTTTTTTTTAAAAAAAAAAGGTTGAGTACTGACTTTTAAAAGCGTGAAAATCCCATAGAAAAGAGTAAATTCCTTCTCTTTTGGTTGACATTTCCTTAGAAACTTCAGCCTAATGGCTATTCAATGACAGAAAAAGTCTAATTGATCTATTAGTACCATCTGCAGATGTCCGTCTCTACTATTATCATTATACTCAAATCAGAAATCTATGCTGAAGGCCAAACAAAATAGAAGAAAAAGTTTCACGCCGCTTAGTCATAGAATAATCAAATGTTCTCCTGGGAAAAGGACAAAACAAAAAAGTGACCAGAAAACTTTTGATGCTCATAAAACTTTGGCTTTTATGCGAAATCTTCTCTGTTCACTGGATAATGTAAGGAATCATTTTTGAGTTGGCCATTCTGGGAAAGTTGAATTGGAGGCCGCAATTAAGCAAAATATTTATACTTGAGACAAAATTCTTGTTAAGTTAAGTATTTGTTGTCCTGCACATTCTATTATAACCATATTTCTGAAAACTAAGCAGTTTATCATTCTTACATGGTTATATGTTCTAGCATGCTTAGACTTAGGCATAACCGCCCCTTTGTTTAGGTTACACACTGACCCACTGCCTTGTTACATAAGAATTTTGTGGTCTTGTTCGGTTGCCATTGTATAGCGGAAATTAATTGCCCTGTGTCCTGACATCTGCGATGCCTACAAGTCCTTGCTGCCTACTTATCGCCTTCCTTTCTTGTTGTGCCTTCTGTGACGGAAACGTTTTTTAGGCACATTTAAGCCTGTTTTAGAAAGTTTAATATGAGACAAGCTTAACTTCTTAGTGAGTCATTAAATTTCAGCTGATTTTAGATGGTAAATTCTAAGAAGAGAGCTCTTTTGATGGAGAACGAAAGACTAAAGAGGCTGAAAGAGGCTAAAAATAATCATTATTTGTTCTATTTTAGCAGAATTAGAAAGCATAAGAAATATGATTAAAAAGAATAATGTTTAGCTAATAAATAGACTAATTTACAACAATCTCTTGGCTAAAGCAAAAAGAGTTGCCTTCAAAATAAACAATTTTAAAAATAAATAATATTTTTACTCATTCTCAACCATTTAAACCCTTTGTTTAGTCATAGAGATAAGATAACCTTAAGCCATGTGAAAAAACCCTTATGAAACCTTAAAGTTGACTCATCGACAGCTATTCGCGAGGATAAACCGGACGAACAAAAAAGAGAAAGCAGGACAATTTCGCTGCCGCTCTGGCACTAAACCTTCTTCATTTCAATGAAACGGGCTTTGCATTTTTTACGATTCGCCGAAAATCACCTGCAGCTGGTTTTCGGGCGTGTTGTTCGCAAGTTTTGGGCTACTATTTTTCTTTTAGCTTCCTTTTTTTTTTTTTTGCATAATTCTGTGTATTTTGCGACATGTGCACTTCGAAAAGTTTTTTTTAACACAAAAAAGTATTTGGCACACCCAGTTTTATTTTCCCTTTATTTGTGCTTGCCGCTGCCGGGCCTTTGTTTTAAATAAAAATTAAATGTGCTGCGCAGCGCATACGGCAGGCATATTGGATGTTACGAATCGTTCAGTGGTGAGCAGATAGATTTTGAGTGGGGATACGGGACACGGGAAAGGCATTATTTTGACTGCTTTTGGCAATCCAATTTTTGCGCATTTTAAATTCATTCAGATTTGTAAAGCCGAACAATTAAAATCGCTTGCCAAAAATCTGCAGCAACTTTATGGGGCAACTGCACTCAAAAAGTGCTGACAACGCTGGGGAAATGCTTGACTGCATTTTGGGATATGACGATGGGCGAATCCAAATCCGAATCCGAATCCTTATGGGGAATAGCTTCAATGGCTAAACCAAAATACACATATGGCTGCCATGAATATGTCATGTGAGACGCCAGCATTGTTACTTAGTTGCTAGACTCTGGCCAGGATTTTGGCACATTTTTGACAAAAAGCCAAAGTGCATTGAGAAATATGAAGAAGCGTATAGTTATGCTAGTACGGACATTCATACATCGCGTAATAGGCGAGGAAAAACTTTAATGTGAAACTTGGGATAATTTAATGAAAAAAATTTAGAACGTACAGAAAAATAATGCATTTTGGGGTTAAGATCACTTTAAAAGATGTCCAAAAGTCTACAAAAACATACTCAAATCATTTTACTGCATACTTTTAGGGGACCCCTAAAAATTCTTTCTGCGAAACGCTTTTGCCTTCATCTTGACATGTTACTCTTACGATTTCCTCGCAATTAATTTGCTTTCATTAACAAGAATCAATAATTAAAACATCCAGCAATCGAATCAAAGCCCGATAAATTTCCTCTCCCGCATTTAATTCTACTTTAAATGATGGGCGTTTACGAATGTGCCATTGAATGACTGTTGGTTGGCCTAGCCGGCCAGCGTGCGATGAAAACGCAATGAAATTACAACAAATTGCTTTTTTCTTGCCGGTGGCACGTGTAGCCGTAAAAAGAAGCGGTTGAAAAAGAAAAAAAAAAAAGAAAAGGCTGAAATGTTGGCAATTACTTTTTCACCCATTCGCCTAATGCAATAAAATTTAATTTGATGGTCGTATGTGAAAAGGTTACTGCGCGGGCGGCAAGAATAGGGTTCTGTGAAAATGGTTTGCGGCTGGCATTTTACCGCTTCACCGTCATAAAACACAAAGGATGTTTAATATGAAAAATATGCATGGTATATGTGTAACTTCTATTTGCATTTTAATGGTTTTGTTTTTGTGCGTTAAAATCATTTTTGTTTTCCCTTTGCCAAGTTATTTAGTTCTAATTGGTTTTGCCGAAAGGGGTACTTTTAATAATTATTATATCTGCGGGAACTTTTTGCTGCCTCATAAATGTAATAATCAGATTCAATTAGAGTAAATAACAAATAATGAAATTAAATTCGAAGTAGAGCTGGCTTTGAAAAAGGAAAAAATACTGTCGCAGTTTTCCCTTTTCAACAAAAAGTTTTCCCTCCTGACCTGCATCCCACCTGCCTTTCTTATTTTTTGGAAACTTTCGAAATAAGTAATAACATCTCTCGTTCAAGCGAGGAGCCCAATTTGCGGTGAAGGTGCTTCAACGTCATTGGACGATAGGAAAATTAAAAGCACCGATTCGCCACAATATTGGGAGCAAAAAGTTTTAATTGAGCGGCACATGCGGCAGGATCAGATGCAGACGCAGGCTGGGTTCCAATGTGCGAATTTCGGGGCCAAACAAAACTTAATTGCAATATGCAAAGCTCGGACTTCGTTCTGCGTTTTCAAGCGTTCCCAGGCCCAACTGCTCCGCCTGGCTACCCTGGGTAGCCTTCTACCCTCCCGGTCGTCGACTTTGGATAAATGACAATGTTTGACATGGCAAACAATGCACGAGGCGCACGCAGGCGAATCGGAATGACACTGACACAGTTGCCATGTGGCGAGCCCACTGGCATGTGCATTGGCCACAAGGATGCACCTCCCCAGGACCTCATGTCCCTGCACGTATCTACCCTTTATTTGGCAGTGCACCCGCAACCCGAGCCTGATCTCATTTGGTGCTGACATTCTGTTTGCTCAGCACCAGCTTCACTTTTTGTTATTAAAGCTGAAACGGACGCATATCCACAGCCATTGGGCACGCATATTCATTGCCGAGAATGTTAATATGCATCCACCTATATTTTCGTAGGAGCGTTTCGGGAAATCGAAGTAGGCTATTGGGGAAATATTGCAATGAGTTTTCCATTTTTTCTTATTTGTTTTGGGCATTTTCTTCATATATTTTATATTGACTTAATGTCACAGATTTTTGTTCTCCTACAGCTGAAAACTTAACTTTTTCCGAAAAAGTTTAAAAGCTGATTTTTAACTTTTTAAAGACTTTTAAGCCATTGGCGTATCTGATATTCTCATTTTCCTACCACTCATTTATCATTTTCAATGCAAGCTAAATGTAAAGCTAAAATAGAAGACCTAAAAGTAAAGATTATCAAATCAAAAGATCCCGAAATTGCTAGAAATTTAAATAAACAGATTTTAAAAATAAACCTTAAATGAGGATATAAAGAAAAGGTATTCACCCATTAGGTTTCCTTCGAAAAAGAAAATGCAATTTTTCAAATTTGAATATAAAACTCTTGATAAGATCTTGAACTTTAGTGTTAGCAATAACCCCTGAATCCGGCACTGGACCCAAAGCAACCCCAACTTGGCCCACTGAATGTGGCCTAATTCCGAACCGATGTCATTGGCGTTGGTGCAGCTTCTTCCGTTTGTTTACCGATGCTGGCACAAAAAGGTTGCCAATCAGTCGGTTAGGGATTGGGTTTTACAGCCTCTTTTACATTTTTGGGGCACTCAAATATACAATGTTGTGTTTAGAGCGAAAGTCTGGCGGCAGACAGGGCTAAGTTTGAAATATATATATATATATATATGCGTAACGGATGGTATTTTTTGTTTTTGCCACGTTTTTCTCATCAACTGTGAATACATTTTGCCACTTTTCTTCTTCTGTGTTGGAAAACTTAAGGGAAAAATAGATTAAATTACTGAATCGGTTCAATAAAGGCGGGCCGAGGACTTCTGAACGGGGCCCTCAAAGCGAAAAAGTTTTTCAATTAAGCGTTTGTTAATGAAAATATAGAGAGATGCGCAGCCCGAAAAACGGAAAGGAAAACAAAAGTAAGGGCCAAAACCAAACGAAATGGCTTAAAAGCGAAAAAGTATTTAAAAATATAAATTGGTTACGGCTCTGTTGAGTTTTGCGGTGAAGTGCAACAGATTTTCACTGGCCAGCGGCAAATTGATGAACATGAACGCCAACTGCCCCAAATAAATGCATAAAAATGCATAACCAGAAACGCATTCAGTCAGACGAAATAAATGCTGGGACTAAAAAGAAATAAGGGTTTCGAAATGGAAACCAAAACCAGCTTCTGACTGGGACAGCAGCTCCTTGCTCTGGCTTGGCTTTTGTCCAATTGTTTATGGCTTATTGTTTCTGCACTCTGGCTTTTTCTCAGGCAACTTGCAATCGCTTTTCCAAAGTTTCTCCAAACAGTTCGCAGCTCAACAGCATTTTGAATATTTTATACAAAGTTTATTGGCAAATCAAATGGGGTTAGTGGTCGCCACCATTAATGAGCTTCTGCAACTTTTTGGGGTGCCACCGAAAAAAGGCAATGCCAAATATAAATTTCCATTGCCATATTGAAGAAATTTCTCTCTTTTCTCGGTTTTAATGAAACAAAAAAAAACGCAGTTAATTTCAAATCCTGTGAGTATTTCATTAAGTTAAAGCTTCGCAACACTTGACACTTTTACTTGACTTCTTTGGAGATGCTTATTAAAAAAGCTAACACCTGTATATATACAAACACCTGAGGTCAAAATGGTAGCTGTGGCTAAGGTATTGATATCGTAGCTTGGCTCTCAAAATTAGAAAAAATAATACCTTATAAAATTTTATTTATTTAAAATGTATACTTCGGACAGAAACTGTTAGTAGCTCTAAGAAGTAACTTCCAACTAATTAGTATAAATTTATTAAGAAGCTTTTGTTGTTCTTCTACTTAAATATGCAAAAGTTTCCCAACTTTCTTTAAAATGGTTCGAATGGTCCAATTTGCAAATTTTTTGGTTTGTAAGGAAGCAGAGAGTTCCTTTACTGACAGGGTGGAAGACCTAGTCAACTTTTCTTTTTCCTAACAACTCCACTATGATGTTGACCTCAGCTGTAGAAACATATTGTAGCCCATAGCCATATAGCATATAGCAAAGTCAACGAGCTGGCACTCCACGAATATAACAGAGGCAGCTTAACAAAAAAATTAATAAACGGCGGAGGACTAAGCGAAACGCACACTGGGTGACACATAAAGTTGCGTAACGAGCTCATCCCCCCGCGCCTTTATCATCTATTTAGCATTCGCCGATGCTATGCATTTTTCGCACATTAACTTAACAAAGGAGATGCTGAAAACGAGTGCCATAAACGAGGATGCAATGAGAGATTGAGCTGCCAGGACAGGCTAAAGGAGTGGAAAAAAAGGTTGAAGGGGGAGACTGGGGGACTGAATATTCACCCCTACATCCTGAGATATCCTTGTGGCAGGAGAGTGAGAGTTGACAACATGAGCATGACTGTTTTGTTGTTTATACGAGTGCGCAACAGCAGCTGTGATGCTTTGCTCCTGACACAAGTCACTTGACAGACCCCCCCACACACACACAGACACCATATTTTGGTTCATCGTGCACTGAGAAATATTTTAGGGTGCCTCGAATGGTTGGGAACTTCCTTATCGCAGGCACGTAAAGGTTAGAGGGCCCTTGCGTTGCCTCATTTGCCTTTAGTTGGTAATTAAGTTTACGGGATGCTACGTGGCAGGCGCGAAATTATATATTTCCAGCTTCAGGACTCTAATGAGCCAAAGACAACAAGCTATGCCACCGACACGACCATGGCTGATGCAACTTAGTTCAGCTGTCACTTTTATATTAATTTTTGGCCCGCCGGCAAGAACATTTCACTCACACTTCGACATTGATATTAATATTCAATTAGCTGGCCGGATGCGCGGCCTTGGGCCAGCCAATTAATTATAATTATGTTAAGTAGGCATCTTAGATGTTGCAGCTTCTTCTCAAACTTTCCCCAGAAAGTTCTATGAAAATATTTTTCGGTCTCATAAATAGCAAAAGTCTCACCCAACAAATCGAGGCAATTAATTTGATTTGTTTAACGTTCTCTGGGGTCATTGTTCGCCTGGCTATTTACATGTTAATTGCCTTCAAATTGTCTATTTGTTGCCATTAGACTTTATAATTGCTTAGCAATTGGAAATATAATTTTATTTGTCACTGTTTTAGGGCTTGGAAATCAAATGTGAGGAAAGAGAGGAAAATTTTCGGAATATTCACTGCATCAAGAAGCTCTTCAATTAATCAGGAACTCGAAAAAAGCCCTTCCACGACTTGTCAAGGCACTGTACCACAAGCTCTCTCACGTCAAACTCAATTGCGGAGCTTATTCATAAAACCCGCAACCTGGATTTTGTCAGGGAAAATGCATCAAGCGCTCCCGCTTTCCTTTTGACTTTTCCCACAAACACACACACACACACACATACACATACACATACACATACGAGTACATATACGTTTTGTAGTTTTCTTTTCACTGACATGGGTTGCCGTCCATTGTTTCGGCTTCTACACTTTTCCGCCGGTGAATCCGGGCGGTCGGGCGTCCTTTGCTTGTTTCGGGCTCCACTTATTGAAACATTACAAATGTATGGCTCCCACTTGGTTTAGGTGGAGAGCCTTGAACCGATCCCGATACCTAACCCAAAAGCAAAACCAAATACAGAGGCGAAAGATTGATGTGCGAGCAGTTAACTTATTCAACGGCTACCTTTAGCCGGTGATTTCGCGATGTATTTGGATTTGTCTGAACCGAAAGGAAACTCTGAATTTTAAACCCAATTGAATTTGAGATTCGTTCTCTACCATTCTCACTTTCCCTCAGCCATATTTTGAATGTCCGGATGGAGAGAGAAGGTCAATGGAGAACCGTACAAGTTTTGCCTGCGCTTAAATATGCTATATGTTCCGGACGCAGGTGCTCGTGTCCATGGGGAAACCGTGCCGGATTGCTCGAGTAGTACTCATACATTTCAGCTGCGTCAATCACTCTACCCGTCGGAAAATTGTTTTAAAAACTGACTTTTGGTTTGAGTTAATATGGAACTTTAGATACAGATTGATTTAATACGTGAGTCATATAATTTTCAAGTAAATTTTGGAATAATACTAATAGATAAGTGACTAATTTCTTAGTAAGGTCAGAAATTTAAGCCAACAGATTTACAAAAAATTACTCATCCGCCATGTTGCCGCGTTGTGATGTCCAAACCGACGTCCGACATAAGTAACTACCTTTTTCTAAGTGAATTTAGGAATAATACTAATAGATAAGTAACTAATTTCTTAGTAAGGTCAGAAATTTAAGCTAACTGATTTACAAAAAATTACTCATCCGCCCTGTTACCGCGGTATGATGTCCTAACAGACGTCTGACATAAGTAACTAACTTTTGATAATACATTTTTAATAAAAATCTATATCCTATTGGATCTTATATTATAACTATTATGTCTCCTAAACTAGCTACTAGAGATAAGAAAAAGTACTCACCTAAAGTCTGAACTCGCATAGCAATCTCCAAGAAAGCGGCACTGCAGCGTATTGCACTGCGATGTCTTCACCTCATTTTGCACCTCGTAGGTAATGTTGAACCCATAGACGTCCAGCAGACGATCCAAAGGCCCGCAGATGTGTCCCGTCTAGCGTGGCCATGGTGAACCTTATCTCCAGGTACTGACTATGGAACTGCACCCACGTAACCTGGGTGACATCGTCCTCGGTGAGCATGAATACCCGATGGGCGGGCACCTTGAAGTCATCGGAGTAATACATATACTCCGTGAACTTGATACCGCTGAGCACGTACAGTTGGGTCAGGTACACCACGATGGACACATTGCCCTGGCCCTGCGGTGGCATTTCGGAGGCATCGATTATCCAGACGCATTCGATGGGCGTGGTGAATCGATGAGGGAAATTTGGTGTTTGGATGATGCCATGGCGGGCCTTGAGCGTTCCCCCACAACCCGGAGTACTGGAGGGGGCGTGACCACCGGAGGCATGCTCGCCGGCGAATGCGTTCAACGCAAAGTGATTCTTTCCGGGGGAGAAGGGCGGCGGTGGCGGCAACGGTACGGCGGGTAGCGAGAACTTCTGGTCCGCCGGGTGGGCGGCATCTGTTTGGTGGGGCAGGGCCGCCGGCAGGAGCGTCAGCAGCCATATGGTCGTTGATAACCGGACGAGGGTCATTGACTTGGCTTTGGCACTTGCCCCTAGCTCTTAAGGTTTTTTCTTCTCGGTTTCTTTTTTTGTTAGCCAGCAGCAGCAGGAGCAGCTAGCTTATCATTCGGTGAGGACGTGAATTGGTATCCTGGCGGCTGCCACGGCCCAGTCACTCATTGACATTTGGCCCATTTTTTTCGCACCGCTGCAAGTAGAGGAGAGAGAGAGAAAAAGGGAAAGATAAAGTCGAATTTTTAGTTAAAACCATTTTGACAGCTGTCGTTTGCATTTGAATAACTGCCGCGGGCTTTTCACGTTGGCCCGACGTCGACTACTGTCTACTGTCAGCGTGAAAAAAGCAATTTGGAAATCCACTAAAACGCGAAGGAGCTCTGAGGAGCGCATCAATCATGGGCTTCATGGGTGTCGTCGAGCGTGGCTGGTCATAAAACAAAAACACAAAGAGCCATCTCCTCTCCTTCTTTTTTTATATCAAGCCCTCAAATTGTTTTCCCATATTTCGAGAGGTAGTGCTTTTTTTGTGGTACCCAACAGTGTGTATTTCTTTTGAGCTCCCCGCTTAGAATCAGTTAGCTGGCTTTCAAGGATGGGTTAATAAATATATCCGGTGAAAAAGGGTCTTGCCACTGGGGTTGACAAAGCCAAAGAGAAATGCAATCAAATTTAATCTAATTCAAATATACATGTGGCAAAGGCATGCAAACACAGCCGGTGGTAATTAGGATGGCCTAATCGGATAAGTAAAAACTTGGCAAACCAAATCAAAATACGGATTGCCACAAGCCGCCAGGCGAGTTGTCAACAATTCTGGCCAAATGCCGCTGCCTGGGAATTGGATGCATAAATTATTCAGCATTCATAGACTACTGCCTGAGTTGAAAATGGAGTTGGAGTTGGATTTGTTGTTGTATGCTGCTGTGTGTGTGTTGTGTGGTTAATAAGATTATGCAATAGAACTTCCTGCCGGCACAGGAAATACCCAGGCAGATATATATTTTAGAATTTATGCTTGGTGCTTGCTTGGTCCTTGGACCAAATGAGTTTCCACCGTTGAGTTGACTTTAAAGCGATTGCCTTGGTTGCCTGACAAACTTTGCCATCCGCATACAACCATCTACATCCGGCTTCATCCTGTTTCGCGTACTCTGAGGGTGGCCCAAAATGTGGCAGCGAGAATGTGTGTTAACAAGTTTAATCAAACGACAATGCCGGCAGATACGTGCATACTTTTAGGCATATGGGCACGTAGAGTCGCGCGGGGAAAAACGCACGAGTGCGGGCCCAAGTCGAGAGTGAAAATGAGTTTTACTTTCAAATTGCTTTAGTTACGCATTTAAGGCATAATGAATAAAAACTCCGCCAACTCGACTGGCGAACTTTTTCTTCAACGCCTATCTTAAACGCCTGAGGAATTCTAATTTTTGACGCCAGGTCTTGCCGTTTGTCAACACATTTCATTTACATAATGTTTTAGAAAGGAGAGAGTCAGTCTTTTGTGTTACCCTTTCTAATTTAGTTAGAGGGGAATGGCTGAATATAAGTTTGATTTCCTCAAAAGATTATCTTAATTACACAAACAATTTGGGAACTATCTAACATGATTAATATTTTCTTGCCTAAAATTATCTGCAAAACTCTGTTTAATGTTATTATTAAATTCCCAAACTAATAAAAAACAACAACAATATTACATATTTTTGACTACCCAATGTTAAATATCTGTATTTACAAACAGCGGCTCTGCTTAATTAACAAATTCCCAGGCCCGAAAAATAAATAGCAATGTTTAACTTTCGCTATATGACACCCGAGTAGAGAGTTTGAGTAAGATAAGCTCATTTGTATTTGTTTATTCCAATTTTACTTTTTAACATTTAACCCTCCTCAACACGACTTCCATGTAATCTTCGGGCAAACCACAAAAAAAAAAAAAAAAAAAAACAGAACGTCTCGCGTTAACAGTGACGCCTGGCATGCCCAACACTTCTCCATAGATAAGGCCCAAAGGCAGGCACTCCAACTGATACCGATAAACATAAAGCTAGTCGCAGCAGTCGCAGTCGAAGTTGGCGTCGACGTAACCGCGTCGAGCAAATTGCCAATTTAAATTGGCCGCGTTAAATTAGTCGAGTTATCAGCCTCCACGGCGGCAGGTGTGCGGAAGGTTTACGGATCGGTGGAAATATCTCGTACCTCGTAGCTCATACCTCATACCCCGTGTGCATCGGACAGCCTTGGTGCTTCGGGCCCAAGTGATTCAGCCTCTAAATGGCCCTCGTGGAACGGAAGTTGTTACGTGCGAATTTGTAAAATGACCCGATCGGAGTCGCAGATTTGTTAGGAAGTAAAAACCCACGAATGTTTATTCCCCGATTAATTTTGCGGTCATTTGGTTTAGTGGTTCGGTTTCGAATAGTGACATGCCCGTTTTGGCGTGTACGGCTCAAGTGGTTTGTTGAAAAGTGAAAAGCTACTTATAAATATTTGAGTTCTTTTGGTGAATAAATGTGTTCCTAGGAAAATCCACATCAAATAAGTGCCTCAAATGAGAAGCAAAAATGAATGTTCCTGAATTTCATTTCCATGCTATTTGACAAATTGAAAGTCAACAAATATATCAATCATCTTGAAGTTCTTGATATTGATATCTAATCAAAAGATATGGTTGACATATTCTTCGACAACTTCGTGGAAATATTTTGAGTGTTTCTTTTCGTGAAAATAAAAAACTTTTGCGTCAGTCCAGAAAATAGTTTAAAACATAGTTTTTTCTTTGTAAAACTACGTGAACTTTAGCTTGGCCATAGACCCTTATCGCAGAGCCAAAAAAGTTTTATTGATCAAAATAGTCATCGTTAACTGACTTTTGCTATAAACGAAATCAAAACCGAAAAACAATAGAACAAGCTAGGCCAAATCAAGCAATAACCTCATTATGAAATGCAATGAAAAGCTGAAAGCAAACGCTGAAGCCAGCGAGGAACAACAAATAAAGAAGCAGAAAAGTGTGCTGATAACTGCAAACGAAATGTCAATAAATTAATATAAATGAGTGACTCGTGACTGGCGGCTCGCTCCGACGAATCACTCCAGCCTTTCTCTCTTTTCGTTATTGTTGATGTAGCTGTTGCCATTACTTCGGCGAATGTTTCAGCTTGTTTATGTTGTATTCTTTTTTTTTATATTACCAAAAGCAAATCATGGCAAGGAAAGCAGGGAAAAAACAACACTCAAATGGCTATGAAAACAATCTCCAATCTCCGGGCAGTTCTTTATTTTTCAATGTGAAATGCACATCGGCCGGTTGTTCGGCGTTATCGACGTTATTCGTATAAGGAAATACAATACAATTCTTGGCTGATAAAACAGTGTTGCTATATGTGATTTCTTTTTGGGAGTGTTTGGGCCAGTAAACTTGTTAATACAAGCAAGTTATAGGGCTCTGATAATTCTTCCCCCCTTGAAATCACCAGCATTTTTCTGGTCTTTCTTTTTAAGGCGGCCGTTCAAGGCATTTGCCTTAGAGCTTTTGGCCAAACAATGAAATCCCCCCGCATAAATAGAAAACAATTAGGCATTTGAGACGATAAGAGCCAAAATGATAAAAGCCAGCAAGCATTTTCTGAGTCATCGCAATGACCGAGCTGTGTTCGAGCAGAAACAAAAACCCGAGAAATTGGTAGCAGCAACGATATTCGCTTTGGGGCGGCAATTAAAGCAGCCAGTTGACGATGCGCATAATTTTTGAACTTTGAAACTTTTGTTCCACAAACAAATTTATCAGATGCAAAGCAAATGCTGCTTCCAGTTTTCTGGGACAGTTGATAAACCGATGTGGTCAACCACGAATTTAGTGCTGGCCCTCTGGAATCCTTTTGTTTTTTGATGCCAAAACTGAAGGCTGTTGACTTGCACAATATCTGGCTCGTTGCCTCTTTGAGTGGGTACTTTTAGTTTCCCGAAATTTTGGTTATAACTTCCGAGATACTAACTTTAGTGATTCGGGTTAAGCACTGAAAACTAAAGCGGTTTCAAACTTGGCAAATAAAATATTTACTTCTAGTATAAACTAAATAAATATATTAGAAATTCATTCAATTTAAAATTAAAATCAGTTTCCATGATCCTCCAATATGTCAAAACTCTAATCTTGACACATTAACACACTTTTTTTTTATACATCAAAAAGATAAGATTTTTTGGAATACCCAGACATCAAACATTAACTAAATACTTAAAAACTAATCAATTTAGCGCCAATTAACAAAGTATATACTCGTATTAAGAATTGTCGAGCATTAAGCTTAATACCTAACAGCTAATCGGTGTTAAAGCCTTTGAGTGTTCCATTTGCGAAGTAAATCGAATTGTAGTCCAATCACAATCGAAGCATACATAATCCGCGACAATTGCAACCGAACACAACGAATTTATAGCCGCAATTAAATCCTTGACCATAAATCAGGGAATATGGCCGGGGTAATCAAAGTGTTTAACCCACACGCAGCAACCGCAGCAAACGATTTCAGATAAAAGAGCGTGCTAAAAACGGCGAGTAACTACTAATCGCGGCTAAATAAAAGTATCTGTGTGGCTAAGGTCACATAAAGTTCATCGACGGTTACACAGAGAGAGAGATATACATTCAGCTGAAAAGTGAAACAACAATATGGCCTGCTTTCCCCGACTTTTCCATCATCGAAGTAAAAACAAATTTACCCCCGCCCAAGATGAGAACACCGATACGATACTCAACACACAAGATAGTCCCGTGGTGAGTTCAGCGTGCCACAGATCAGGCTTTAGTACTGCACTTGTCTCTGATAAGTCAACTGATAAGTTCATCAAGTGCTTAATTAAGTTAATCGGGGCGGTGAGAGAAAACCATAAATAATGTCTAGCGAAACAGTAAATAATATTAGCCTCTTTCGACCTAAAGATACCCAATAAATATGAAAATACTAAGCTTAATTTATTTTGACATGCTTAGCTAGTAACTCAAAAACATACGTGCCTTTAAATAAAGTAAATAAATTTACTAGTTATTATCACAACTGAATATCGGAAAAGCTAGTGAGGTTCTCTCCAATTTCTGACTGATTAGAAAAATCAATTCATAGTCTAGCTTTTTCTGTCTATTTTTATGATCGGAAATGACCTTGTCCTCTCTGAATATAGGGTATTAAATCAGGTTAAAATGTGTGTTTGAAGCGAAACCTATCCTTATCACTAATTTTTTGTCCATGACGTTCACTTTTTAACAGGCTTATCTTAAAAGCAAAAAAAAATAAAACTTAACTGGGAAAAAATACGAGTGCTGTATACCCATTAACTTTTGCTTTTGGGGGAAAACATATGAGCCATGGTTCATTGAGAATCGGAAACTAGTATTTTGATTAACAAAAAGAAAAAGGAAATACATAGTATACATTTCCATTTTGTATGTTCTTAAGATACTTTGACAAATTGGTCACATGGCAGTGGGTCCTTAGGAAAATACTTCAATCGGCACGCCACTTGACAATCTGCAATCTTGGCGTTTCATCAATAACAAACATTCTACCACGAGTTGGTATTTGGTATGCAAAAATATGATAAGCATGCATATAAATAGGTGTGGGAAGAACCAGAAAATCCTAGGGAAAAACCCTAGTCATGCGGGCGGGGGACATGAAGCTCATGCATAAATCTAAAACAAAATATGTGAGTGAGAGCAGCAGCAGTAGCAGTAGCAGTAGCAGCAGCATCTTGCAGTAGGAGCTCCAAATGACGTATAAATATGCAGGATCCGTCGGATGCTGGGCTATCTATAGAAACATCTGTAGCTGTCTTCCTATTTTTTTGTGTTTTTTGTTAGAGAACTGACATGGTTCTAGGCATAGAAATGAACGTGATTGCACGCACAACTTACACGTCACAGTAATTCTAAATAACTGCGGGATGTTGAGGGCAAAAGACGTTAGAAAGAAGGAGAAACGCCTCTGGGGCAGAATACGTTTGAATGACGCAGTCTAAGATTCCAAGGGCTTCGAATTCAAGGCAAAAAAAAAACTTCTTTTTCGACTGCAGACTGCCTGAGTTCAACGTTATCGGCTGACTTTATCGGCCAAAAACAGAATTCGGCGCTTCCGTGGGAAAACGGAAAACCTGCCAAAACGCCGTCGTTTAGGTCGATTAGCATATCAAAGCAGATCCAACCAGGCGACTCGCAAATTGACACGTGTTTATTTATGCTTGCATTGGGGCCTCTCCTAAAAGAGGTTTGAATATTTCATTACCGCATGACCCCATGCCAATTGAAAGATAAGATGAAAATGCTGTTCACTCGAGTGAACTGAACAGGTTAACTATTAGTTAAATTTCAACTTATAATGCACATTACATGTCAGTCTTAATAAAAGTTTAGAACTTATGAGAATCCCATTGTAAATTCAAACAAAATTATGACTTATGTCAGGCTCAAGTCATAGCTGCCAGAGCTATTTTTAAAAACATTTTTGCGCAATAGAAACGAAAAAAAAAACGAAAACCTGAAAAATACTTTTACGACACATGACACCACCCGTGTCAAAACTTTTCACTTTTGAAGAGGTTACAGGTCATGAAGTTGAGACTGAAATAATAGGTTTGTAAATAAACAATTCTTAGGGCTTTGGAAATTTGTGAGATTTATTTAAAGCCTGCCCCTTATCACCATTTTGAGCCAATCAATCTGGAATGCTTTTGCAGGGGAATCCATAACTGACGTGTTGAAAGGTTAAAAAAAAGGGACACACTGGCCAAAAGGGGGCAATTTGAATGTGCAGAGTATTGAGCGTGAAATACGACATATAAAGCCCTGTATTTAAAGAAGAAAATGACAATGGAAATTGGCTGTTATCGGCCTAATGGAGGCTTAAGCCGACATTGTAAACACAATCGAAGTGGTCAAAAAAAATATGTAGGAAGAGATGTTAAGCATTAAATTGCTTTTACGGAAATCAGTAAAAGTGTCATATCAAATAAGAGAATTATTTTCGAAAAGGCGGAAAAACCAATTGCACATAATTTTTGTTTAGGCGCTCTTAGAAGAACATTTTCCATTTACTATTCGTTAACTAATACATTTGATAGTGTATGGAAGTTGGTATGAAAAGAATACGTCAGAGGAGTTTAGCTGTTATTCATAACAAGTTAGTATTAGCTATTAGTGTGCCGTTAATGAGGCATCTGTTGATAATTCAGTACGATTTGTTATTTATAGCAAACATTTACCTAAGTCAATTAAATGAAATTAAGAAGGTTCTACCGTAGAAGGCTAGTTAGAAATCTTATAAATAACCTTTTATTAAGTTGCTTTTAAAAATTTCAGCAAATTGGTCTATACATCCGCCGCGAGGAGAAGCCACTGTACTCGCCCATCGTCACCCCGAGTGCCAGCGAGGTGAGTACGCCTGAAACCTTTTACCTGCACTACACCACACACCCGACTGACTGTACAGTGCTGTCTTTGTGAAACTCGACTAATATTTGCACACATGCTTGTATGTTTCTTATACTTTCAAACGATTCGGTGTACACAATAATATCGGCACAAAACACTTGTAAATATATACACTCAACAACGCCTCCACTATCCAACCGAACACACTGAACACACTCCCAACGCCGAAACTTTTGCACCGCTGTGTTTGTCTTGTTGAATGTTTGGTGGGTCTTTGGCACTCGGTCCTCTAGGCCAAACTTCAACGGCTGAGACAGCAAACGCCCGGCTCCCCACCCTCGGCCACCGTACTTCAATCGGTTGCCGAAAATGGCAGCGCAAACAATGGCGGGCAGGGGCGTAAGTTCCGCTCGAACAAGGACAAACTACAGGAGTCGTCCTCTTTGGGCGGCAGTGCAATTAATGTCACACGCTCAAGTTCGAAATTAAAACCAGTCAAAGAGCGACGGCCCACCGCATTGCCCTCCGAGGTGCCTAGCATAGAGATCGAGAATGCCCAGGATTCGTTGGAGGAGGACGTAGTGGAGGAGGGGGAGGCGGAGCCGGGTGCTAATGCACATGCCGATGCCGATGCCCTTGATGTCCTCGATGGCGGCAAGTCAAAACTCAAAGTGAATGTGAATGGCATAATTGATGAGGGCGGTGCCGATGATGTCGCCACACCCTCGAGCACCTCCACAACACCTGTGACCGAGGGTCCTGTAAAGTTTTTCATTGGTCACACGCAGGAACTAAGCGGCCAGCAAACGGATGACACCTTGTCCTGGCAGAGTAGCGATGCCAACAACAACAACGACGCCACCATTAACGGCAAGCTGACAAATGGCGTCCTGCCACAAGAGCAACCGGAGGAACAGAAGAGGAGCCACCTCCATCTGCAGGCTCCTCCCCGCGCCAAAAGCTCTAGCAACGTGTCACTCAATTATCAGGCCAAGAGCCATCCGGACAGTCAACGTCGCCGACGTGTGTCCACGATGCCCGATATTAACATACCGCCAGCACCGCCAATGCCACCGGAACTCCTAGTCCCTGGTACGCCACTTCACTTGCGCAAGAAACGGAGCGTGGAGCGTCCGCAGGAACTGCAGGATGCTACGAATAGTCAAGTAAGTAATGAGGTGGCTTGCCAGATGACATGCCGGGCAAAACTGGCCAGAACTCTGCGGCTTTTCGAACATTTGCTCTCCTGCCGATAGATTGTGGTAGAAAGAGGTTAATTTTGTCCTAGATGGGGTAAGTGGTGGGATGGAAGATAAAACAGGAAGATTTGTCCACTTTTAGGATCCCGTCATTTTTTGTTTATTTACTCTTTTAAGCAAACACAGATAATACTATAAGCAAACATTTTCAAAAATATGAGTAGGAAATACTTATTTTTGCACCACTTTAGCATAATTAAAGGACTTGATGAGACAATGGTGGCAATTTTTGCTGAAAGAAGTAACTTGGCTAGCTACCTACCTAAATTCAAATACCTAAAACTTCCACTTAGTGACAGGCTGTGAGTGTGTTATAGGACTCTCGCAATGCCACACTCCATTTACCATTTGATGCAACTTTTATGTGGGAGTCAACCTACAGTACTCCTAACCTTTCGTTTCCTAAAGGCACAGATGGGGAAACTGAAACACGAAACAGCTGCTTGCAATGGAACTCAGGGTCTAACCCAATAGCAAAAACAAGTTAAATGTTAATTGTTCGCCAACAGACACGAACCAAAACTTTATCCCAAAACAAAAAAAATAAACAGGAATTCCCTCTGGTGGTTTGGATCTGCTCCATTGGCAATCCGCTGCTAATCGGTTCTTGCTCAGCTTCCGCAATGGAAACTGTTGCTAGTAATAGCGAAATAATACTGCTTAAGACAATCTGGTTTAGGTCTTTACGATTATATCCAGGTGGTGTTTCAAGTTTACTTTAGTTCTTATTTTATATTAAGAAAAAAGTCCAAGATAAAATCTTTTTGTCTGGGTCTCAACTCGTTTTAAAACATTAAAAATCTTATTTAAAAGAAATACAATCACTAGCCCTTATCATCTGTATTATCTAATCCATTTTTCTTTCGCCAATTTCACACGAAAACTACAAGGATCAAATATCAGGGCCAGAGGAAGGCGGCGATAGTCAGAAATCCAGCGATTCCTCGACACCAAAAACCCATCGCGTAGAAGGTGGCCTCATCTATGTCCGTCCCAATTTTCCCATTCAAGGCGACATTAAAAAAAAAGAAAAAAAAAAAAATATTAAATTTTAATTTAAAATTTTATTTTTTATTTATATATCTTAAAAATTTTTATTGATTAAAAAAAAGGACTTTTCAAATTTCAAATTTTTCAAATTTTTCGATTATCTTCAGTTTGGGAACAAAAACACATGGCCAAATCGGTGAATAGTGGCAGGCATTATTGGTGTGTTTTGCAAATCCAAATCCTTGATCCATATTTTCGATAGCAAAAACGCCGAGCCGCAAAACAACTTGTAATTTACCCACACACCAAACAAAAGAGTACAATAATAACAAAACAAAAAATGATAATCAAAAATTTGAAATTCAAATTGAAGAGTCACCTACTTTAACACACATAGATATCCTGAATTAGAGAAATACAAACAATCCTTGGTTATTACCCAATGAATCCGGTCCACAGCACACGCAATCTCATACGAACGGCCATTGAGCGCAATGATTTCCTCAATAATCTAATGGACAAGGAGCGCAAGGAGATGGTTATCAATGCAATGGCCCCGGCCTGCTACAAGAAGCAAAGCCTTATCATCCATGAGCATGAGGAGGGCTCCGAGATATATGTATCCGCCGAGGGACAGTACAATGTTATTCGTGGCGGGCAGCTAGTGGCAAACTTCGGACCAGCCACTGTGTTTGGGGAACTGGCCATACTTTACAATGCTCCCCGTCAGGCTACCATACAGGGTAAAATTCCTTAGCTGATTGGTAGAAAAAATTGCGCAGAAAATAACTCACTTTTTATTTTTAGCTGCCACCGATGCACACGTTTGGAAAATCGAACGCGAAACCTTCCGGGCAATCATGCAAATCTCTGGCTCCAGGGAACGCGAGGAAAACCTTCAGTTCCTGCGGTCGGCTCCGTTTTTGCAGGAGTTCGACCAGAGTTTGCTCCTCAAAGTCGTAGATCTCCTACAGAGGGTAATATATCAGTTATCAGCCATCGGTGCCCTTAACTCACTTGCACATTGTATTCCAGAAATTCTACGAGACCGACAGCTGTATTGTACGAGAAGGCGAGGTGGGCAACGAGTTCTATATTATCCGTTGCGGAACTGTGACCATAAAGAAGCAGGACGAGCAAGGACAGGAGCAGATTGTGGCCAAGCGAAAGCGTGGCGACTACTTCGGGGAACAGGCTCTACTGAATGCGGATGTACGACAGGCCAGTGTGTATGCCGATGCTCCGGGCACTGAAGTGCTCATGCTGGACAGAGAGTGAGTCAGGAATATGTTACTTAATCAGAGGGACATCATTAAGGAATATTTTTTAAGAGACAGAAGTTATCAAAATTAATTAATTAATCATAAACCTAAACAATCTCTTTTTTAGAGCCTTCATTAGCTATTTGGGAACCATAAAACAACTTCGCGAGAAGCCCAGCAGCCAACGCAGCGATACGAGTGGTCGATCCAGTAACAAATCCCAAGAATTCGATAACGAATACTCCCAAGTGGCAATCTCGGAACTCAAAAAGATAGCCACTCTGGGCTGTGGAGCCTTTGGACGCGTGGATTTGGTTGCCTATGGCCAACAGGCCTTGGCCCTGAAGATCATCAAGAAAATCGAGGTGGTCAAACAAGATCAAATAGAGCATGTTTACAACGAAAAGAACGTAATGATTAAGTGTCGCAACTCGCCATTTATAGTACAGTAAGTCGTAACTCAAGCACTTAACTTTCCGAAGATTAAATATAATTTTATTTTCAGACTCTACCGCACGTACCGCAATGACAAATACGTTTACTTCCTAATGGAGGCGTGCATGGGCGGTGATGTATGGACGGTGATGTCAAAGCGCCAGTATTTCGATGAGAAGACCGCTAAATTTATAGCGGGTTGTGTCGTCGAAGCCTTCGATTACTTGCATTCGCACAATTTCATTTACAGAGACTTAAAGCCGGAAAACCTAATGCTCGGCACGGATGGCTATTGCAAACTGGTATGGTTGATTATGGTTTAAAGTAGTTTACAAAGGTGCCGAAAAGTAGGCAACTATATTTTTAAGTCATCTTAAACATTTTGACACAGATTTCCAGACAGATTTCCAACCTGCAAAGATTTTAGTGCTATCCTCTATTATATATAATCAAACACATTTTATTTTATTCCAGGTCGATTTTGGATTTGCCAAGTTTGTGCGACACAATGAGAAGACCAACACATTTGCCGGCACACCAGAGTACGTGGCACCTGAGATTATCCTAGATCGTGGACATGATCGATCCGTTGACTACTGGGCACTGGGAATTTTAGTTTACGAACTACTTGTTGGTAAGACCCCCTTCAGGGGTGTTAATCAAATCAAGATCTATCAGCAAATCCTCAGTGGCATCGATGTCATTCACATGCCATCGCGGATACCCAAACCTGCCCAGCACTTGGTCCGGCATCTCTGCAAGCAACTTCCGGCAGAACGACTGGGATATCAGCGTAAGGGAATCGCCGATATCAAAAGGCATAGTTGGTTCGAAAGTCTAGATTGGCAGCGACTGAAACTTAAGCAATTGCCATCACCTATCAAAAGACCTTTGAAGAGTTGGACCGACCTGCAATACTTTGGTCCGTCGGGTGTGGAAAACGACTATGAGCCACCGGAGGAGTTGAGCGGTTGGGATAAAGACTTTTAAAGCTGAAAAGTAAACTATATAAGATTTCGGATATTAGTAAGTAGTTGTATATGTTTTGTTTTTAAATCTTGATAGTATCCCCCACGTAGCAGCCATAACAACCTCGTATTAGTTAGTAAATTCGAAGCTACCAAACTAAGTCTGTAATCATTTGTTATATATTTTATTTTATTATTAAAAGTTGTACTTTAAGCTTGTAAGGTTTCAAATAGATTCTAAGTAGTCTTTATTAAACATGAACAATTATATCACCCAATTATATCAGATCTTTGAAAGAAAGCCTATAGCCTAAATCAAAGCTAATACTTTGGGCAACTCTCAATGAACAGCATTTGCTTTGATTCACTTTCAGCATTTCTTTTGACAAATTTAACAACTTAGTTGCTTTGAAAGTCAACATAGTCTGCCTGGCCAGTTGTAGCCGAAGGTTTATTTGTACTCGCGGCATCAATTAGAACCGCAAACTAGTTTTCTTTGCTTTCACCGACACACACACACACACACACCGCAGGTAAGCAAACAAATTCAATTCAGCTATTTCACTTCACTTTTTACTTGCCAAATGCAATTCCACAAAGTTGAGAAATATAAGAACACTTTGTCTTTAACGGGTGAAAACTAACAACTCGGTCTTCCTTAGTTAGGCAACAAAACTTATTGCGACGTCCCTGCTATGTTTTGTTACATAATAGCTTTTATCATTGCCATCAATATCAATAAAGTTCCTTTGTGTTCTCTGCCTTGGATACATCATCATTTGTGTGAGGTTTTCATCACGCAAAATGACTTTATTGTCTTCTGTGTATGTTATCTTGCCTTGAGGTTGTTTTGGACTTGTAGGTGAAACAAATTTAGTAAGCAATATAAGTTTAAGTATAATGTTATAACAAACTTTGTAAGTCTCTAAATTTATACACATGAAGCCTTTTTTAAAAAGTGCCTAAAAGTATGCTAAAGTTTATTTTATGCCATCCGTACATTTATACACATATGGAAAAGGTCTCAAGCATCCAAACATCCTCTGTTGAAGCTTAAAAATTAGTCATTAGATACATTAAAAACTTCACAACCACACTATGCCTAATTTAAATCCCTATGGACCATGTCTAATAATCCCCAATCTAGATACTTTCTGATTACAAATCAATTGAAATTCTGTTCAGTAAGGCAGAGGGAAAACCCCAATTTAATTTCAGCTACGAATACGGAAAAGTTGAAATAATATAAGCAGCAAACTGCATGGCGACCAACATGGTTAATCAATAATTTAGTATGCTGCGAAATGGTCAAAAGGACGAAAGTTTGGGTTCCATAGAATGAGGCCCCTTTTCTTCGCTGTAGACATTCGCACTCATTTAACAATTTTACGCTTCGTTTAAGAACCGTAAGAGGGATTGGCTGGGACCAGTAAAGAGTTCGCCGTTGCCTTTGATTCCCGGGAATTCTGAATGCTTTTTTTTTTTTTTGCGGGCCCACAAAGTTTGTGGGGAAATAAAAAGGCATTTGCATGGCTTTCTTAGTTAACCTTTTCCTACCAACCAGTCAGCAGTCAGTAGTCGACATGCGGCGGGGCACCGCCATCATTTTCCTGAGAAAAACTAAGCGGCGGTTTCCCCCCTCGATTTTCTTCTGCATTGCCGGTTGAGCGCGCGCAGTTTTCCCAACGGAAATGATGACATTTCGTCTAACTTTGTCACCGCGGTGTGCAGTCGCATAGAAATTCTGTAGGTGTCGAAGAAATGCCACATTCCATACTGGGACAGTTGCGAAAATGAAAATTTTCACTTTGCCAGTCGGTAGCGGAAATTGTTGAAATGTTCCTCAGTTCCTGTGCTTCTTATTCGGCTGCTTGCTGGCTGCCATAGAATTGAAATTGTGGCCAAATGTTTTTCGCCAAGGCTTTTATTGATTTCCCCTGCACATATACGTACTTATTTTATTCTGTTTTGTTCGACGGAAGGAAGGTAGCAAAATGTTATTATCAATTATCATTTATTATTGCGGGGCCATTTTTCGCTTGGTCGATTATATTTTCTTTCCTTTGAAGCCATTTCCTTCTGACTGTTTTTGTCATTCGTGTGTCTTATTTATTTTAAGAGCCATAACGCTCTGATCGATGCTGTTTTTGGTGGCTTATTTCTAGGGATATTGGCCACTGGTAGCATATTGTATGAATCCACTGAATATGGATAAGTATTTTGAGTGCTCGACAATGGAATTTAAATCTGTTTTGACTAGCCAAGAATATGTTTTTGTAGGTAATTCCAAGTTCAATTCAAAGAGTTTTCCATTTTAATGCATTGTTTATGCATAGAATTTCAAAGTAACTTTCTCCATTCAAGCAAATTACCAAACCCATTGCTACCAAAAATAAATAAACATATGACATGTTTTCCTCATACTGTTTAATGTTGTTTTATCAACTTTGTTGTTTTTTTTATACACACTTTTACAAGGGTTTTGTAAAGTGAAGTTTGTGTATATAAGAGTAGGCAGAACGGAAAGTTTATACCCTTAAAATGGGTTACAAAAACAGGGGACTGTGAATCTAATATATGCATATGGCAATACAAGTCGACAGCTGCTGAACAAATTTTATGGCTCATGCCCAGGCGTATTTATGAAAGTCTTTCAGAATCCATCCATACAAATGCAAATTGTGAGGCGGACCTTTCAATGCTGGGCTTTAAACAAAAATTAGACCCTAATCAATGTAACTATTGTTTACTTAATACACAGCATCTGGCGAAAGGGACAGTCTCGTGTCTAGCTTCAGGCAACGAGTATTTTTTCTTTAGTGTTTGCCTATTCTAAGATTGTAAGATTTGTTTGCTTAACTTAAAAAGGGGATTTAGGAAAAGCTGACAAATTCAATCAGATTATATTTCTCTTATACTTATTATAAAGACGGAGTAGAGAAGTATTTGCAAAGGTCAACACACACTATAAATTACTACTTAGTAAACTGAAAATCATTCGAAATTCGAAGTCACTCGCCCTATTAGAGACATCCTTTTTGGCAAAACAAAAAAAATCAGCACTTCCATTATTCTCCATATAAACCATCCATTCCCCAAATGAACTGACTCGTTGACCATTTTCCGTACACAAACATGGACAAACGTCGCACTTACTAGTGATCACCCTGGGTGCAATTAGGATTTGAGTGTTCAATAACGATTTACACAAAGGCTGGCCCACAGGCCAATATGGTCGCCGGTCTCCAAGGGAACTGAGCATGTCTATATGTACGTGCGACCCGGGCAAATAAGCTTTAAAATGTTACCAATTCGTTTTTCGTATTCGAATTCGAATGGCAATGCAAAAGTTGTTGACCAGCACGTATGGAATCGGTAACAAGTGTGGCAATTATAAGGGGCAGGAGTAGTCAGGACACTCCACAACTTCCACTACCGTTTCCACTTTCCAATCCAATCTAATCAGCTTTGGTCGAAAAGAATCTGTTTACAATATTGACAATTTTATTTTGGGTGCCTGGCCTAAAACTAGAGGTTGAATCAAAAAGTTTCTTTTTATGCTGGCTAAAAAGTGGAATTTGCATATTTTTTGTGTTAGGCACTTGTCCTTTTTTTTCCTCTATGATGCCTCTTGGTTGTTGGCCAATTTGTGGCTAGGGTGGAGCTGCTTGCAGAGTTAGGACCTTGCCACATAAACACTTCTCTACTGAATGCTATGAATAAATAATGAGCTTTGTCTTCCATCGCCCGGCAAAGTGATGGTCCTTGCGTTGCATACTTTTAGGGCAATAGGCTCATGCAATATTTGTGTGGCATTTAAGCAGCTTCCGTGCATTACATTTCCCTAGGACTTGAATTCCATACAATTCCTTAAGGTTTGTACTCATCCCAGAAGAGACTATTAAATACCAATAAATCACTGAACATGTTTAGGTGTTACAGTAGAATTGGCAGTCATATAAAAAATATCTATGCAGAGGCAAACATATGTTTACATTTATTCAAGACAAAATCACATTACCGCTCTTGCTCTTGGTTGGAATCAAATTATGTTATTTTCATGAGCAGCCCAAAAGTATGCAAATATTTGCTAAGCCCAAACATTTGATGCGCCAACCTCTTGCCACTCGACGACATACGGAATATACAGAAGGCAAAAGCAAGCTACAGCAACAATGAGGTAGCCAGGCAAAAAGGTCGTTAGATTGTTAACAAGTTCATAAAAAGACGCTGGCAAACGACACACACATACACACAATTATAGGTGAAAGGAGAAAGAAGTGAGGGGGTCAGAATGAGGACCTCGGCAAGGACTGCCTAAATACTATACGACGCGTCTCGTTGCGTATTTACAGAGCACTTTTTCCGTTTCTACTGCTGCTGCCTCTCAACAAGCAGCAGCAACAAAAATGCAAACAAATGTACACTGAGAAAAACAAACAATAAAATAAAAACTCTCTTATTTAAGGGAAAAGTTATCAGAACTTTTTAAAGCTTTAGAGAATACACTGAAACACCTTAAGTTCGAGGAATTTGATTTCTTTGTTGGTTATAAATAATATTAATACGTTTTCAAATGTTTAAATTAGTTAATATTTATAATGTAAATGGTAAGTAGAGGTTAATATATTTTGATTAATTATTACATTTATTATATTTATTTATATTTATAAAAAAATATTAAAAATACGAACTAAAAACCTGTTGAATGATTTTTGAAACCAATAGATACGGGCCCTAAGCCTCCAGAAATATATATTGGACTAATAAAAAATCGTAAAACTCCTTAGCTTCAATATTTCTCTAAGTGTACAACCGGGACTAGGCTAGAGGAAAGAAGAGGTCAGGGCGACTATGAATATAAGCATGGGTGAACTGAACTGAACTGAACTGAGCACGAAGAGCTCCTGCGGTTGTTTGCATTAGGCAATTGATGTTTATTATTTCTTTGTGTGGGTGCGGGGGTGGCGGAGGGATCTCCGTCGTCGACAAAAGCTGGTGGCCCCCTTTTTCCTAGCGTTTTTGTTTACCATAGCCATTCGGCGGCAGCTGCATGTTGCAGACTTCGCGAGCAACAGTTAAAGTTGCATTTGCATTGGCTTAAAGCAAATTAAAGCATAATGAATGCAGCATGCAGATGCATTTTGCGTTTGCACAGGCTCACGCCTAAAAGCCTCTTAAGAGCGACAAATTCCAACATCGCCGCTAGCACTCTGTGTTCTGGCCTTATTTAATAAACAGTTAGCTGGCGGCGGGCGCAGCAATTAAACCGGATTCGAAAACCACAATTGAATCTTTTTAAATTTACTGCCACC